TTCGAAGAGACTTGTACATTGGGCATGCTCCTGCGATGACATGTGGCAGACAGACAAGCACCGGTTGCAACACAACAAAGGGAAAAGGGCTGGACATAAAGACAAGGGGCTGGGCCGTACGAACGAACTGCGCCAACTTTTGCTTGAGATACCCATAAGCATCGCTTGCAGAACCTATTCAACATGCAGCAGCTACAACAGAAAGGAATACAAGGGGCACGACGAACGAACATAGCAGCTCTTATAAGATTGCACTTGGAATGCCTGCAGCTGGAGCAAGAACGGATACCTCCACATCATCGAAGCTTTCATCGGCCCAAGTCTGTTTCTTTGAAGATGAAGGGCAATCTGGCATAGTGGTATGTTTGCTTGCAGCTGACATCAACAATCACATCAAGCATGGTGCTGCAACTTTATATTTGCCACTCAATTGCGTTACCCACCTTGCAATGCACCTTGGGAATCCGGATCAAGCGACAACGAAGGGGCTGAGATAAGGTCGGAGCCATACATTTCGGCACTGTTGACCGGGGAGTCTTCCGGATCTGAGACCTCACCATCCTCCTGCGGCAGATCAAAGATGGCCTCCACCCCCATCCATGGCGGATTTGCCGGTCCCTCGAAGACCTCATCACCTTCAAGCTCAGTATCCGTGATTTCCCCAGGCGGGGCCACAGGACCAACCAAGGCCGCCTCATCTGCACCCTCTCCCTCCTCCTCAGCCTCTCCCTGATCATCCTCCTCACCTGGCTCCTGAACCCTGCGATGATTTGGCCTGTGAGCATGGCGATATACAGCCAACGCCCCTTCGCCCCCCAGCCGGGCTCGATACAAGTCCTTACATATGCTCCGTGCACAAACAGCCGATTGAAGCTCAACAATCAAGTCATGCTTGTTGTGCTTGGATGTGGATTGATATGTTGTGAAGTTGCTGCAATGTTCAAGCATGCATATGCGATACCAAGGACACTCAGCAGCTGAACATCGGGATCACGTTGCACATCCGATCGTTCCATGAGCCCTGACACAACGAGAACTGCAAAGGCACATGTCAGATTATTTTCAGACGAGCGACTCTTGTGAGTGATTAGACAGCTCTTGATCGTATGAGCATCTTGATTGATCTGCGGCCCCAGAATCTCCACCTGTCTCAGCAGATAGGAATCCATATCTTATTAATACCCAGACCATGCCAAAAATCACAGCACATGGGCTGCAACTATAGACTAAGCGAAGCCACATCAAACTTCGATGCGATCGCTTTCAACACCGGCTCAATCACGGGAACTCGAGCGATTTGAGGGTGGCTTGCGAAATTGGGCACGAAGTGCCGCAGCAGAATCTCGCAGATTATTTTTTACAACAGATGTGCAATCATTATGAACATGCATAACAGCTTGAGCATGCATCAATGTCCTTGTTGAGTTTCAGGGCATCGGTCGATGGCTTGCGGAGTCTACCTTTCTCATTCATCGGCCACATAATGAATACCTTCAGGTGCACCGTACGAGCTTTGAGCTCCTCATCCACCGAAGCAGCCTGGCAAGGCCCACAAGACCCGTTATGTAGTATGATACTTCTGAAATCACCTCACAATTTAGTCAGTTGCCTCAATAATGTTCTGCATCATTCTTTTCAAGACCACCTTTGGCTCTTCCGCCATGGCTACAGAAGTCCGAAGGCACCAATCCGAGCAAGTAAATGCAACACAAATCCGAGAGATATTCTTCAAGATCCTATAGTCATGAAACATAAATTGAAATGAAGACATCGCATGCAGCTTGAGAAGCTGCAGGCATCAGGCATAACGTGCACAAGCAAGCAACAAACTGTCCAAACATGCGCCAAAACTGCAAGCACAACTCATGGGTTCAAGCAATCAAGGCCAATGGCAACAAGTTTGTTATGCTGCATGCTGAGATCGGAGCAGCCCATTGAAGAAGGGGCTCGGTCAATGATATAGCCAATCTCTGTTGCTTGTTGCAATATGCTGTTGCGAATCGGCTGCTCGTGATGATGATATGATTGCATGTTCGGTGCTGCTGCTCAACATGGAAACACGAGAGCATGAAGTCCATGGTGTTCGAGCCATGTAGGAATGCTGTTCAAAAGCGTCCAATCCATCACGAAGCTGATGATGGCTTGATGATATAAATTATCATATCCTGAATTTCTTCTATCCCGATATTGATTTCTCAAGATCAACTTTTCCTATCTCAAGAATATCAAGAATTGGTTTCTGATTCTGAAAGAACAAATCCTATATCATAAGAACTCCAAGAAATGGTTTTATGGTTATCAAGATCATCTTCGTTTATCATAAGAACACCAAAGAATTAGTTATTCAAGTAGGAACCTGAAATAAATGGTTTCAACCAGGAAGATCAAGGGAACCACAAAAAGGAACTACATAAGAACCTCTAGATATATATATATATATATATATATATATGTGTGTGTGTGTGCGTGTGCATTCATTGGCTTATCCATCTCGCTCCGAAACGTTACATGCTCGCCCGCAGGCATGCATGCATGTACATATGTATTTGTGTGAGCATGCGCATTTACGTATGTCGGTGTCTATGTCTGTATGTGTTTGTAAGTGCCTGTATATGCCAGTATGCTTATGTACAAGAATTTATTTGTGTGTGCGTAACTACTGTATGTGGATTGCACTGTGCTGCATTGTGTTCTAGCGTAAACTGCTGCGTCTTGTGTGAATTGCATGAAATGCAAGACAAGGAATATACAAAGCAGCAAATGCAACCTCCAGCGGCATAGATGTTCTTATTGTCGTGTACGTATACCATTGTCACATCCACGGGAAAGCGTCACCGTCCAGTATCAATAACAGCCAGACCGTGAAGGGGTTGTGCCAAAACGGGTCGGGTAGATGTGCGCGCCCGGTTGCCTTCGACAGGCAAGCCCACTTCTCCCACATGGCCGGTTTCCATGAGGTGTCCTGACAGCATGTGAGAACGGCTCGAGCACGACAAAAAAGCGCCGCAACACCGGGAGAAGGGATGGTGCAGCGTACAGCCCACTGGCTGGATCCTGTGCTTTCGGTATCTTTCGTAGAGACTCGAAAGCAGACAGAGGAGTTCTGAACCCGAGCCTCTCCATCCGGAGCTCGTCACCCGCGGTTCCTGCAGATCCCCCAGTATCAGGCACTCTCGTCCGCAACTTCCTCCGCAAGAGGAGCCAAAAGGCGCGATACAGGCCCGAAGCCCTACAGGTGCAGCATTACTGTAAATCGATGAGTGTGTTTCTTTCTTGAAGCACTTCTTTCTTCGGGCCTGGCCAGGTCTCGCTCTCCGGAACTGTTCGGGGTTCAGGATTGAGCCGAGTAGGAAGCCAACCTAGTTCTTAAGAGGGAGCGATGACACTGAAAAGCCTGGCCTGCTGCCCGCAGAGGTGCTGCCCCCAGGACGTGCCACACCATGGAAAGAAACACGACAAAGCAACATTGTGGCTGTTTTGCAGCTTGGCAGTCGAGCTGCAGTTGAAGCACATGCAACAGATATGTGAAGAATTCTTCCTTCTATGTCACACCGTCTGCAGAGCGCTTGAGATGCAAGGAACTGTCCAGAGCTCGCGATGCACATAACTAGTTCCGAAAGCTTGCGCTACTGTCTACAGCAGCGCGGACTCTATGGGTTTGTAGGATCGTAGAACGAACCCTGTTACAGAGGCGCTCTGATAAGCAACCGTTTGCAGTTCGCAGTCGTTACAGTGTTATTGCAGCTGTAACTGCACTTGTAGTAGCAGCGACGAAGATTGGACGGCAGAAGACTCTGCTTCCGATCTTGCCGTCAAGGTGCTCCCACTGCCCATATGGCAGTATTTAACAACCGCGAAAACTACTCTGCTGAGAGGAAGCAATGCTAGCAGACAGTAAAGCCTGATGTACTTGACCGGCATTGCCCCGAATCAGCAGCGTATCCAGATGTCATCTGGACTTAAGCAGACAATCTTGGCAAGAGCTCTTGCATCATGCCTCGCAAAGAATCTGTGCTCGTGAGGCAGGAGGGTCCAGCATCAGAGGGAATCCAGGCCAATCATGTGCTGCAACTAATTTTGAGGGTTCCTAATACGAATATATTTAGTATGATGTGCCCAAAACCCATTCTAATTAATATACGTGCTCGGTCATGGCGAGACTTCCAAACGAGGAACTACAGGAAAGTGTGCTGCACATGCCGCTGGGCAGGGGTCTCGGAATCCAGAGGACCCCAAGCACTCTCTTTCTCAAAACCCTAAACCCTACGATAGCGGCCTCAATAATTAGAATAGGATGTTGGGGCCCATTCTAGTAATTATAGTTGTATAGGAACCCTCAAAATTGGCATTGGAAATAACTTCGGCCACTACATTACACCCCACAGTAAATAACCCAAGATCCTACGCCTTGCGCTTCCCTCCGCGGGCCGCAAGAGGAGCCGAAAGGAGGCAAAACGAATTCTCTGGCCCTCGGCACTCGCTACAGTTCAAAGGCTGTCGCGGCGAGGCCAATTCCACGCGAATGGTATGTAGCATCTAGTGCAGAACAGCGTATGCGGTATAGAATATTATAGTATCGGTTGGTTGTGTTGTTCGCACCCCTCCATCCTCGAGTCTCAATACTGCATCCAGACTTGCCATAATAGAACTGCGCGACAAATGGTTAGTGTAGCGCTGGCGCTCGAGCGCCACTGTGCAGGGCGCATGGGCATGGGTGGCATCCATGAACCCTGTCTGCACCATTTGCTCTCCATATACATCTAGTAGCAGGCTTTTTGTCGAGGTCTTGCATCCAACGACTGTGCCAAGAAGATGCTTCACCCTCGCAAGAAGAACTGCTGGCCAGGAAACTGAATCTTCTACCTCCAAAGAACCACAACGCCTATTACCCCAAAGCCCTGCCTTTTGCTCTTGTCTGTCCAAAACACCACAGGCCTAAGTCCTAAAAGTTGAGCCCTACTCCATGTCTACCAAGAGCAAAGTGTGCTTTCGTTTCAGCCTCAGGCGATGGCATCCACGTGGCTGCTGCGGTCGGACCTTGGCTTCGAGAAGCCTGCCTAACTAATACGCTTTTCCGTCTCGTCTTCTGCAGATACTGAGCGATTTGCATGTGCAATGGGGGGAAGCTTCTTAAGCTTCTTGTGGTACTACGATCATCGAATGACTGGTCTTGGCATGATGACCATGAAAGCAAGTAATGGCATCATCATGGTTATGTTCTACGGCTACAGCTACGCCTGGAAGTTCGGTCAACGTCCCCCTTAGTCTCCAGATCTTGGCCCCCTGCGCTGCAGCTTTGAGGTAGCTGTGCCGATGGATCTCCAAGATGAAGGAGTCGGTGACAGCTACCGCACTGAAATCTGAGACATACCTGGGCCCATGTCACCACATGTCCTCGTGAACCCCACACCAAACCTCTAGACTCTCATGACTCTCCAGACCCCAGCCCGAACCGGCCCCTCATGGAGGGAACTCTACAAACTCGAACCCAAACACCTGCGGTTTGAAAGACATTTCTTGTACATTCTTCTGGGCAGGCTCTCATTCCGGGTATACCATACATTTCGATGCCGGGGTCGGGATTTCGTTTCTGTTATTTCAGGGGCTGCTTGCCTTGGGCGCTTCAAAAGAGTTCAGATTCAATCCCAAATCGGTGTGTTTCGAACATGTCTCGATACTCATGCTCCTCACCCGAAATGGTGATCACCGTGATGGTAACAACAAGACGGCACACGCGTGAGCATGCCTACCACCACGAACATCATCGTGATAAACTAGCTTCTTCACTATTATCCTCGTCATCTCACTCCTCATTGTCAAACTGCCCACACTCCTCAAACTCTTCGGCGAGCGGCGGGTCGGGGGCCTTAGGCTGCAACAACCCAATGCCCAGCACCTGAGACAGCGTTCGGAAGAGACGCGGCTTTGAGGTTTAGCCGCATCGGGGGACCTTCAGCTGAGTTTCGGATTCAGCTTTAAGGAAGGATTCTGACTGAAGGTGTTCCATGCTTTGAGGACTTCCGAAAAACTCTGCACTCCACTCAGCGGCTCCTTCAGACCGCGAATTTGAACACCCCCTGTTTGTCATGTTGTGTCTCCGAGCCCCCTTCACAACTGACCTGATGCTTCCCAGGCGCAGCCCAGGGCCCGGCAGAACTCTCGCAGTCGTCGAGGCCACTGGTGAGGTGCAGCGCACCTCATTCAGGTTGGGAGGCTGATGGGACAAAAGGCTTATGGGAGGCTTATGGGGGGCTTATGGGGGGCTTATGGGGGGCTTATGGGAGGCTTATGGGAGGCTTATGGGAGGCTTATGGGGGGTTATGGGGGGGCTTATGGGGAGCTTTTCGTGGTAGAGTGTGTGCCCCGATAATTCACTGGCCACGGTATCGGCGGCAGCTGAACATCCCAAATCCTAACAGGTCCTAACAATCTTCCACAGACAAACTATAAGCTGAGTGGCCCTAGATCCCAAATCGACAGGCGCAGCGCAAGGCACCTTGAAGCACAAGCGTGACGACATCCGTCTCCTTGCCTTTTTGGTAGAGCTGAGCTCGCTTTGAAATCTGCCTCAAAGGCTCTGGAAGGATGCGACTTTTCACACGACTGCCAGGCTCCTGCTTGCAATATGCCTACTCTTGCAACTTGCAATATGCTTACATGTCTGTGCATTTTATCCCTAAGAGCTGTTGCAGCACTTCCAACTCTTCGAACCCATTTTTGTCAGGACTCGGCATCATGAGAACTTGAAGCTATTGCTACGTCTCCAACCTGTCAGGAGCCTAGAACAAATCCCACTGCGCAAGAATTCGACTGCACAGGTATCATCCTGGAAACCCGGAATACAGGCCTCAATAGTTGGGGTTGGGCTTTGGGGTATACTCTAGCAGAGTTTAAAGAGAAATAAGGGAGACGATTAGTAGTTTGTAATACCTCCGACCGCTAGATGACCCTTTAGGCACCCGTTAGCGGATGCCCAAAACCCTCCAGAAAATCCGCGTGGCCGAGGATGGAGAGACTCCAGGAGCTCCAACAAGGCAGACTGGCTCAGTGCCTCTGGGCTCTGCATCTTGTCTTCTTTTCGGTTCTAGTAGGGTTGAGGGTTTAGGGTTGCGATTTTCGGGTTGGGGTTTCAGGTTTTCGAGGGTCTGAAGACCGTATATTAGGCGGGATCTTCGGCTTGGCTGCTTCTTGGGATCTCGTTAAGTCTGCTACGCCGCCTCCCTCGGAGCCCTACTTGGAGGCTCCCAGCGCAACCTAGGCGCATGTTGGGAGAAGAGCCGCGGCAACGTGGCTGCCTGAGCAGATGGCAGGCTTCTGCTGAGCTCGGCTATGATGTAACGGCTTCAAAAAGAGGCAGATGAGCTTCTCTTCATTCTTGCTACTCTTCTCTCCAAAGGATGAACCCCCGAATCGCGACGACGTGGCCAGGAAGGACATCACTGCTCCAGCTTCGTCCTGCTGAAAGTGCAGCACGCAGACAGTTGCCGGACGAGCCTAGTTTCAGATGAAATCAGCAAACTAAACTGCCATGACCATGCCACGTTCATTCTCTTGAGAACGAGAGATGCCTGCTACCTTGCGAATACATACGCTGCCGCCACCACACCGGATTAAACGTGCCACCGGCCTGTGTCGTTGTCCGACTTTACTGCGGCTTCTGCGGTCAGTCAGCTCAACATGAAGAACACAGAGCTCTGAGTCCACTAGCCCCTGCTTTCCCAAAACCTAGCTGAGCTCCGTTTAGCAAACAATGCTCAAAAGCGTTGGCAAAGATCTCCTGGCCCAAAGGCTCAGCGTTGGAGGCCATCTTCTCTAGTCGAGCACGGTCCTGGGCTCTTACAGCCTACAAACTGCAAGGCTTACGACAACAGCAAAAGAGCCTGCGTTATTTTTGTGAACGCCTTTTTCCGCCTAGCAGTTAAAACAGGCGCGGGTTTAGGGTTTAGGATTTGAATGCCAGAGGACAGCTGAGTCCGCTGGGGGGTCGCGAGTTTCAGGTCGAGCTGGGATGGGGACCCAAGTCTTCTCGGCCGCTTCTCTTCTTCTGGCAGGCAATAGTTTCATGTGGATTTTCTGAAGAACTACTCCCACTATTCCCGATACTGTCAGAGTACGGCTCTATTCTGGCCATGAAGGCTCCTACTTTAAACCATACCAGTAGGTTTCTGGAGCCTTGGCTCTGCGACGTGAAGAAGGCTCGGTGACATCGGAAGTTCGGAATTTGTAGACCGGGTACGGCCAAATTGGAATACAAACTAATGACACCATGCAACCTGCTGACAAGGTCTATACTAATGCATTAGATGATAACAATGGATGTTGGCTATCTCCGAACTCCACAGCAAAGATTTCAGCTGCAAGTTTCAGCCCTTAGACCGCCTTAACCCCACCAAAGTCTCAGACCCGCGGCCAAAATCCGAGCCAGGACTCGAAAAGCTGGAGCGCTCCAGCCTGTGCGATGGGCATCGGCTCCCAGGCTCAAAACGGAAGGCACAGTCGCGGCAGACTGTCCCGGGATTCTTCAGCTCCGCGATTTCTAGCCCCCAACCCCTAAGCCCTGAATTGCCATCCCAGCCCCAAGACCTAAGTTCTTCTCCTTTCGGCGCCTGTCGGTGCCTCCTCGGGCTGCCCCCGCCGTCTTCGGAAAAGCCCACTTGCGCTTGCCTTGGCCAGGGCGAGCTCCAAGCTCCACGACTTGTTCGAGTGCTCATGTATCCCAGGTACCGATGGTTGTAGTAGTCGTTGTAGTAGTAGTTGTCGTCGTGGTCGTAGTCGTAGTCGTCGTAGTAGTAGAGTAGTAGTAGTAGTAGTAGTAGTAGTAGTAGTAGTAGTAGTAGTAGTAGTAGTAGTAGTAGTTGTAGTTGTAGTTGTAGTTGTAGTAGTAGTAGTTGTAGTAGTAGTAGTAGTAGTAGTAGTTGTTGTTGTTGTAACTATAGTAGTAGCAGCAGCAGCATTAGTGCCAGTGGTAGTGCTAACGGCAGTGGTAATGGTAGTGGCAGTGGCAATGGCAGTTGTAGTGCTAGCAGTAGAAGAGCAGCAGAAGTAGCAGAAGCGATAGCAGTAGCAGTAGCAGTAGCAGTAGCAGTAGTCGTAGCAGTGGTCGTAGTAGTAGTAGTAGTAGTAGTAGTAGTAGTAGTAGTAGTAGTAGTAGTAGTAGTAGTAGTAGTAGTAGTAGTAGTAGTAGTAGTAGTAGTAGTAGTAGTAGTAGTAGTAGTAGTAGTAGTAAGTAGTAGTCGTAGTAGCAGTAGTAGTAGTAGTAGTAGTCAGTAGTAGTAGTAGTAGTAGTAGTAGTAGTAGTAGTAGTAGTAGTAGTAGTAGTAGTAGTAGTAGTAGTAGTAGTAAGTAGTACCTTGCTACCAGTACAACGACGACGATTGTGCCTGCTCCTTGGCCAGACGACAATCTTACTGCTCTTGCTTCTGCCCAGGCTGCAGGTGCTTCAATCTCGTAGAATTGATCTTCTGCCAGTCTTGCTGCAGACTACTTCTACTACGACGGCAGTGCAGCTGGTGCTTTATGCTGTTGTCTCTGCAACTTTGCTCTTATTTTGCGTTTCGTGTGGTGTCTGCAGGTCCCTGACGCTACAGCTTTGATGTCAAAGATGCAGGATGGTGCCGAAGATGTTGTGCAGGGTGACAATGCCTCGGGCCACCGCGTGCAATCGCGCTGCTCCATTGGTCCCTCGATCAGACCTCCGAAGTCTGCCTTCGACTCAGAAAAAGGTCACCCAATGCAACCCCTGAAACATTAGTGGCCGATTTGGCACAACGATGCCGTATCAGCCGCGTTGCCTAGGTGGCGGGTCTCTGCCGGTGCCTCGCCATCGGCCAGGCTGTCTGCGACGACTGCCAAATGCGGCGCGCGCTTGAACCTAACTAATTCCCAAAGTTGGGGCCTTGATTCGAATGTTGTTATTGCAGGAGTAAGGACAAAGGTACGCTTCTGTAGCTTCCGAATGGTACTGATATTCCAAGGCTCCTTATCCGCAGTTCTGGTAACTTCGTCTGTGCTGGGCGACAAACTCAGGCGGCAGAAACGGAATCGCTAGCTGGCACAAGCAAGAGGCACTGCAACAAGTACGGAACGGACACAGCTGGCTGAAGGACCTTTCACACTGCATCAACTAACAACAAGACGAAATAGAACAGGACGGTCCGCAGAGGCTGTTTACAAAAACAAGTACTACAATGCATTACGTGTATGGTCATAACAACAGTTTCAAAACTTGAAACACTCGTTATGACCATACATGCAATACATAGTAATACTTATTGACTTCAAAGGTGGCTACCATAGCCATACTCCATAGCTCCATCAGGCTACTACTAGGTACCAGCGATGATATCTATGATAGTGAAGATGAAAATGATGATGATGAGGGTGATGATGACGATGATGATGATGCTGGTGATTTCGGTCGGAGGTAGTAAATCGATTCTTAGTTAACATTAATGAACACAAAAGTACGAATAGCATCAGTACTAGTTAACAGTGTTAACTAGTAACATCAAATGTGTTTCTCAGACTGCTACTGTTGTTGGCAAGATCAACAAAATAATCAGATCAATGACCTCAAGCACAGTGATCTATACAGAACCTAGATATTAGCTGCGCCCGCGGCGGACGCCTCGCACACAACCTCTGCGTTCCTATTTAATGCATGAACCTCATAGAGTTACCAAACTGTCTGCAGAATAGTGTTAACTCTAGTCATGAATAAGATTGACTGGTAAGATATATGCTCTGCGCAGAACATGCGCACACCTTACATACATGTCGGGCAGTGTAAATCTGCGGAGCCTGCACCAGGGCGAAAGGGCACTCAAGGGCACTCTGGGATCCAAGCTCTGACAGCAAGGCCATCAGCGTGGTGTTCTTGCCGCAGACGAATATGTGCCTCGTAACTTGCGGCTGTCTCTTCAGTCCCCTCGAATCTCAGTCTCAGCGACCGAAGCAAGAGCAACCTGCGCTCAACCGCCTATATAAAGCCGCGCTTTGCCGCCTACGTCGTCACGAAATCTCGACAATCCACTGAGACCATTTCCAGCCGAAACCTCGAAACGGAGCTTGCGACTTGCCCGAACTCTCGCATGGGCAACTCACAATGGGTGGAGCTACTAACCATAGTTGCCTTAACCCTAAAACCTCTTCAAATTATTAAGGTCCCTACATTACCCCAAGTTCCCTGAAGTTCCCGGCCTTTCGCGGCCGGCCGCGCGCAGAGCCTCGAGCAGCTCGCCGACGGTGCAGGTCTCAGTGGCGAAAAAAGGACGAATGCAGGGACCTGATAATGAAAGTAGGGTTCCTTTAAAAGGCTCTATAAGGGATCAAAAGTAGGGTTCTACAGTGTAGGGCCTTAAAAAATAGAATAGGGTTTGGGGGAATATTATAGTATACTTATAAATAAGGAATCCCCGAAATCTCCATTTTAATTATTAAGGCCCCTACGTTATGTTTCTGTGCTTAGGGTTGCGGGTGTGGATAATGTCAGATCATGTCGGATCCCCGAGCTCAGCTTTCGTCACTTGCTTCTCTTACCTTTGGTTAGTAGGGAATGGAGGAATCGGGTACAAGTATAACTACTATTACTACGATTCTTCCATTCCCTACTAACCAAAGGTAAGTTCTGCAACCACTCACTATTGCTAGGAGCTTGGATTGGACCGCTTGGAATTTGCGTATAGGGCTTATGGCGCGGACAGCTTCCACACGTCCATCCCACAACTTTTGAATCTGATAGATTCCTCACCTTTTACAGGGTTGAATCATCTGGACCGTAAATCTCGCGGAGGGGACAGCCACATTGAGGCTCAAGCTGATCGGTCACGAACGTTGTGCACGGGGTCGTCGTGAACCGGCTCAACCACGCGCAGGCTCAGCAGATCTTTACAGTGAAGAAGGCCAACCACCTTTGAGGAAGGGTCGTGGAAGCCTAAACTCCCAACCACAACGCAAAAACCCCATGGCCTCCCCTCAAATCGTGAAATGCAACACCATGAATTCCAAAATCCTGCCCATAGCAGACACAAACTCTACATCTTAGGTTATCACAGGTTACAGTCTTCTCCTCCGCAAGATTGTATTTACATCCAATCCTGCAAATGCAGTAAATGCCTGTCGGCTTGGTTTAGGGTCATGAGAATCTCTGGGCGTCGCCTTGTCTTTGCACGTTCATGTTTGCATCCGACATCTGCTTTGCATGCGTTTGGTTGCATTGTTGTTGGCATCCGGCGTTTGCTTTGCGTTTGCTGTATTTGTTTGCTTGCCTCTCGCAGAACAAAGAAACAGAGGAAACATCAAACGCAATGCAACCGCATTGCAAAAAATGAAGAACAAACTACAAACAGCAAATGCAAAAGTAAGCAAGCTAGCATACCTTGACCCGGTTATGGCAACTTCTGGCAGGCAGACCAGCAATAAGCTTAAGGCATGGATGCACATGGATACATGCATCATACGTGAGCCGGCTAAACAATACAACTAAGTTGAGGTAATGTACATGATGCATTGTAGCACGTGATCATATGCCGGCATGCAGCCTTTGTGTAGCCTTACTACTTTCTAGCGAGAACTACACTCGTACGGTAGGATACATCATGACATGTCATGACTTGAGTTCCTCTGTTCCGTAATCTTGCGGCTAGTGCCAGCCTAAACTTCATAGGGGAAACCAGGACAAGAGGAGGGAACTCGAGGGAAGAACTTGGATCAGTCCAAAGTCTTGCTTCAGCGGGAGGGAGATTCTGACCGTCGTAGGTCCCGGTCCCACCGCGAATTCCAGTGTTCACCAGACCATCCTACTCGGGACCTGAGTTCGAGACATGCTTTGGGTCTTTGTTCGGAAGGGCCTGCCCAGAGGCGGAGTCCACCACAGGGAAGCGGCTGTAGCCCCGCCTCAGCAGAGGGCTTTAAGCTCGACCGTCGAGCTTCAGGTTGGTGGTTCTCATGGTCGCTGCTTCCTGCTTGCCTGGTGGCCGGAGGCCTGGTGTGGGCCGGCCGGGACATATTGAAAGCAAGGAATGCATGACTCCACGACGGGTGCCTTCAATTTACCGTAATTTGCCCTGGCTACCAATGAAATGCCAGACATCCGAAAGCGTCGATGAACTAAGCCTCACCGAAAACCCACGATCATGGTTTCCTCAGTGGCAGAAAGGAACAAAGAGATACTTGTAAGTTGCACCAGGTCTCTGAATCACGCGTGCAATAAACGCAAAGTCGAGAACATCCTGGCAAGAACGACGCTCTCAGGAGTCCACAAATGGCCCAAGACAGACTGCCACCACGGATGCTTTGTGGATCAATAGGAATTGCAGCCAGTACAGATTTCCGACACGCTTCGGAACGTACACAAACGAGGGTTGGAAACTGGAGAGTACTCAGTAGGAGGTTGTGCTTCGTCATCCACACACGAAAAGCCGAAAGCCGTCAGAACGGCACATGACATCACAGCTGCGTGACACCAGGTGAATCAGGGAATCAGAAAGTGATAATGTTCTGGATGGGCCGCTTTGCGCACCTGCGTAGCCCAGCACCCACTTGCCATGCGCCTCAAGCATCAAGCAGCAGGCACTCTGCAGCGGAACCATCACCTGCCCAAGGCGAGGGCGGGAACAGTTGACTGGCTTGACAAGACGGAATCCAATCGGCAACAGGAGGACGATACTGTTTCCAAGCAGTCCTAGTCATAGAACGGCCAACCTCTGAGACAGTCTTCTTGGTCATGCCCAGGGCACCTGCAATCGGACGCCCATCGCTCAGCGAATCGCGCAACAAGGTTCTGGTCGGGCTGCTTGGGCGAAACCCCAGAGATCGAGCTTTGCCTTGAGGATTTGGGTCGAGACCATCTATGCTCCCAGAAAAAAGCATCTATCACGAAGAAAGAGGGCCTTCTTGGAGTTTGGAGCTGCAGTCTACAGTGGGGTCTAGTGTGATACTGCTGTCCTCCGGGCTCCGTCATTGTCAACAACACACGCATACTGGTATGCACTGGTACAGTTAGCCCCGTGACTGCAAAAAACGCTGCTTCGTGTTGCTTCTTCGACTTCCGAAGAGTCCTAGGCGCAAAATAGCGCAACCCACATATGGCCTATGAGCATCTCTGCTTGCCCCTCGACGAGCATTCCTGGAGCAGCTGATTTTTGGTACCTGACAGCTGACAGCCGCAGAACAAAGTACGAAGGCACACTTGTCATCACGCTCAGGTTCCTTTTTGCAAAGAGGCTGCTCCACCAGTGCCTGAAGCTGACTTCGGTCCAGCAGGTTCTCCTCAGCTCTACGAGATGCTTTCCGGTTCAGATGATGCTCTTGGCTTATCGAGACTGCCTTCCATAGGTGCTTGTTTGAACGACATCGACAATTAATCTGCACAGCTTCGACTTGGCCGCCCAAACCAAATCCGACATCAGAGTCGACGCTTCCGCAAGCAAAGTCAAGCATCTGAACCTACAATAACCAGCAAGGCAGCAGCAGCGACAACAACAACAACAACGACGACGACACCAAGGACAAGGATGGCAGGCCTCCGAGGGACGAAGCAGAGCCAGCAGATTTTCAGCCCCTCGTCACCAAGGTGCTCGCTGTGGGAAGAGGTGATCCAGGACAAGCGCATACCTTCGGGAGCGGATGATTGGTCAGCTAGAAGCCCAACCACGGCTTTAACACACCAGCAGAACCAGATAGTGGGAAACCAATCAAGCAAGCAAACAAGCAAGCAAACACAACTGGCAAGCAAACGAGCAAGCAGAACCAGCAAGCAAAGAAGCACACACCAAACAAAGAAGTAATGACCCACGGACCAACCAAGCAACCAACCAACCACCCCAGCACTCTCAGGACCTCAGGCGAGAATTGCCGCTTAGCCACGGCTTTGTTATCGGGTAGAAGAGTACCATGGCCAGTTTGATAATCGGGGATCCGGCTGCCCCCAGGAAGAGGCCGTGCCGGGTACAGACGGATTGCGGGACCTCGCTTTGGAAATTCAGAGGTGCCCCTGCCGATCATTGCAATCCGTGCGGTTGCCAGCATGTCTCAGTCGAACTGTGCCACTGTAGTCTTCGGATCGCTGAGGGAAGAGAACAAATTACTCAATTACATGTCAGAGCCCATCCAGATGGTCTGGCACGAGCAGAGTGATAAGTCTCGTACGATCTCGCACAAGATGACGATAATGGCCGTGGTCAGCAGGAAACCGATGAAGCCGCCTGATGGCCAAGGCTTATACAGGATGCTCAGATCTGGAAATGCATGGGGCATATGGCAAAGTTTTCGGACTTTGGGAAACAAGGCAGAGGAGAGTTGGTGGGTGCGAGGCAGTCGGTGCTTCAGCGACATGCTCAGCGAAAATCAAGAGGTGCCCCGTGACCTGGAACATCCTGGGCTACCCCGCAGAGCTTTAAGCACGGGCTGCATGCCTAACTGATCGCCGAAGGTGCCGCAATGAAATCCCTAAGAGTTCCACTGAAAGAATCCCTGGGCCTGCATAGTCTGCCAACCTTGGCTTCTCAGGGCCTTTCTTCGAGCACCAGTGTTCTGACCTTCTCTGGCCTACGGATCTTTGGAACTACTACTAATACTAATACCCATACTAATAGAAATACTAGTGCTATATACTCGTTCTGATATATCTAAGTGCAGCTACATACATACATACATACATACATACTACATATATATATATATATATATATATACTAATACTGGTGCAGCGACCAGCGAGGTCGCAGGAACTGCAAGGACAGACCTCTGCTCGTGAGACTAATGTCGAAGCCGGGACCACATCGTGTTTGCTCAGGGGTTCCTGAAGCGTCTTGTCTGGTACAGCATCAGCATTCATTTTTCGTAGTCGTATCAGCATCAGCATTAGCATTGGGACCAGCATTAGCATTGACGTTGGTACTGATATTGGCATACGTATAGTATTAGCATGGTCATGGAAAGCAAGGTATAGTATGATGTAGTATAGTGCAGACTAGTTTTGAATAGTCTCGCATAGTGAAGTATAGCATAGTAAAGTATGGTCGTAGTCGCATCGCATTCGTATTCGAATCGAAAAACAAACCATTGCGTAGCCTAGCACAGCCTATGGTAGCATAGCATAGCATAGGATGGTACCGTGTTATAGCGCAGCACAGTAGAATAAATACCATAACTCTTCTGCCCCCTTATAGTGTCAAGATGCAGTTGTGCCATCAAGGCATTGACCGCGGTGTTCCCGAGGAGAATGGTACAAAGCAGTAAATTCCTTGGCTGCTGGATGCTAGCATTAAGGTTTCGTGCTGTTCGGGTGGAGGGTTTGGGGTACCCGAAGAGGACTGCTGGAAGCCTCGGTACATATTGCAATGCCTGCTCGAATCTTGCAGCAGCGATCCATCTTTCACACACTACAAGTACTGCAGAATCATACTAACTGTCTATAGATAGAAAGATACGTAGGTTGATCTAGTATTATCGCGCTTCTTCTCTGCTTGCTGGCAGAGAGGCCCCTTCCGGCGCAGTGGCAGGATCTTTCCTGGGGTCGGTGGATATAGAGGCCAGTTCTTTGGTCGTGGACTCCCTACATTGCTCTATGATCTTTGCAGTATCTTGATTCTTTCCGCATGACACCATGTGGTACAGCTTCACATGCATTTGCATTCATTCCAGGATTTGACTATGACATCTGCAAGTCACCACTTCCACCAAACCTTTGTTGCAGACCCTCTGTACTCGGGGGTATGCCATGCAAGGCTCGACCAGGTAACGAAGCAGAATGCGCATCAACGCAACACTCTCCGCTGCCAACTTGGCCGTTGTTTTTGGATACTGAACTGCTGGTGGTCCGCGGTCTGCAAAAGCCCTCTGGTCTGCGATGTGCCGGATTTCGCGGCGAACATGAAGGGGAAAAAGCGCAGACCACTCTCTCAAAAGGAACCCTCCGACTGAAAATCAAGATCGGTGCCGGGAGTCGCGCATATCTGGCAGAGTCCATGGCAGTCTCATCTTTATTTGGCACGTCTATGAGAACCTAGGTTCCAGAAGCGGCATAGCATAGTCGCGAACGCTGTGCAGCCCAGCTTGTCGCAGACTCTACTGCTGTCAAGCTTATGAGACTGAAAACCGAACATCTCTTGGCACTAAGACGAGAACGTCATGCAAGGTCATGGGAACATCAGAAGCATTGCGGAGGTCTTGACGCTAGGTCGCCTTCGGACAAGGGACCTGTAACTGCGCCGTATCCAGCGACATAAGCCCGATGTTGAGACCTGGCATCGCTGCACACAAACGTGCTGAGGATAGTCGCCCAAGATTTCTTCCACAGTTGCAAACGACTCTCCGATTGTCGACTCCAGACATATAGAACCACGAAGAACCAGCACAGCCAGAAGGATGATGGTGCTTTCCAGTGGCCTCTGGCCAGCCTTTGAAACACACCGCCACTCTCACTCCGAAGGAAAAACGGTAGTAGCAGTCGTAGTAGTAGTAGTAGTAGTAGTGGTAGTAGTAGTAGTAGTAGTAGTAGTAGTAGTAATAGTAGTAGTAGTAGTAGTAGTACTGTTATAGTAGTAGTAGTAGTCGTCGTCGTCGTTGTAGTAGTCGTAGTAGTCGTAGTAGTCGTAGTAGTCGTAGTAGTAGTCGTCGTCGTAGCAGCAGTAGTACAACTAGCAGCAGCAGCAGCAGCAGTTGCAATAACAACCCTGACGTGTTGAAGCCCGAAGTCCGCAGAGCCTGTGAAGGTCTGGGAGAGGAAAGTCAGCACGAGAATGCTCAGCACCGTGAGAAGCAGCTTGAACTGAGCCTCGTCTAGCGACTTTGGCGGCAGGGTTGGGGGTCGGCTTTTGATGAATCGAGTCGATCCGAAGATCCACAACATCAGTGGCTGAGTCTCCACATTTTGCCGAAAGTATCGACATGACCCTCCCGAACCACAACTCTCACATCTTCCAGCGGAAGCCTACTGATAGCTCCACAAGACGTATGCTGTATATATTATATGTATGTGCGCATACCCATCATATTATGTGTATATATATATATATATATATATATTGTGTTATGAACACATGCATACATGCAGTGATATTGTGTTATGAACACATGCATACATGCAGTACCTGTGTGTTACGAAACAAGCCTGCATGCATGAGCGTATGAAAATTTGCTGGTGTGCGTGCGTGTGTGCGCGTGCGCGCGTGTGTGCGCGCAGTGTGCGCGTGTGTGCGCGTATGCGCGGGTGTGTGCGCGCGTGCGCGCGCGTGTGCGCAGCGGAGCGAGCGCGCGGGCGCGCGTACGCGCGCGTGGGCGCGTGGGCGAGTGGGCGCCCCGGGTGGGCGCGTGTGCGCTTGTGCGCGTGTGCGCGTGTGCGGCTGTGCGGCTGTGCGGCTGTGCGCGTGTGCGCGTGTGCGGGTGTGCGGGTGTGCGGGTGTGCGAGTGTGCGGGTGTGCGGGTGTGCGGGTGTGCGGGTGTGCGGGTGTGCGGGTGTGCGGGTGGGTGTGGGTGGGGGTGGGTGGGTGTGGGTGGGGTGGGTGGGTGGGTGGGTGTGTGGGTGTGGGTGGTGTGTGGGGTGTGGTGTGGGTGGGTGTGGGTGGGTGTGGGTGGGTGTGGGTGGGTGTGGGTGGGTGTGGGGTGTGGGTGTGGGTGGGTGTGGGTGGGTGTGGGTGGGTGTGGGTGGGTGTGGGTGGGTGTGTGTGTGTGTGTGTAAAACCCTGTCACTAAGGGAATCATAATTTTTCAAAACGCAGGGGACAATAGGTGGTCATTCGTACGGTACGACTCTCTGATGCTACGGTGCTCAACGCAGCTATGCATCAGAGACGGAAGCCAAGCCTGATCAGCTTGGTGTACCTGCGATTGAGATGGCAACCAGGCCAAGAAAAAAACCTGGCATGTCGAAGGATGATTGAACAAGTGTTAGGCCACGAGTGTAGGAATACGTGCTAACTCATGTTTGGCTTCGGTCAATCGAAAGTCCATCAAGTGTGTCATTCGGCTGGAAAGCTGTCCTAGTGCCAGTCGTGATGCTCCAGCGTTTATCTAAAAAGCTCGGTGGCCATACATATGAATGCTCACCTTCGGGTGCAACAATTCTCCCACACTTTCTCCTCCAAACCCACTGCAAGATGTCGGGCTAACGTCCATTTGTGATCCTAAATGCGACAGGCCACTAAATGTGACATCAACTTGTGTCTCCTAAATGCAACATCTCCTAAATGCGACATCTCCTAAATGCGACGTATGTATGTATGTATGTATGTATGTATAAGCATCTCGGCTTAGATGTGAGCGACAGAGACCAGGAGGTCTCTGCAGGCAGTCGTAGCCGCATGCGGCTATGGACGGAGTCAAGGCGATGGAGGAGGTGGCAGTCGCAGTGCATTGCAGCAACGAAATACCGAAGCTGCAAGGGCGCCCACTGTTTAGCGATCAGCTTGGCAACTATGTGCGGTATGTGGTGCTGGGTGCTCTTAGCAAACAGTGGAGCCACCTCTCACTCACGATGCTCCGACACAAGCAAAGCCGACTGGACATCCAATGGAGGTATGCTGGAGCTTTTCAGGTGTGGCACGAGGGCTGGCAGTTCCTTAATGGTGACGGGCGGCTGCTGTTGCTTGAGTGTACTCTGCAATTTGATAGGCAGTTTGCCCTGGCCCTGCTGCACTGTGTATACCTTTGTCAAGACCCTGATCTGCAGACTCTGGATTGAAACCACCAGCCGAGGACAGGTTGGCTCGCTACTGGACCTCAGGAGAACCTTGAAGGGAGCCTTCCGGCTCAAGGCTCGCAGCTGGAGCGGCCAACAGCCGGGAACCGAGCAGGCACTGCGATTGATCATGCTTCCAGCACTCGGTCTGTGCATGTGTGCTGGGGCGGGAATCTATGTGACGGGCATGCTTGCATTACAGGCACCACCGGCCCACACTGTCCCTCCTTCGATGACAGCCCAGTGCCCCTGTAAATCTCAGACTGTATGCCTTCAGAGCTTTTGTCGGACAGTGCGGGAACTGATCACCAGACTGCGAGCTTATCTTGCACAGAACATTCTGCATCACAGCCCACCGGCTCAGCTAGGGAGGACATTTTGGGCCCGACCACGGACCCCACCCATGGCGGATTCATCGGAGGAGATGGAAGAGGTATGGGTGGACAGCCCCTCCGTGCCTCCTCGACCGCCAAGCTCGGCACCGGCGGGACCACCGCCTCCCAGGCCGGTTCAGATGGAACAGGCCTTTGCACATAGGGTGGCAAGGGCAGTTGCGAGGGAGCTTCCGGGCTGGACGGGGCCACGAGACCCTGACGTCTCTTCGGATCACCCTGGAACCCATGCGAAGCTCCGATCACAGGCATCCGAACCTCCTACGATGGGGTGCCAACGGCCCTCGCGAAGACGAGGGAGGAGCGATGACGGGACCTGCTGCTGAGGACAGACAGCTCTCCTATATGCTGTCGGCTGCCATTGCGGACACGCTGTTGCGCAGAGGCCACCCTACTGAGGTCGTCCTTACAAGGCTCTCCTCTGAGATTGTGGCACCGGACACCAGAGTGCCAATGCTCACAGCCAATATCAGGAGGATGGCAGCCAATGACTGTGGACAGGAAGCCCTACGGACGATGACAACACGGGACACCCCACCGTCATTGGGGAAGCCTTGAATCGCAGTCGGTACGCGGGGGGCGGTGGCCTCATCCCGAGAGAACATGCGGAGGAGATCACGGCGGAGCTCTGGGCGGATGGCACGTTGGCGGAGCTACTGGGCGATGAGGCCGAGGACAATGGCTCTACCGGAACGATGATGGCATCGGGCTCGAGCGAACCCTCTACGGCCAGGCCAAGCACCGGGAACTCAGGATCCAGGCGTGGGAGAAGGGAGGATGGAGAAATGGCACCTCCCCCGACACCGAAGCCCAAGGCCAATCGCAAGTCGCAGCCTCATTTGCTGAAGGGTGTGACCAGCCTTAGGCGGAATAAGTCCTACAGCTCGGGAACCCCACACAGAGCCACCCTCGAACATCAAGCCGTCTCAGGCGCCGACACGAGGACAGCACGTAACCTGAAGGGGCAGTGCTCTAGCGAGCTTTTCAGGACCATTGGCCGAGGGCGTTGCACTGGGCAAATGGGCCTCGGTCAAAAGTGCCTCCAGGATAGCCTGTCTCTTGAAAGCCTCCTGACGCTCTTGGGCGACAAAACAAAGGGTGGAGCGATTCTGCTGAAGAGCTGGTGCATGAACCTGGTACACACTCCAGCTGTGGGGGTAGTTCAATGGCCTGGGAGGTACAGAACCACGACTCTCTGGAAGAGCTTGGCAAGGGCCCCATTGTCTACCTGCCTGGTGGCACTATGCTCCTTGCTTGTGTATCACCTGATGAGCCAGGTCTGCTACATCCTGCTTCTTCCCTACCTGCAGGGTGACAAGCTCAGATCTGACAAAGTGATCCCGCCACCCTTCCTCTTGATGATTGCATTTAAGAGCATACACCTGTTACGCAACCACATGGAGACGTGCCCTCCGAGGTTTATCATCCGGGCTACACTGCCTGCAGAATGCCTCCCTTACGGTCGTATTCTCAGTTCATCTTTGAGCCGCCCAGGTCCCAAGTCCTGGGGTCGTTGCATGAGAGGGAACACACTTTCACTACGAGTTTCGACTCTCTTGTTATTGTTCTACACCATGATCCATACCACGAAGGCCATGCATGCAACGACAGATGCGAGGGTTTGGTTCCCAGAGCACCACTGGAACCAAGAAGCCGCATCTCAGGTCATGACTGACCACGATTGGGCGAAGCATGGTGTTAGCCGCCATCCAGCCCAAGTTCACCCCCCAGGAGAGATCAGGAAGAGAGCGCTTCACAGAGCGTACCACAGAGCGACACGGAACCCCTCGGGGCTAACATGGTACCGAGGGCAACAATTGCACTTCAGCCAGCTCTCCTCAGGTGACCCCAGAGTGTTCCCCAGGAGCAAGACGAGGCCCGACCCCAACAGCAGAGCCAATCGACGACTCAGAGTTATGACCTGGAACTCGGGAGGACTTAGCACCACCAAGTACGCCGAGATTTTAGAATGGCTCGCTGAAGAGACGGACAAAGGCCACCCAGTGGACGTACTGTTCTTGCAGGAAACATGCTGGAAACAGGACATGGAGTATGTGGCCACGCCAACGAACCACAGCCACATCAGTTACCACGTGATCCACTCAGCAGGGCCAGACCGGACTGGGATAATGTGTCTGCTTAGGAAGGGCATGATCCCTGGTTCGGAAATCCGCCATGTCAGCTGCCTACCAGGTCGGATGCTACACGTGCGGTTGCACTTTGAGGCACCGCTTGATATCCTGGGAATCTATCAGTACTCATGGAACCCGAGCAAAGCATCCCTGGAGGGCCACAAAGTGACGGCCCAGGTCAAACAACGGCAAAAGGTCTGGAAGCTGACGGAACAATGGCTCCGGACAGTGCCGAAAAGGCACGGCTGTCTTATTGCTGGGGATCTGAACACTCCGGCTGTCGAAGAACCCAACATATGTGGGCCAGGAGTGGTGACACAACAAGTCCAGCAGAAGGACCAGGAAGCGTTCCAGGACCTGCTCCGACTTCATCGCTGCTGCTTGCTGAACACCTGGACGGGCACAGGACTGATGCAGCGCACCTATATCCCGCCGGGGGAGCAGGGTGCCCAGACTGGCACACAGGTTGATTTTGTGATCGCCAGAGATGATCTAGCTGATGCTATAGCAAGGAGAGCCTGCCCCATCTCGACACCGTTCGAGCCCTGCAGTGGTTGTCGACATCGACCGGTCCATGCTTCGATTCCTATGCCCAGGCTGCCCACTAAGCCCAAGGACACCCACATTCGGCAAAGACCCGCTCAGGTTCAGAAAGCGATGGCCGACCTTCAGAAAAGGGACAACTACCTTCAGCTTGTGGCCCCAGCCTTGGAGGTGTGTGCACCCACAGACAACCTCGACCAGATCCTGCAACAAGGATGGGCCCAAGCCCAACAGACTGGACATGGCCCCCCCAGGAGATGGTGGCCTGGACTCAGCGACACAGACTCAGCAGCTGATAGTCCGAGAAACGATCACCTCAATGTGGCGGATCAGAGCTGAGCTACGGGCCCTGACAGGTCACCCAAGAGATCCGGAGGACACTCCCTCCCTTGGCACGCTGTGGAAGGCGTGGGCGACTACGGCAAAGCCCCAGGCGGTTACTCGCAACCTTCGTAAAGAATGCAGGAGAAGGAAAACCCTACGAATCCTGGAGGCCGTGCAAGCGGATAATATCCATCAAGCTGCGAAGAAATTTGCCCCCAAACAGGCGAGACGACGACTACAACTCCGATCCGAGGAAGGTCGCATTCAGTCTCGGGAGGCAGAATTCAAGCAGATCAAGGACTACTTCATGTCTCTCTTTTCGGGTCCACCGTGCACTGTCATAATGTTACCAGAGGACATATCCTTCACGGAAGAGGAAGTCAAGCGAGCCCTTGGACGCCTCGTGGCGGGGAAGGCCATGCCCACCACAAGCGCTCACGCAGTATTGTGGAAAACTGCGATGGTTCAGGTCGTGCCAGCCCTGCAGCAGCAGATCAACCACTACCTGACTAAAGGCACCAGCACCCTGCCGGCCAGCTTTAATGTCTCTGAGCTCATCCTTCTCCCGAAACCGGGCAAGAGTCTGTGCTCCCAACTGCGACCCATCAACCTGCTCTCGCTACAGGCCAAAGTATTGGGAGCGATTCATCGCGGCCAGACTGCAGCCCTATGCGGTGAACTACCTTCAGGCTGTGCCTCAGTTTGCGTATGTTGGGGGCAGGTCTCTAAGCATGGCGCTTGAGCGCGTGGCTAGCCACTGTGCAGTGGTGAGAAAGCTGCTGGGAGATCAGGCGACCAACCTCCACGCCAGACGGGCTGGGAGACGAGCGGCACAGGTGTGTGGTGGAGTGCATCTCTCACTTGATATATCCAAAGCGTATGACAGGGTGCCGTGGAGTGACCTGGTCCTTGCATTGCGGGAGGCGGAAGTACCGGAGAGCCTCATCGAACTGATCCTGCTCATACATCAGCAGGCCCAGGTCCGTGTGGAACATGGCGATTGCCAGGCCCATCTGTCTTTGGGCCGAGGCTTGAGACAAGGATGTGGATTGGCACCCATCTTATGGACGATCTACTCAAGCTGGCTGCTCAGACGACTCCATAAACCACCACTGCTAGACATCACGTCCAGTAATACAACGTACGCAGATGACTTTCATTTTGGCTGGACCATACGCACAGGACGGGACATGGAGGACGCGTACAACTCCATGAAACATGTACTCAAAGGCCTTCGGGACCGTGGGGTACTTGTCAGCATTGAAAAGACGGTTGCCCTCATCGAACTCCAAGGCCCTGGTGCAGCGGCCTGCCTCTCCAGATACCTGGTGGAAAGACCACAATGGAAGGGCAAGTTCCTCAAGTTCACAATTCATGGCATGACGGAATATGTCAAAGTGGTCGCCAAACATACATACTTAGGCATGATCATCAGCTTCAAGAAGCACGACCAGGAGACGGCCAAACACCGTATGGACCTGGCCAAGGGGGCTTACTCAAGGCTGGCTGCGACCCTCAAGTGCCGTGATGTGTCGGTTAAACTCCGACTCCTACTCTGGCAAGGTACGATACTACCAACCCTGCTACACGGACTGGACTGCACCGGGCTCCCACAGCATGAGGCCTCTCAGATGATGGTTATGTACTTCAAACAAGCCAGGGCGATCGCCAACTCATTCAGCATGTTCACCCATGAATCACACCAGGACTTTGCCCGCCGACTGCGACTACCTGACCCCCTTCGTCGTCTTCTTCAGGCCCTAGACCGACGTGCCCAGGCGGATCCACACTGCCCGGTGCTCCTTCGCCCAGGTGACGCGCAACTACAATGGCGAGCCTTTGTGAGGGGCCAGATTTTGGATGCCAGGGAAGCCTGTGGCAATGTAGGCACGACCATGCCTTGTCCTGGTAATCACCTACAGCTGTGAAGTATGTGGACTTGCCTATGGCACACAGGCTGCCCTCAAAAGGCATGTCTTTCGACAACATATGGATGAGGAAACCCAACTCCAAACAGTGACTGAAAACCGTCGTGTCCTACGAGGCGAGGCTATGTCACATGCCAAAGACGGTATGCCACTTTGTAGGCATTGCAATCACGCATTCACGACCTGGCCAGCAAGCATTCTTTTACCACATCAATGCTAGGAGTTGCCCTGCTCTCAAAGCTCTGTATGAAGCTAGCTCGACCACTACACCTGTACCTGTGGAGAGCGAAGCTATCACTGAGGATCCTGAGATCATAAAACTTGCTGGCAATTGCTCATGGAGGGACCTGGCTTTGCACCCCAGTGTTCGCAACAAACATCAGCATTGCCCGGAGTGCAACTTGTGGACGGTCAAGCATCAGTACGTGAAGAGACACATGCTCCTCAAGCATCCTGCTCAAAAGGCCCTGATTGAACGCAGTGAGGAACTCATTGTACAGAGCGACCTGAGCATCACCAACCCTTGCCAGTACTGTGGTCTCGCTTACCAACGCAAATCTGCTCACCTTAAAGCATGCATCGGTATCTTCAGTGGGGTATACCTTCACCTTAGGATCGCCAGAGGACGCCCCCTACAAGATCTCATCATCAAAGGTGATGACCATGGAGGTCATGGAAGTGGATGCCGAACCCGTGCGGCAGATGAAGGAGGCGACCAAGGAACTGGAGCTACTTCGAGCGCTTGCGCCCCAGGAGGTGACCAACCTGCCGAACAGATCGGAGAACCCAGGGGCGGCGGAGGAGCCCTTGGACAGAGCTCAGGATTCCTGGTTTGGCGAGCCACAGCCCAAGTACCACAAGGACGGCAACAAGGGCAGCGAAGGCCGCGGCAAAGGAGGAGCGGAAAAGCGAGCGAGGGATCAGGAGACCTACGACAACTCCTGGCACAGCCAAAACTCCTGGCCAAGCCAGTGGCGAGGCCAATGGGAGAGCCATGCTCAGAAGGGCAAGAACAAGGGCAAAGGCAAGGGCAAGAACAAGCGGCAGCCGTACCCCCACCACGATCCGTGGAGTGGCGAAGAGATGCCGGAGGAGTGCAAGGCCATGATCAACATGATGGCGAACATGATCCTTCGGCAGGAAGCCCAGATCTTGATACAACGACAAGACACTGCCTTCGTGGTCTTCATGCAGACACAAATGGAGGACAGCGTGGCGAAATCCACTTACACGCTGGCGCAAAAGTGGCATGCGATGAAGGCCAAAGAACCGGAGAAATTGTCGTCCCCGATGAGGGTGCTACTGTTCCAACACTTCATCAAGACGGTGATCGAGAAGGTCGACAGGATGGTATCTACCCCCTCGGCAAGATCGACGGCGGCGTCCTTGGGATGGATGAACGACGAGGGCACCCAGATCAATGGAGTGAAATGGGATGCGGAGAATCGAACACATACCAAGGACACCACAGTCAAGCCTCTGGCAACAACGGAAGTCCAAGAGGCCTTGGCGGAGATCTTGATCAAATGCCCCCAGGACCTGGTGGTGTCAAGGTACCATGCGACGAGGAAACTGGCCTCGGAATACCAGTCACCCACATTGACGATGATGCTAGAGATTGGCAATGGGGTGGAGGCTGCACAGGCAGTCTGGCGGCGACTTCATCAACTAGAGCGCTCGGGATGCTGGGTAGCGGCAGGTACGTTCCTCCGGGCAGAGACCATGCACAGGAGTGCACTGGGACAGAAGCTGGCAGCCCTCACGAGATAAGGGCCTTCCAGCTGGGGAACCGGGGCAACTACTGCTACTCCAATGCAGTATTGAAGTGCTTGATGTATGTTGCTGCATTCAGGGGCGGCCTTGGGGCGATGTTTGATGGGGCCATGCTCAAGTTCATTCGGGGAGCGCTTGAGCACAAGGGGACCACACACCTGTGGAGCCAACCATTTTGGATGGCTATGATGAGGAAATGGCGGGAACCTGCACGACAACACGATTGTGCAGAGTTCCTGGCACACTTTCTGCGGGAACAGCGGTTTACTGCGGAACAAATGACGCTGTGCTGGCAAGCTCGTTCCTCTCAAGCTGGAGAGCCAATGATAGTGGACGGGGGTGAGTCCGCGCCTATCCTCATCCAGCCTCCTGAGAGAGTGAGATCGGACCATTTGTACAGCACGAGTGTGCAAAAACTTATCAATGAGTGGCGAAATCAGGACTATGCACATGCGGCCACAGTCCCGCCAGCAGTGCTAGCCATACAAGTGGGGCGCTTTAGACACCAGGCTGCCGAGGGTTGCAGTGTGAAACGTCGCTTTGCTGTGATTCCTGAATCTCACATTAGACTGCCGTGTTTTGTTGATGGTGTTCAAACGCATGATATCATCTTCCACCTTCGTGCAGCTCTAGTACACCAGGGCCTCTCTCTCCAAAGTGGCCATTACACTGTGATCATGTTTGATGGCATCGATAATTGTGATACTTGGATTGCTGACGATGATAGGCAGGCGTATCGTGTGCCGTATGATGCTGTTGCTGAGTGCTTCCAAGATATTTACATGCTTTTCTATACGAAGACGACTGGCCACAGTGAGGTTTTGCTTTAGGGCACACGTGCCGAAGACCTCCCCTCCTGGGAGGGTGTCATCACAGATGTGCAATGCACAGCACCAATAGTGTGCCGGGCTTTGAAAGCTTGTCTGCCGTTCCGTTCGCCGAAGCTGGATCTTCTGCAACGCCGAAAGTGAAAGTGAAAGTATGTATGTATGTATTCGTGTTGGGGGGGCTGCGGTTTTGCCTGCGAACTCCCACACTGAATCAACAATAACTTGGCAATGTTGGGAGGGCTGCGGCTTTGCCTGCGAACTCCCACATTGACTTAATAACGAATCTAAACGAATCTACAGTGTTGGGGGGGCTGCGGCCTGGCCTGCGAGCTCCCACACTGAATCAACAATAACATGGCTATGTTGGAAGGGCTGCGGCTTTGCCTGAGAACTCCCACATTGACCATGTCTTCATTCAGTTTTTTCTCCCCTAAACCCTATCACCCTAGATGCCAGGTGGAGACGATGCTGCACACAGGGAGCGCACTTCTCCATTCGTTGAGCACTCTTTTGCGTACGTGCTCATCACCCTTTTCATTTCATCGTCCTGTCTCCTTCAACTCTCTTTCACTAACGCATGCATCACGGAAAACATAGCATGTTGGCATGTGTGTGTGTGTGTCATGTATGTTGGAATGCGTTGCATGCCGGCATGTGTGTGTGTGTGGCATGTATGTTGGAACGCATAGCATGTCTGTGTCTGTGTGTCTGTGTGTCTGTGTGTCTGTGTCTCTGTCTGTGTCTCTGTCTGTGTCTCTGTCTGTGTCTCTGTCTGTGTCTGTGTCTCTGTGTCTCTGTGTCTCTGTGTCTCTGTGTCTCTGTGTCTCTGTGTCTCTGTGTCTCTGTGTCTCTGTGTCTCTGTGTCTCTGTGTCTCTGTGTCTCTGTGTCTCTGTCTCTGTGTCTCTGTGTCTCTGTGTCTCTGTGTCTCTGTCTGTGTCTCTGTGTCTCTGTGTCTGTGTCTTGTCTGTGTCTCTGTCTGTGTCTCTGTGTCTCTGTGTCTCTGTGTCTCTCTGTGTCTCTGTGTCTCTGTCTGTGTCTCTGTCTGTGTCTCTGTCTGTGTCTCTGTCTGTGTCTCTGTCTGTGTCTCTGTCTGTGTCTCTGTCTGTGTCTCTGTGTCTGTGTCTCTGTGTCTGTGTCTGTGTGTCTGTGTGTCTGTGTGTCTGTGTGTCTGTGTCTCTGTCTGTGTCTCTGTCTGTGTCTCTGTCTGTGTCTCTGTCTGTGTCTCTGTCTGTCTGTGTCTCTGTGTCTCTGTGTCTCTGTGTCTCTGTGTCTCTGTGTCTCTGTGTCTCTGTGTCTCTGTGTCTCTGTCTCTGTGTCTCTGTGTCTCTGTGTCTCTGTCTGTGTCTCTGTCTGTGTCTCTGTCTGTCTCTGTCTGTGTCTCTGTCTGTGTCTCTGTGTCTGTGTCTCTGTGTCTGTGTCTGTGTGTCTGTCTGTGTGTCTGTGTCTGTGTCTGTGTGTGTGTCTGTGTCTGTGTCTGTGTCCTGTGTCTGTGTGTCTGTGTGTCTGTGTGTCTGTGTGGTGTCTGTGTCTGTCCTGTGTCTGTCTGTGTGTCTGTGTCTGTGTCTCTGTGTCTCTGTGTCTCTGTGTCTCTGTGTCTCTGTGTCTCTGTGTCTCTGTGTCTCTGTGTCTCTGTGTCTCTGTGTCTCTGTGTCTCTGTGTCTGTGGGTGTGGGTGTGGGTGTGGGTGTGGGTGTGGGTGTGGGTGTGGGTGTGGGTGGGTGGTGAGATTGATTGTGTGTGTGTGTGTGTGTGTATAAGAATCACTGTGTATCGGCATGCGTTTGTGCTTGTGTGTTTTTATGTGTGAATACGTCCGTATGTATGTACTCTATAGGAGACACCCCGTCAAGAACCACCCAAGGCCCGGAAGCTCTGAGCCAAAGAGCTGCTTCTGCATCGCTGTCATCGGTCGAGGGCGCTGCAGTTGTTTCCATCGACTCTGAGGCTAACAGCTCTTGGCGCTACTGCCTCGGAGTTTCTGAGGACTCCTTAGGCCTGAGACCTTGGACTGAAGGTTTAGGGATCTTTAGGGCTTTGTGGCTTTACGACCAGCTTCCCCGGCCGCTTCCAATAAGGCCCCAAGCACCTTCTTCGACGTATGAACAACAACGATACCCCGTTCTGATTGGAAGTTTGGGGCTTAGTTGTTTGTTTCTCCCCGCCTCCGGCTCCGAAAGGTGGCTCCGGACTGAGGATTTAAGGCTTTTTTTGAGTTTGCATGGTGGAGGGGGGCATAGGGACCTTGGGCTCAAGACTTGAGCGGCAGGCTCATGTTCTGAACCTGGTTGGGGTGCTGCATCTTCGGGATTTCTTAGTCGAACTACTCTTGAGCTGACAGACGCTGCAGCCATTCAAAGGCGGCTGGTGCCACCAGAAGCCCCCAGCGGCGGAAATGCTTCCTGAAGCTACCGCGGAAGCCGGCGCCCTCACAGGCAAATGTCTTGGTCAAGACCGGAGGGATCCTCACAGAAGCTCCGGCTTTCTAAGCTCACAGTCCAGGTTCCATTGCGTCTTTCCCTGGCAGCTCGAGTGATCCTCCACTGCAACGGGAGCCAGCCGAAATGCCGCGACGTCGGGTGCAAGCGAATTTGGCAAGTTCGAAACGATGTGCTTGCCTGCACGGGCAAGTCAATGTCAAAACGGGGCGGGAATCCATCTCTGCTGTCAGGAGCTCCGATGGCTTGCAGAGCATGCAAAACTCGAAGCTTCTCTCAAGCATCGGCTTGCGTTGCCTGTGCCGCTGAACACCATCGGCACGTTATCAACTAGGAACGAACAATCGCGTCCTGGCTGGTGTGGGAACGGATGCAGTCGTCCATGTCTGCATACAGTACATTCTGCGGAGGGCAACGACACATGCAGAGCGATTGGAATATGACACAAGTTCACATTTCAATAGCTAAGGCCAGCCACGACGCTCCACCAATGTCTTCAAAAAGTTGCTCACAACAGCTCGTGCGATCCAGGAAAACCTGGGCTTTCGGAAATGCTTCAGGCTTCGAACGGAGCTCCACCCGGAAGCGAAATTCAAGGGAACGGATAACACCAGAACCCTGTGACAAGGAGAGCCGTCCGACATCTGATTGAAGTGTCGGGCAGGGCTGCAGTTCGACATCGGAGGAATGCTAGACAGTGACAAGATTGAACAATGGGCTCTGGGAACTTTGGAGTGCAGAGCGAAGCTTGGGGCTGCTCTCTCACCTCCGAAACACTCATCCAAGGCACGAACGGGGCCACGATCCATATGATTCCACATCTGCAAGCTCCCACCGTGGCAACCAGGGCTGCCTGCAGGCTGCGACTGGGATCTCGGCCAAGAGCCCTCAACCTACGAGGGGGTAGGGTGTAGTTTAGGGTTTGGGGTTTTAAGATTCAAAACAAACCCTCCAGGGTTTAGGGTTTAGTTATAGTTTATGGTTTGGGGTTTTAAGATTCAAGACAAACCCTCTTTCCAGTTCCAGCCCTGTGCTTGAGTCTGGAAATGCAGATGCCATGAACGGGATTCTTACTGTGGATGCTCAACCTGCATGCCAGTCGCTTGTTCGGAAATGCAAAAACCCCCCTGCCGGTCATGGTAACCGAGAGATCTACTTCATGAGGTAAGGTTGTCATTGCCATCGCGATCCCAAAACGATGTAAACCCTCTCCAGCCCCCAGCCCCGTATCATGCTAGCTGCTAGCCCCACCCAATAGTGTCAATAGTGCACGTAAAACTACGAACACGACTCACACGACGACAGCTGCTACTTCGCGAGGTTGGTCTGCTTCTGCTGTTGCTGCTGCCAGGACGAAGATGGTGCCCCGTTTGCCCCCCCCCGTCCCCCTGCCAAAGCCTCAGACTCAAAGGTTGAGGTACATCTTCGCACGGTCGTAAAGCACCTGGATGGGGTTGCTTTGGTATTGAAACCAGCGATTCTCTTGCGTGATTTTGTGTGCTGAGCCGGTCTGGGACTCCGGGCCAGCACCAATGCGCCGCCCACGCTGCGCACGACGTTGGCCAAGAATCCCTTGTAGAGGCCGGCGACCAAGCCTGAAGTATCTCAAGTTCTGAAGCCCAAACCCCACCAGCTCCTCAAGCTGCCTGTGCTGTTGCCTCAGTGCCTCAGCCTTTGGCGACGGTGCAGCTGGGGCCGCGGCCCTCCTCGGCGGCGATCTTCTTGAAGCAGTCAGCAGTGCCCTTGTAGAGGTGCTCCTCAGGAGGCTTCTCGGACTGCATCTGCAGGCGTCTTCGAACGGTGTCGAAGGGGTAGGTGGCACCCGCACCGATGGTGATGGCCGTCTGCGCCGCGGCGAAAGTGCTGACGGCTCCTAGGATGCCCTTGTCCTTCTTGTAGGGGTTCAGGCCTGTGATGGTGTCGAAGGTACCCAGCTGCAAGCCACGGTAGCCGATGATGCCGCACACAGACACGCCGAAGCCAGTGTACAGGGCAAAGAAGCCACCGGGGCCCTGCACAGTCTTCACGATGCAGTCGCCCAGTCCGCTGAAGGTCTTCTTGCCGGACCCCACGTCCGAAGCCAAGCGCGTCCGGGCATAGTCCAGCGGGTACACAATGGTCATGCTGGCGGCGGCTGCCAAACCACCCGACACCAGGTTGGCGCCGAAGAACTGCCAAAACTCGGTCTTTGGGTTGTACTTCGGGAACATCTTCTTGAACGTGTCCTTGAAGGCCAGGTTGAAGGCCTGGGTCGGGAAGTAGCGGATGCAGTTCGTCAGGTTGCCGTCCCAGAATCGCTTGAAGCCTTGCTCCTTCATGATGCGCTGGGCGCAGTCCACCATGCCGGTGTAGCGGGGCACCTCCCCGCTGCGGATCTTCGGGTTGGCATCCTGGGTCTGCACCACGAGCTTCACGCGCTCGATCGGGGCAGTCAGCGTCTTGGACACTGCCCCAGACACGCCGCCGAGCATGAAGTCCATCACGAACGCCTGCATGCTGCTGTCCTTCCCTGCCATGGCGAGGAATGGAAGGAACGAGGAGGAGGCCGATCTGTTAGGACCAGGAGGCCAAGCAGCTGGAGCCAGGGCCACCGTCGAAGCCTACAAGCGCGCAAAGCTGGAAGTGACGCGGCCACAGCATGCGGAATCCAGTGGCTTAGTAGAATCTTGTGGACCGCATCATGGGATTGTGCCATTTTCCACTGGTCATCTCCGAAGCAACAACAGCTTGGGATTTGTCCGTCTCTCGGGCGGCTTCGTCCAGTAAAGGAACTTAGAAGCAGGTCTTACAATCGCATCTTCAGGTCGACCGAAGCGAAGCCACACATCGCAAGTCCGTGACATGATGCTTTGTCGGCAAGGCTCTTAAAATGTTGTCGTGCTTTCAAAGTACATGAGAGACTGAAGACGCCAACCACACCTCGTCCTCTAGAGCGAGGTGCAATTCGCGAAGCTGGGTCCCCACAGCCCACAGCTATGAATAAAGCAAGAAGAGGGCTAGATTCCTTACACCAAAATTTAAGGGTGGACGGGTCAGGGAACCCGCGCTCTCTGGGAAAGTGCACAGTGCCCGATTGCTCACTGCGCTCACTGCTGGTCTTTGTGGCTGCGCACAGCTGTTTTCGGAAGCGCATCCTCAAGTCCTGTCAGGACGGGATCCCCGGATTTTTCACATTGTCGGGCTGTTGGCAGTCCAAGGTTTCATCTACAGCCGTAAACATGAGCCTCCCCCTCCCTTGCCAGTGGCTGCTGCGGCCGCAGAAACTAAAGCATTGAGAGCCGCAGGAGCGATGCTGCAGCGGCTACTACTAGTAAACTCAAACTAGATACTAAAGACTACAGCGTCTCCAAAAGCTCTGCGCCCGTTTGCCCCCCCCCCCCGTCCCCCCGCCAAAGCCTCAGACTCAAAGGTTGAGGTACATCTTCGCACGGTCGTAAAGCACCTGGATGGGGTTGCTTTGATATTGAAACCAGCGATTCTCCTGCGTGATTTTGTGTGCTGAGCCGGTCTGGGACTCCGGGCCAGCACCAATGCGCCGCCCACGCTGCGCACGACGTTGGCCAGGAATCCCTTGTAGAGGCCGGCGACCAAGCCTGAAGTATCTCAAGTTCTGAAGCCCAAACCCCACCAGCTCCTCAAGCTGCCTGTGCTGTTGCCTCAGTGCCTCAGCCTTTGGCGACGGTGCAGCTGGGGCCGCGGCCCTCCTCGGCGGCGATCTTCTTGAAGCAGTCAGCAGTGCCCTTGTAGAGGTGCTCCTCAGGAGGCTTCTCGGACTGCATCTGCAGGCGTCTTCGAACGGTGTCGAAGGGGTAGGTGGCACCTGCACCGATGGTGATGGCCGTCTGCGCCGCGGCGAAAGTGCTGACGGCTCCTAGGATGCCCTTGTCCTTCTTGTAGGGGTTCAGGCCTGTGATGGTGTCGAAGGTACCCAGCTGCAAGCCACGGTAGCCGATGATGCCGCACACAGACACGCCGAAGCCAGTGTACAGGGCAAAGAAGCCACCGGGGCCCTGCACAGTCTTCACGATGCAGTCGCCCAGTCCGCTGAAGGTCTTCTTGCCGGACCCCACGTCCGAAGCCAAGCGCGTCCGGGCATAGTCCAGCGGGTACACAATGGTCATGCTGGCGGCGGCTGCCAAACCACCCGACACCAGGTTGGCGCCGAAGAACTGCCAAAACTCGGTCTTTGGGTTGTACTTCGGGAACATCTTCTTGAATGTGTCCTTGAAGGCCAGGTTGAAGGCCTGGGTCGGGAAGTAGCGGATGCAGTTCGTCAGGTTGCCGTCCCAGAATCGCTTGAAGCCTTGCTCCTTCATGATGCGCTGGGCGCAGTCCACCATGCCGGTGTAGCGGGGCACCTCCCCGCTGCGGATCTTCGGGTTGGCATCCTGGGTCTGCACCACGAGCTTCACGCGCTCGATCGGGGCAGTCAGCGTCTTGGACACTGCCCCAGACACGCCGCCGAGCATGAAGTCCATCACGAACGCCTGCATGCTGCTGTCCTTTCCTGCCATGGCGGGCGAGAAGTCAACGGGCAACGGGTCTGCCTAGCCGAGGGGCTTGCCAAAACTCGGGCCAATGCTACGGATGGTGACCGTTTCCACAAATTGATATTGATATCGATCCAGCTCCCACTTGCAACTCCTTCTTTCAGGCACGGAACAACAGCTTCGAACTAGCAAGATGCCGAGTTTTCCTGCTGAGGTCAGGTCATACACAGCTCAGCGACAGCATCGCGAACAGCGGAAAAGATGTGTCACTGAAGCCATGCCCGACAGGTCAATCATTGCTTGCTCTCGTAGGCTTTCACAATGGGTGAATCTAGAATCTAGAGCAGGGGCGAAACAGCTCCAAGCACAATACTGTGAAAGCAACTCATGTCCTCATTTAGGCCGAAGATAGTTTCAGCTCGACCTATTGGAACAGACACCCCGCTTGAGCTGTCGAAACAGGAGGTTTGCAGGACGCGCCCATGCGCGCCAGTCTCACACCCCCACAGCTGCACCACCTTTCGGTCCTAGCAGAGCCCAAAGCGTCGAGTCGTCGCTGGGCCTGCTCGCTCCTGCGCAGCATTGCTAGTTGATGTACCCTTGTGAGCACATACATGTATGTGCATACATGCATACCATACCACACCACACACTGCATTACATTGCATTACACTACATTACATTGGGTTCTGTTACATTCCATTCCATTGCATTGCATTACATTACGTACAAACATACATATGTACATGTGCGTGCATGCACATAAACATACAAGCCTGTCTGCACATCGAAGCGTAATGCAAGGCAATGCCATGTAATGTAACATCATGTGTCTTTTTGCGCAGTGTTATGAAGTGTAATGTTAGGTCATGTAATGTAGTGTACTGTGACTGTGACGTGATGTTACGTAACGTCAAACACTGCACTGCAATTGAACTGAACGCACCGTAATGCAAATTGAGTGATGTAACGTAGCCTCAAGTCATGCAAAGCGGTCATTCCACGCCCTATCATGCCCAGTCCTGTCGTGTCACAATCATGTCACGTTCTGTCATGTCCTGTCATGTCACGTCGGGTCGTGCCGTGTCAGCTCATGCCATGCCATGCAATAGTGCAACGAAGTGCACTGCAGTGTAATTGCGTGTGGTGTAGGCATGTTATTTGCATTTGTACATGTTGTTTACATGACAAACAGACATATGTACATGTAAGCATGTACCTGGTGATGCGGCGAAGCGCTTTCCTGCTACGTGTGGATCTATGGTGTGTAGTTCGTACTTTTACCGAGCCTCAATCGAAGCTTGGTTGCAGGCGACAGACCGTGCCCGGTACCTTGACGGTGCCGAATCAACTCAAATTTTCAAGATATTCAAGATTTGATCCTGCATGATTCCATACCGGAACCAGGGTTTTTCGAGTAGTTTGAACGTCTTTCGGCGATGCGGTTGAGGACTTCAGGACATCGCTACTAGCTAGCCGACGCGAGGTGTGGGAAATCTCAACTTGAAGGAATATAGTGCCAGTTATAGAAGCGCGCGATGATAGCACACTCCCGGTCCTTAAAAGTCCTCAGAGGTTAAGGTACATCTTGGCGCGGTCGTAGAGCACCTGCCCGTCCGGCACTGTGTCACACGGCTGCACGGGCACAGGATTCAAAACGTTGCAGCCGAGCCAGTCTGGGACTCCGGGCCAGCACCAATGCGCCGCCCACGCTGCGCACGACGTTGGCCAGGAATCCCTTGTAGAGGCCGGCGACCAAGCCTGAAGTATCTCAAGTTCTGAAGCCTCCTCAAGCTGCCTGTGCTGTTGCCTCAGTGCCTCAGCCTTTGGCGACGGTGCAGCTGGGGCCGCGGCCCTCCTCGGCGGCAATCTTCTTGAAGCAGTCAGCAGTGCCCTTGTAGAGGTGCTCCTCAGGAGGCTTCTCGGACTGCATCTGCAGGCGTCTTCGAACGGTGTCGAAGGGGTAGGTGGCACCTGCACCGATGGTGATGGCCGTCTGCGCCGCGGCGAAAGTGCTGACGGCTCCTAGGATGCCCTTGTCCTTCTTGTAGGGGTTCAGGCCTGTGATGGTGTCGAAGGTACCCAGCTGCAAGCCACGGTAGCCGATGATGCCGCACACAGACACGCCGAAGCCAGTGTACAGGGCAAAGAAGCCACCGGGGCCCTGCACAGTCTTCACGATGCAGTCGCCCAGTCCGCTGAAGGTCTTCTTGCCGGACCCCACGTCCGAAGCCAAGCGCGTCCGGGCATAGTCCAGCGGGTACACAATGGTCATGCTGGCGGCGGCTGCCAAACCACCCGACACCAGGTTGGCGCCGAAGAACTGCCAAAACTCGGTCTTTGGGTTGTACTTCGGGAACATCTTCTTGAATGTGTCCTTGAAGGCCAGGTTGAAGGCCTGGGTCGGGAAGTAGCGGATGCAGTTCGTCAGGTTGCCGTCCCAGAATCGCTTGAAGCCTTGCTCCTTCATGATGCGCTGGGCGCAGTCGACCATGCCGGTGTAGCGGGGCACCTCCCCGCTGCGGATCTTCGGGTTGGCGTCCTGGGTCTGCACCACGAGCTTCACGCGCTCGATCGGGGCAGTCAGCGTCTTGGACACTGCCCCAGACACGCCGCCGAGCATGAAGTCCATCACGAACGCCTGCATGCTGCTGTCCTTCCCTGCCATGGCGGGCGAGAAGTCAACACGGCCGGGTCCAGGTCACTTTGATAAAAGAAGACACTTCGGCCGAAACATGCACTTCGAGCTCTGCACAGTGCTAGTAGTCTCTAGCGACTCGAAATCAACTACGAGTATCAACAGCATGATTTTCTTGAGAGTCCACGCATGAAGTCCCAATGCAGTCCTGCAATTGAGGGGGTGAAACTTGTGGCTGAAGGGCACAAGGAGGTGTGCTCGGATTGCATGGTATTGGTTTATCGGCCTCCACCCACGATCCCAAGGTGCTCTCAGAAACCAATGCTCCCAAAGCAGAACCTGCATAGAGCTTCAGCGACACTCGATTCAAACTCAGCAACTTGCGGACTGCTGTAGCACGACCAACCTACAAGAGGGAGACAACTTGCAAGCAGCCGACTACCTTGATTATGGGGCGTCTGCTCAACACTTGCGCATGTCCTGCTTTGCTGCGAATGCCAGGTCTGCGATGAAGCAGCCAATGAAACTCGAAGCTCAACACACAAGCACTTGAAGGACCCGCATTAGAGGTGGGGAGTTGAGGCGAAGGACGATTTGAGGATTCGAGGTTTGAGTGGGCTCAAAAGTGGGTGCCAGGATCTGCGACAAACTGTATTTGTCCGAGGATCAAGGTCGAGATGTGGCCAAATCGTCAAAGGGCAACATAAAACCAACTAACAAGGCTTCCTTTGCGAGGCTATGGGCGTTTACCTTGCTCGTCAAGAGGAGTGGCATTCCTTCACAGCATCCGGTGCTCTGCTACTTGCCCAAACAAAGCAGACCTACCTACGTCACTCACTGCGGGAATGCTGGGCATCCGGCTCATCCTCGCATGGAGATCAGCTGGGAGTCCCGGATACCATTCTGCACAGAACAGCACGGGCCCCTGAAAACAAAAGACCCTATATAGCACAAATGGAAACAAGTTGGTGTGCGTGTTAATGAAATCCTGGTGGTCCTCCTTCACTCACAGGAAGGATTGAATGTAAGAGAGACAGTTTGTGGATCCATCGACAACCATGATACAGCAAATTTGGTCGAACACACGTCCGGTTGATTGTGCACATACGAACATCCAGAAACCAAAAAACTTCACATGTACAGAATTGCACATAGGAATACCCTCTGCCATACACACATGTATATAGATCAGCGCTTATGAATTCATGAATGCATGCATACAGCATGTATACATGCATACATCCATACATCCATCCATACATGCATCCCTACATGTGTAGGTACAGAAATACATACACGCATACCTGCGTGCGTACATAGACTGCCTGCAAGCAAGCATGCATGCAGGCATACATACGTATGTACGCGCTACATACATGCATGCATGCGTGCATGCATGCATGCATGAATGTAATATGTGTCTGTACGTATGTGTGTGTGCATCAGCCTGCATGCCTGCATTCATACACAATACGAACATATGTGCAGACATCGCTACAGACATGCATTCATCCACCCAGACCATACTGCCAACACGAAAATATACAGCTACGTACCTTATACGCACAACCATGTGTAATACATATGGCTATCTCTGCACAAGTACAGAAATCCGTGAGTCCGTGCGCGTGAGCGCGCATGCTTGCATGGGTATGCATGGGTTCGCGTTCGTGTTCGTGCTTGTTTTCGTGCTTATGTGTGTGTGTGTGTGTCTGCATGTGAGCTTGCGTTTGTATTCCAATGTTTGTGGAGTGCATACACCCATGCATCGGTTTCCGCATCCACCTGGAAGTAAGCAAACATTAAAGGCATGTGTGTCTCTGTGTGTCCGTATGCTTGCGTTGCTTTTTGAAAAGGAATCTACATAATGCAGATATTGTGTCTTAAGGTGTGGAATGGCCGATGTGCACGGCGGGCCTGCTGCTGATGCTGCGGCCAGAGCTCCTGCGCCTTCAGGATGAGCCACTGGGTGTTGTCCTCTCTTCTTGGACAGTGAACATTCGGAGGCTTTTGACTCAGACATTGAGGAAAACCCTACAGCTTCTTATGAATTCCGATGTCAACGCGCACTATCTCAGGGTTTAGGGTTTAGGGTTTCAAGTCAGGCTGCACAGCCCGAGACACCGATCGCCTTTACTCCAGCCCGAGGCTTACTCGAAGGCTTTTTCTGATCCGACATTTAGCGACCATAAAAATTAGACTGGGTTTTCAAAAGGGATACACGCATGCGCGAAGAGGCAATGGAGGACTACGAAGGATAGTGTGAGAGACTAGTCGACATATCTAAGCTAGAGACTCCGAGGCCAGAGATGGTGAGTAATTCTTCGGACCCCTACGTCCCAAACCCCTTGTAACAACTCCTATATAACCAACGCTGATTGTATGCTTATGGTGACCCCTCATTTTTTGCAGCAAGCCGTCCTTAGTGAACCTTTTTTTAGGAACCCTTCCGTCCAGGAGCTGCATCCAGGAGTTGCCAAGCTTTGGCAGTTGGCGCAAGAGCGCAACGTAGGACCTGTGAGCAGGACCCGAGGGGAACCAGGGTTTAGGGTTGAGGGTGAAGGGTTTGGGTTAGCGCTTTGGGCTTAGGCCTGAAATCGTCTGCCAGAAATGCCGTTTAGGATGTAGGGGTTTGGCCGTACATCGTGAGCCAGAAAACCCGTAATGTTGTCGCGCAGCCTTGATGTGGCCTTTTCTGTCTCGAGAATCTTCAACCTCATCTCAGAATCATCTTGACAGCCAACAAGAAGCTTTTGCAACCCTTAATTAAACTGGGCAAGCAAAGCCCGGAGCAGCTCAAGTCATCCCGGCTATCCACCACCCGAATCGGGAATTGAAACAAGTCCCCCTTTACCAGGCCTGACATGTGCGACGGCATCCGCGACCCGCTGCTGCACCACGGTGTGGACCTAGGTAGGTGTGGGTACAGCACGTTAGAGTACAGCATGTTGAAGCGAAGTGCCTCCTTGTAGCTTTAGATTCCTCAGGGGCCCCGCTGATATCCTGATCAGTACCATGTAGGTTTCAGCAGTCCAAGCTTGCATCCGCGCACCCGAGTGGTCCCCATCTCCGCGCAAACTCCCGAAAAACACCCTAAGTGCTAGACTGACCCAAAATCATTCGTTTCCAAGGTCTGTTGTTCAGCCGGGCCACCGCGAGATTGTGGTAGCAGATAGCCAGCAATGACGAGACTGGTGCGTCACTGAGCTTGTTCAAAGCCTGTGGGAAGCTGGCTTAGGCTGATCAGAGCGGTGCACAACAGACTGCAAGCGGCTCCTAGGATTTCGGGCCTGATGCGGAGTCCGGAGTGCAAGGAGCAATGCAAGCTTAATACGGTTGACATTGCAACGTTCAAGTGCCAGGTTCCTTCCAGCCTACAGGTGATGGGTTCAGCGCATTTAGCATCTTGCGTTCAAGGAAGAGGGTTTGCAGCCGAGTAAACTGCTGGCAATTGTTTCCATGTTACCAATACCCCTCTAGTGCCCAATACGAGCACGTGCGCGTATGTGCTTTGCATACAATCACTGTCGAATATTGGCCTGGCCTGCTGCGTATAGTACTCGGCCTCTGACTTGCTGCCCTGCAAGTGCAGGACTGCTGCAGCCCTGAGGCAGCACCTTGGGCTGGACCCGAGAGGCTTAAAGGCTCAGGCTGAAAGGGAAATGGTACAGCTCAAGAAGCTTCCTGGGAGGCTCTTGAACTCAAAATCGCCGGGCGCGCTGCTTGCAGTACCTGTTGACATGGCCCAGCCGCAGGTATCTTTCAGATGCCTCCAGGCGTAGCAACTGCAAGACTGCGAGTCTACGCGTGATTTTGAGAGGATGATTCGGGGACCTGTCCAATGCCTCTGCACTCTTTCGTGCGCTCGAAACTTGAAGCTTTTAAGTACAGGCTGAACCGCGGAAAGCCATGCTGCGAGCTAAGGCTTGCCTGGCCTGCTGGAAGAAAGACTGCGACCGGTCCGACAACGTCACATCGTTGGGCATGTAGTAGCACACACTCAAGGCAGTGTCCTCACGGCTCTGGGCTGGCACTTCAGGGTTCTCCACAAACGCTGAGGACGAAGCAATGCTTTGAGAAGTTTACCTTGCAATGTTGCCTCTACTGTCGCTTGCCCATTTCTATCGACCTGGCTCGAGTATACAGGAGCTGAAGCCCCAAACACTGCTCTCTAAACTTCGAAGATGCAGTCAGTCTTCCATACTTCCATGAGCTGACTTCGGAGCTGACTTCGGGGTCCACGTCTGTTGGGTCGAAGCATGCTGCTTGAGGCTCTGTTTCCGTGCTGCCTTCCTAAACTGCATACGTCCGGGCACCAGGAGTGCATCACTATGTGCATTATCAATCTGTTTCTGCAAACATGATGTCAACTTATGATCACCTCCATCACCACAACTCTCATTGCCGCAGGAGCGACCACCGTGACCACCACCACCGTCAATATAATGTCATTCGCCATAATCGTCATCATGGTCATCATTACCACCATCGTCACCAGTGGCATCATAACCATGATCATGATCATCGTCACCATCACTATCACTATCACCTCCAAAATCATCATCATGCTGATGATGATGACCACCACCACCACCACCACCACCAGCAGCAGCAGCACCACCAGCACCACCAGCACCGGCGCCGGCACCACCGCGCCAGCAACAGCAACAACGACATCATCGCAAATGGCCTCCATCTTCCAGAATAGCTTTGGGTACTCGTGCACTTACATTAAATAGCCGGGGAACTCCATACTCTATAGGGTCCCACACCGCCCCAACAATTTCCCAAATCTGCCGCTCAGAAACCCGGAGACCCCACGGCCTCACCTAAACTTCCTAAAGCCGTGCCCCCCGCATCCGGCGCGAGGAATTTGAAAGAGTTGCTGAGGTTCTGGCGAAAAGATAGGCCTGCCGCAGGGGGGGGGCCCTACTGTGGTTAGGGCGCCGGAGGCTTGCCCAGACTCTTCGATCTAAAGTCTCCTATATGATTTCCAGGTTCCACAAACGGCTGTCCTGGTAAAGTGCTTTTGATCCTCGTGCGTAGGTGGTACTAGTAGTAGAAGAAGTAGTAGTAGTAGTAGTAGTAGTAGTAGTAGTAGTAGTAGTAGGTAGCAGGAGGACGAGGAGTAGGTGCAGCTGCTGCATTTGCAACTGCAGCGGCAGCAGCCGTGATAGCAGCAGTAATGAGTGCTAATTTTGATACTTGTGATAAGGATGCCAGTCAGAATGCTTTAAGAATGGTGCTATCGTAGGCGCCGAAATACTGCGCGGGATGTGCGGCACCTCCAGGACCGTGCGATGACCCGGGTGCAGATCCCGGAGTGACAGGCTCATGTTGTCCAGAACCTCTCCAAGGCGGTGACAGAGGGACCTTAACAGGTAGAAAAGGTGTTATGGCTCATTCGGATAGGCACGATAATTGAATATGGCGACCCCTCTATTCGGCTGCCAGTGCTTGTGAGGCTCACCGGAAGCCTGACCTGGCTTCTTGTCATCTACATGTAGTGCATCTTCTCCAAGTCTGCTCCGGCTCTGAACGGTAGCTTCTTCTTGACTCGATTGGCCTCTCGGTAGTATTCAGGACACTCTCCATCTAAATTCAAGCTATTAGGTATCTCACATCTTGCGAGACACTTAAGCAGTCCGTACAAGTTTTAGTGAAGCTAACATGGCAGGTCGCAGAGGAAGCCTCTTTGCCTTGCTTATAAAACGCCAGCACTGGTTCCTGCAGGTACTGCAGGGCCATAAGGACTGGAGGGTTTAGGGTGTGTTTAGGGCTTTTTTGGTGCACCCTTGCTTTTCGCTCCCTGCCTGGGTGATGAGCTTCACCGCCACGCTCCCTTGCTGATTCTTGAGGCACAGCCCCGAGTAGCCCACTATCAGTTGCAGCACCTCACGTCGGGCACTACATGGCATTGGGTTGCCGAGGGTAGGGCTGCGATCTGTTGCAGTTTGCTGAGCGCACACTCACAACACCAGTTACGGGATTGATGCTGATTTTGCCTGCATTGCCGTTGACAGCCTTGCACCGTTTACGGACACGTAGGCGATGACAGATGTCATCCACACAAGATGTGGCTGCGAGAAGACGCATCTGCAAGGGCTTCAATGAAAAGTTTCATCGCAACCCTGACTTCAACCTGGAATTACACAGCCTGGGTGCAAGGCATACAATCATACAACTGTACCTTTCAATTCAAAGAGGTTGATCCCTTCCGCCCCAGCACCGTCTCCACCAGCAACGGCTTGCCACTGACCATCGTGGCCGGGCTGAGCACGTTCAGGCTCCTCATGGTGCCAACGCAATTCGCAAGGTCAAGTCATGATCCTTGCACTTGCTTCAAGGTGCCTCCGTTCAACTTCCGTCACATGACACTCATCCCTCAAACGGTCTGAAACCCTCAGTCCCGGGAGTTGCAGATTCCAGGAGCTTGATGCAGGCGGAGTACCTCCCATGTTCGGTCCGGTCGCCTTCCCAGGCTCTTCCTAACCTGAACCTGACAGTGTCGCACTGCCCCTGCTTCTCGAAGTCGATGTACTGCTGCAGAACGCGCTGCGGCAGAAGCTGAAGCACCTCTCGGGGCTCGGGGTGGGGGGCTGAACACCCCTTCGGGAAGTCGCCGCATCCCTCAAGGTACCTTGGCACGGTAGGCCGCAAAGCGATGTGCTTTGATTGGCAGCCAGATAGGCTTGCACCTCGCAAACAGAGAGCATCTCTTTTCAACTTCGGGGTGGTGGCTGGCTAGGACCTAGGAGCGTTTCGAGAACGATTCCAACCATGTCTCCTACCGGTTATCTGCCCACAGCGGTTCCAACCATGTCTCCTACGGGTTATCTGCCCACAGCGGTTCCAACCATGTCTCCTACGGGTTATCTGCCCACAGAGCAGCTCCTTCAGCGACGTCTGCAGATAGGGACCCCGAACGTCCCCGAAGCAAGAATGAAGCCTCCAGAATCTCGAAACACTCCCCGTGCGGACCTCCCAAGTTCTGTGTTTTCTGCACCTCCCAAAGAACCGAAATTCCAAAACATAAACCTGACGCTGACACACACTACCCTGACAAAACACACAATAGAGATGTCTCTCTAAAAAGGGTCCCACCTGGACACGCAGAAGTTGGTGTCCAGCTTGGGTCGCCTTGGGGGGGGGGGCGAATTGGGGATCAAAGAAGCTCCGACTCCGAGGCTCCGGGCCCCGTGGGGGCGGCTTCAGGCTTCAGGGCCCGTTTGGGGGGCTCACAGTCTGCAAGGATTAAGGCAGGGTTGGCGGGCCTAGGGTTTAAGCTCGTGGGGGAGTTGTGGCAACGGCCCGGCCGCTGTCCCTTAGCGGCCATCCTCGCCATCCTCGAAACCATGGTGTCCACGGACGTCATCAGCACCGCATCACCACCGTCACTGCAGTCGAGACAAATAAATCAGAGTCGTAAGGATATCAAATCATGGTAGCGACTCAGCAACTGATATCTACAAGTAGTAGCCGCTGCAGAAACAGCAACAAGGAAAGCTATTCTCTAGCGTTCCGGGTTCTACTTCCTGTGAGTCCAGGGAGAGCTTGAGAATCTCACGTCTCTCTTCTGGCCAAGGGATACCCCCCGCACCTGTACCCTTCTGGAGAAGATTTTGCAAGCAGCCTCTGTATGGTACGGCACGCCAAGGCCGTGAACGGATCTCCAGGCTTTGCTGGATAAAGAAGTTCCTTTACACACGGAGCCACCGTGCTGTCGAATCACGCGAGCAAGTGCGTTGCGAGGCCTGGAGCATCTGGCTTCCGCGTGGTCTTGCACCAACGGTAGCCAGCCACCAAGCCGAAGAACAACAGGCCCGGACTCAGCCAGAGAACTTGCCAGCATGAGGTGCGCAACACTTTCGACAGCTCAGTGATTTGCAACAGCCTGGTTGTCGCTGCCGATGCTGAGACAAGGAGCATCATTGGATGCTTGACCAACTCAAGGTCGCTTTCAATCCCCTTTGCTTTGCACTGCTTGGCGCCCTCTCGAAAGCTGCCCGTAAAATTCTCCACGATGTCATGACAGGGCTCAAGCAAGAACTTGGTACCGTCATCTTTCTTGAAAGTCCCGCAACACTTCTCCAAGCCCTTCTCTACAGACGGCTGGATGGTCTCGAGGGCAAAGACAACTTGGCAGCCACAGTAGCGGCATTCTTTGGTCAAATCCGGATTGGCGTCGCCATCTCCGTCGCAACCCTGGCAGTCATCCCAGGAAAGATCGCGGCACTGCTGTGGGAGCTCTGCCTGCACAGTCTTGTTGACATGACCCACCTCGGCCTCTGTGCAGTTGAAGAACTCCTCCAGAACGGTTTGGTGAGCTTGCACCCATGCTAGCAAGGGCAGGGTCAGAATCCCTGCAATGCTGGTGATGGCGATCACTGAAACCACCAGGGCCAAGAGAAATCCACAAAGACACCCTCCGAAGCAGCAGCAGCCAGCTTTCGTGCAGCATCCACACCAGCCGCAACAACGACTTCGGCACATTGGACCAAGACAACAGCCCCTGGGACGGCACGAACTTGAAACAAGGCTATCTGAGGCCAAGTTCTTGAGAACTCCTGGCTGCTGTAGAGCCGTGCAGGAAAGACCCGCTTCCTTCCCAGCTCTTGCACACACACACACACACACAGCAAAACTAGTCTTGGGCAGATTTAGATACACCAGGGCCCCCGCTGCTTGCCCGGGGTCGTGGTTGACGTTCCAGGACGGCTGCCTAGCATGGCACATGCGGCCCTCAATTGGGAAGATGGGAAACGCCATTCCTTCCGGGGCTTGTGGTTTCGAGCACCTTGCGCCCTGATCCGGGTCTTCGTCCACAATCTCGGAAGGCTTTCTGCGCCGGAGAATTCGGAGTAAGCTGGTTTAGCAACGCAGTGCCTGTACAAAGAGCTCGTGCTGGAGGCTCGGTCGCCTTCGGCGTTCGGAACCCTTCAGCAGATGATGAGCGTTGCTTGGCCGCAGACGGGCCAAACACACAAAAATGTCCAGCGGAGGAGGCTGAGGACGCACCAACCATGCTGTATCAGGTTTGCCAGGAAAGGCCTTCGAAGAAGGGCTTTGCTGACGAGCTCTGCAGAGCCAAAACTTGTGAATTATGCAAAGGTCCGGCTGAGCCGCCTCGCAATCCGGCCTAATTGAAGCCGCACTACGTCCACATCGTTGCTCGTCTAGTCTAGAGTCTAGGCAGCCTCTTTCACATCCAGGTTGACAATGTCCGGCTTCGACTTTGCCGCCTCGTCCTCCTCGTCCTCACCTGGAAGGCCGTCCAGCTGCTTCAGTTCATCCTCGGTGAACATGAACCTCATAGCCTTGCGGATGATGGCCAGAGAGGCCATGAAGAACGGGAACACCACGGACGTCTCCTTAATTGCTTTCAAGCCATACAGAATGCCAAGACAAACGACCTGGACGACGGTGTACAGGTGCACTCGACTGATGGGCAGCTTCTGGATGTAGTGGTACTGCGGGTACTTGGCCGGGTCCCAGATGAGCCACAACTTCAACCGGTCGAAGAGGTTGTTGCCGGTCAGGCTCGCGATTCCCATGTAGAAGAACACGCCCTGCAGCACGGCTCGCGGCAGGAACTTCAGCACTGGTGCGAGGAAGAGTGCTGAGCCTATAAGCACGTGGATCCTTAGTAGTCGCTGTTTTTATGTTTCGAAGGACCCAACACATGAGCTCATAAGCCCAAAACAAGCAATGCAGTTTCATAGAGGGAAATAGTATATTAGCCCGACACGTGCAATGTGTACTCATTCAGCTGCTAAGAATCAAGAAGTTAGTAGCACGCTGCTCTACCACCTTCGTAGGCACCTTGCGCTCACCTTCCGGAAGTTGCTTCACTTCGTAAGTGGTCAACGAGATCACGTGGGTGATGCTCGGCACCGTAGAGGCCACGGACAGGGGCAGGCCCAGCACAGCACAAACGGGCAGCGTCAGTGCTCCCCGAACAAACCTGAGTCCCGGCTAAGGAGGAAAGAAAATTGGATCCTTGTTGAGGGCTCCCGGTTTACCATACTAGGAAGCCCCAAGGTCAAAAGTCAAAAGGATCCCAAATCTTGATCCAACGCAAGTCAAGGTGATACGCAGCCGGCTTCTTCAGATTGTTGGAGGGTCTATTCACGATCACGGAGGTGAGATTCTGATCCAGGTATCCCAACACTGCGAAGCCAATCGCCTGGGTGTGCGCGAGGCGACTCTAGTTGCGAATATGCTGGGATTGAGTTAGAGCCCCGACACACAAAATACCAAAAATGTGCCCTACAATCAACAAGTCACCGGAAGGATCGCATAAGCAATGCCCCAAGCTGGGAAGGGGCGGTCAATGCCGGCCGGATTGATGATCCACGGCCGCTTGCTCCCATCGGACAAGCTCAAGTTTGGCGAGAAGTCCGCATCCACCTGCAACATCCTCAGGCCTGTGTCGTTGGAGTAGATGGCAGCCAATGCGGAGCCACTCAACAAGGCGATGGTCACTTTCCGTGAAACTCTCTATGATTGGCCGGGCTCCGTCGATGATGAAGATGAGCGAGATTAATCCTCGGCTGTTCAGTAACCCCAATTGCTGTTTCAGGTTAACCATATTGTAATCGGAACCAAAAATATCAACGGAACCTCATCACTGCAGACGCTAGAATCCAGCGAAGATGTCTTCACTGAACATAGTCACGTGCTTCATGAGCGCGCACAGATCGAAGACCGCCACCAGGATGGTGAAGAGGGAGCACCACATGCATGTCCAGAAATAAAACGGCATGAACTCCACGTCCACGGCAACTGCCAGGTCATAGACGACAAGTGTGTACGCCAAGAACGGACCGGTAGCGCCCAGAATCGAAAGGGGCTGACCGGAAAATGTTGAAAAGATCAAGCCGCTGATACATGTGCTCATGATCATTTCCATCACTCCGAACTGGCCGTTCGTGCCGTCAAGGAATCGACTGCCGAACGTAATCGCAGGGGCAAGGGCTGCGATGAACCTTACTGCCACAATTAGCAAATGCCAAAGGAGAAACCGTTGTTTCAGAAGAATTCAATCAATTTCAAAGGTCTGCATATGGCAAGACGAAAGAACAGGTACAAGATGGACGACACCGATTTTTGGAAGTTCTCCGGCTGGAATGCATCCGTCCAATCACTGCAATACAGCGGCGCCCGCCTGCGGATGTCGAGTCGCAAACCCCCAGCCAGCTTTCCCGTGAAGTCCAAAGGACCATAATCCTTCTTGGGAGCATGCGAGATGTTTCCGGATTCGTAGCGGTACACGGCCTCGGCTTCCGCCATGTCTGTGCGGTTGTGAGTGTGGCGAAGCTAGCTGAACCTCTGTGCCGAAAGAATCTGCGGTGTGTCAATCTCGTGCTCAAAGATGATTCCGATGATCGGGAAGCTAAATGCTTTGCACGTTTGGAAATTCGATACATCCGCATGCATTCATATAAATGAATATATATATATGCACATGTACATACATAATCATATACTGTTAAATAAAATACCATGTATATATACACATGAAAATACACAAGACGTAGAATGTATAAATTTATATGCACTGCGTGATCCAAACGTTGTTGCTGGCCAGTTCGCCGATCAATTGGACAAAAACCGAGCCATTCAGTCACACTCCTGCACTCGCACATATTGCACGCGACATGTTTTCGTAAACGGTTGCTCAACCCTGTGATCGCTACCAACGCGCCCTGAGCGTTCCGTAAAGCGATAACTGTCTGCAGCGCATCCTGCGCCATTTTTTTATTCGCCTTGCTGGGGCGGGTGGGCAGGCAAAGCTCGAAACAAACCGTAGGAACAACAAATTAGCAGTGTGACCCGAAGCAGAACCCAAAACTGAAATAAACCGCCCTGCCCACCCGAACAGAAGCTGTCTTTGTTCTGAGCATGATGTGCGTTCCCGGGAAAACGATCGCAGAACGACCAAACGCAGCCAGGGGCATTGGCAATAACAGTCACAGGAGATGATCCAACGCGGCTTGAGCAGATCATCAATCTCAGCAGCGTGTAACCACTGTCATGACGGGCATGGCACCAAATTCAAAATGCATTGCAAACCATTGCAAGGCCTGCCGGAAAGTGTAGGACAATGTAAGCACGCAGCAAAACAAACATTTGCGGTCATGGGTCGCCCTTGGCGAATGGCTCCGCCGCCTCTAGTCAGAGGCTGGTGATCTGCTTATTGTGCAGGATGGGTCAGCTCCTGCCGAGCCAGATTCCGAAATCTCCTGAGGAGGTTTGACTGAAGTGGCCGGACAGCAACAGGTGTGCGTGTGGTTCGTCCACGGCGGTGTCCGCCGCCCCATTGCAACGCATGCAACGACAGGTGGTTGCGAAAGCTGGGATGCAGCTACAAAGCCAAGCGCCACGACAATGGCTCACGTTGGCAGGCTTGCACGACAAAAGCTTTGTGGCCAGGGCCAGAGTCATTAGTGATGCTCTGCGGAAGCGCTGCAGGGCCTGCCGCGCGGATACGGATGTCCCGGGGAGGCAATGCAGCGCTGGCGAAGGCAGCTTGAAACGGATGCAATCGGAACCCAACCTATCACCACTGGACTGCGCGCATCCCCAACCCGACGCCTGCTAGGCAGTCTGTCGAAAAGCCTTCATGCCAAGCCCGACAGGCCGGCGAAGATGCATTGCCGGAAACGCGGTCGCAAACAAAGCCCTCGTCTTCAAGCTCACCATGCTCAACCTGTTGCCCGGCCGGGCAGCACCTGCATTGAAGCACCTGCATTGACGTGCTTTGGGAAGCATGTTCACATGAAGAGATTCAAGACTTGTCAACGGATCAAAGATGTCAAGCTGGTCAGGAACTCGTCAAGCCATCCGCGAAAGACACACGTCAATCCATTTGGCACCCTATTGGCTACGTGGATTGAACTACTCCTTGATCAATCTGTTTGCTCAGAGTAAGGGGAGAGGAGGGACGTCAGTACAGTTTCACGTCGGCTCACATTCGCAGCGCACAAATTTGGGCGACGTTCCTGCAGCCGATGACATAAAGCTCGCATGCCTGACTGTTGAGCAAGGTTACAACAAACATCCAGTACATGCCGTGATGCTTGGGCTCCACGGAGAGAAGGGTCATTACTTGTAGATTTACAGGCGCAAGCTGCACGATGCGGATCCGAAGCCCAAGACCATGGGTTGATGGTTTACGCCTTCACGCAAACAAATTGTGCATAAAACAGGGACAACTGGCCTTCTGATGGGATGCAACTGCGACGTCTGATCCTTCCTAGGATCCCGCATGTAGAAGTCGTTTGGTATCAATTGGTTGCATTGAGATGACGTGAATACAGGATGCAGAATAATGCACATGTACAATTGAACCATGATATCATTGTGAATGTCTGCAATGCAGCGCAAAGAGGAACACCGCACGTTTTTGAAAGCCTGCCTGTTGCTTGTCGCAGGCACTGCACAACAAAAGCTGCGCGTGACAAAGTCAATAGGATGCTCCCCCAAAGCCCTTAACCCTGCTTAAGCTCGTCATAGATGGCCCGATGGCCTTGCCACGCACGTCTAAGCTAGATGCTTTGTTAACAAGTCATGTCACACACCAGGCTTCCACGTCCTTCCACGTCTTGGAGTTAGTACAGGCAGCTCTTGGACAAGACTTGACGACCATGAGGACCCTGAAGGAGTAAAGCTCAGGTGACCTTGAAAGCCCAGAGGTGTGAAAATGTGGTGCCAAGCACCGGATGCAAGAGTTTCTGGAGTTCTGGAACAGGCTGAGGGCCTAGTTTTGGGTTCAGGGTGCCTTGGAAACACAAGATCGGCCCAGAAATCCGGGGAGCTGTCAAACATGTTCGTCCTCCGCGGGGGTTCCTGGAGAGCTCCCCTGCACATGCGGAGGTGTCAAAAATTCTGTGAAACGGTTGCTGGCAACTCTGCTCTCCAAACAAAGCGCTGCAACTGTCACAAAATTCTGTTTCATGCAATGTAACTGAGGAGCTGCTCTCTCATTTAAAGGAAGAGATCCTCAGGCAAGCACAGGTGGAGTGTGACGTCAGACCGTATCCTGAAACACTCACAGTCTCAAGCTTCTGCAAACAGTTCGCAGACCTCGAATCATCGGAGTCCGATAAGCAAACCGGCGGCAGCCAGTTCTCAGGCTCTGCAAAAACAAGCTCGGGCTTGGGCAACCGCCAGCTTGTCTGCTAGCCGGTGCGGGCCTTCTTTCTCAGCCTGGGAGAAAGTGCAGCGCAGAGACGGCCTGGTGAAGCCTGGGACCGGATGATCCGTGGTCATGGCGCGCTCTTCGTCATGATGGCGATCATCATGACGACGACAACCACTTCAGTGACGGCACGATGATGATGGTGGTGGGGTTGTGTGGGGTGGTGTGGGGTGGTGGCGTGGTGGCGGGGGTGGCGGGGGTGGCGGGGGTGGCGGGGGTGGCGGGGGTGGCGGGGGTGGCGGGGGTGGCGGGGGTGGCGGGGGTGGCGGCGGTGGCGGCGGTGGCGGTGGTGTTGATGGCGGGGGGGATGGTGATGGCGACAATGGCGACGTTGCTTGTCTGCTAGGGCAGAAGCGTGCCGTCCGGCTTGAAGTCAATATCATCCAGCTAGAACGATGACGCTTCGGGCCCCAGCTGCTCCTCGTCCTGGATCTTGGCCTGTCAATGTCAATCTTCGAAGGCATTAGGAAGGCTCTGACTCCAGCACTATCGCGGTCTAGCTTCGCATGTTCCGGGCTTGCCACATGGGGATTCCTCATACCACAGCCGCTCTGGTCTGCATGCAACCGTGGCCTCCAGGGACGCCCGCACCTCCTGCATTCCGATCGCAAGTTGGATTCATCTTCTCTTCAGCAGGCCAAGATGTTGCTTGAAAACTTCAGACGCGTTGGGACTGCAGACTTGGTGCATGCTGGCTTCCGAGCACCCTATCAGCATCGCCATCGCGGTGGTAGTTAGTTGTCTTCTCTAGCAGCAGTCGTATTCGTGTTCGCGTTTGTCGTCGTCGTCGTTGCAATCATCGTCAGGCTTATTGACTGCCGTAGAAAAGGCGACGCGGTGATGTAATTTATTGCAGTGCATAAAGACCGAGGGGCACTCGTGGTCGTGGTAGTAATGGTAGTAGTAGTCGGCGTCGTCGTAGTAGCAGTGGTAGTCGTCGTCGTAGCGGCAGTTCAAGTTGTACTTGCAGTAGTAGTGGTGGTGGTAGTAGTAGTCATCGTTGTCGTAGTGGTACTTGTAGTGGTAGTGATGGTGGTGGTGGTAGTGGTAGTAGTGGCAGTAGTCGTGGTAGCAGTAGTGGCAGAAGTAGTAGAAGAAGTAGTAGCAGTAGTAGTGGTGGTGGTGGAAGTAGAAGTAGAAGTGGCAGTAGTAGTGGTGGTGGAAGTAGAAGTAGAAGTAGAAGTAGAAGTAGAAGTAGAAGTAGAAGTAGAAGCAGAAGCAGAAGCAGAAGCAGAAGCAGAAGTAGAAGTAGAAGTAGAAGTAGAAGTAGTAGTAGTAGTAGTAGTAGCAGTAGTAGTAGTAGTAGTAGCAGTAGCAGTAGTAGTAGTAGTAGTAGTAGTAGTAGTAGTAGTAGTAGTAGTAGTAGTAGTATATAGCAGCAGCGGCGATCGCGTTCCTAGTGGTAGTCGTGGCAGCAGAAGCAGCAGTCGATCAGTGATATCCTAGAGTAAAAGCCGTCTTGAGGACAAGGACAGCCTAAATTTCAGGATGCCTGCCTTGGCACCGTGCGCCAGGAGCTGAGCGACTTGCCGACCCCGGCCTGCTGCCGCCGGCAGTGCTAAGCCTCAGACGGGGTCGGAGGATGCAGGTTGGGCTTCGGCATATTAGTAGTATTAGTAGTATTCCTAGAATTCCTAGTTTTTGTAGCATTGGTAGTATAATTCTTTTTGGAGGGCCCTTTTCCATCCGCCAAGGTTAGCGGTTGGCCAGGGCTCACAGCCTACACAGCGCCTTCCTTTTTTGATAGGTTCTTGCGACAGCTAGCATAGCTCGCGATACCAAGTTGGTCGAACCTGGGCTTCTTTGGGCGAGGACTGCCAGAAAGCTGAACCCATAAACCTCCGCCCACAATCCAAGCCTCACACCACAGACCCTCTTTTAGGCATGTGGGGTCTTAGAGCTTCGTATTAGGAGCTCTTGACTGCGAGCTCTATTTTCCTGTGATAGTGCAGAAGGGGCTGCTTCGTGAAGCTATTTCGTCTGGGCTCTCCGCTTCGCAAGTAAGCAGCTACCAGGTCATGTTCTAACGCTTAGCAGGAATGTGTTTAGCCAGGGGACGTATTCGCGGAACTACCTTTGCTCTCCTGATGCTTGTTGACTTTTTATCCAGGATATTCAAGACCGCTGCGCACACCCGGCGGCCAGTGCACGGTTTCTTCAAGATCAAGCGTCACAAGCAAGGTTTTGGACTGGCGAGTCGCGTTGTACGGATTTATGCTTCAGTGGCCTTAGGGGTTGCTCTACAGAGATGTTAAATTGCTGGTTTCCGGCTTCAGACAGACTTCAGGGGTTTACGGATCCAGGTTTTACTGCCTTCAACCCCGAACTGATGGAGGGATCCGATACCGAAGATGCAAAGCCGGAACTTCCGCAAACCCACGCAAACCGAAAGCCTCACCTCCTGAACCCTTCCCGAGAGCTCGGCCGGAAGCAGGGGCGGCCCTGTCGGCGAGCGTGTTGCAGAGTCACCAAAGGATCTTTGGGCCTTTGGGGCCTTCAGTTGTGAGCTCCTTCAACGAGAGAAGGAATGCTCTACCGCCGGTCGTCGGATCGCTGGCGATGATGCTGTTGCGGTGCAGTGCAGCATTGGCCGATTTCACAGCCCTGACACTCTGACTCTACTCATCCTCGGATCCCGAAGAGTGCGCTGTATCCCGGAGCCCAGGCTTTCGTAGAATCCAAGATCCGAGGCGTGCACGCACCGTCCGCCGGGCAAGAGATCACTGGAAACCTCTGGAGGCTCCCAGGGATGCTGTTTGGAGAACACGCGGGGTGCTTATCTACGAGAGGTCGTCGCGGCCAAGGTCTTGCTCAAAATCTGACGGCAAACGTTGGAAAGGATCCGCAGAAAATTCGGCCCCCGTGATGCCATGATGATGCTCATGAACACGATGATAAAAATGATGAAGACGACGACAATGTTGATGACGGTGCAAATGAAGGCAAGTCAAGACAGGAGCTGAGCAGAGCATCAGAAATCGCAACGCTGGCATGCGATAGTACTGGCGATAGTGGTGGTCGTAGCAGTAGCACTGGCAGTGACGGTGGCTGTGAGTAGCAGCAAAAGTAGTGGTACGAGTGGTAGTAGTGGAAGTAGTGGTAGTAGTAGTAGTAGTGGTAGTGGTGGTGTAGTGGTGGTAGCCGTGGTAGTAGTGGTGGTAGCAATGGTGGTAGTGGTCGTGGTAGTGGTCGTGGTCGTGGTCGTGGCGTGGTCGTGGTCGTGGTCGTGCTGGTGCTGGTGCTGGTGCTGGTGCTGGTACTGGTGCTGATGGTGGTGGTCGTCGCGGTCGTCGCGGTCGCGGTCGCGGTCGCGGTCGCGGCAGGGGTAGGGGTAGGGGTAGGGGTAGGGGTAGGGGTAGGGGTAGGGGTAGGGGTAGGGGCAGGGGTAGGGGTAGGGGTAGGGGTAGTAGTAGTAGTAGTAGTAGTAGTAGTAGTAGTAGTAATAATAATAATAATAATAGTAATAGTAGTAGTAGTAGTAGCAGCAGTAGTAGTAGTAGTAGTAGTAGTAGTAGTAAGAGTAGTAGTAGTAGTAGTAGTAGTAGTAGTAGTAGTAGTAGTAGTAGTAGTAGCAGTGATAGTAGTAGAAGTAGGAGTAGTAGTAGTAGTAGTAGTAGTAGTAGTAGTAGTAGTAGTAGTAGTAGTAGTATATTAGTACGACTACGACTAGTACGACTACTCTTCCGTGTAACTACTACTACTACTACTACTACTACTACTACTACTACTACTACTACTACTACTACTACTACTACTACTACTACTACTACTACTACTACTACTACTACTACTACTACTACTACTACTACTACTACTACTACTACTGCTACTACTGCTACTACTACTACTACTGCTACTGCTACTACTGCTACTACTGCTACTACTGCTACTACTGCTACTACTGCTACTACTGCTACTACTGCTACTACTGCTACTACTGCTGCTGCTGCTGCTACTACTACTACTACTACTACTTCTACTTCTTCTCTACTGCTGCTGCTACTGCTACCACCACTACTACCACCACTACCACTACTACCACTACTACCAGAACCACCAATACTACTGCTGCTACTACCACTACTACTGCTGCTACTACTGCGTGAGGCCAGATAGGTTGCGATGGTCGTAAACGACGACGAGATGTTACTCGCCTCAGTAGTACTATTACCACAAATATAGTGCTAGCAATATTAGTGATGGTACTGGTATTAGTAGTACGGGTAAACTGTAGTACTAGTAGCACGGGTGGTACGAGAGGTACCAGTACTAGTAGTGCGAGCGCTAGTTAGCTGCTAGCGGTACCATGTAACAAGGAGTAGGAGTAGGAGGAGCAGCCACAGCGGCGGCAGCAACACAAGACACAGAAATGCAGCAACAACGCAGCAGCAATGCAGCTGCAATGCAGCTGCAATGCAGCTGAAAACATCATCAGCGGGAGGAGGCGGAGTGTTGAGGCCCAGACACCGTGGACTGCAGCGGGCCGGAGCTTGACCTGAAAAACGAACGACGAATATGAATGTCATGATGATGGCAATGGGGGTGACGATGGCAACGAAATATAAGGGTCGGAATATTAAATGCAAAATTGCCAATGTTCCTTATCAAAGTCCCTATTGTAATAGTTGAGGCAGAGGCATTACTAACATTGCTAGCATGATGATGATGATGATGATGACAACGACTTTTGCATGGTTGCGACTAAAGCCGAAAATGCAGTTTTTCAGCACTTACACGAATGCCTTCTGAGGGTTGGCGCTGTGCAGGTGTGTTCCATGCCGCTGAACTGCCAGCACCTGGAACCGCTGCATCCGAAAAAGATGCAAGTACCAGTACGATCCTTCAAATGTCTCGATCTTAATTTGGGCGCTTCCGTCTGGAGCTTTCTTGGTCTTCCCACGCCGGGCCGAAATCACAAGACCCTACACCTACGAAGGGGGCCCGAGTGATTAGTATTACTTATTGCCTAAGGTTCGTAGTTATACTTGTGCCTTAACATTCCCCAAGACACGAGTCACGAGTTTGATAAATGCCGAGGTGGGTGGTGGTCAAAATTATGGCCCCTTTTTGGGCACCCTAAATATTAGGTGCCGTATTATACTAGGGACCCAAAAAGGGACCATGATTTTGACGACCACCCAGGTGCCTCTACAATCTTCCAGACGCTGACTTCCCTCCAGGTGCCCCGACGCTGCGGAGGCCGTGCTACCGCAAAGCAGCATCCTTCGAAGATCGAAGGCTCAGGCCGAGGCGTGAGGGCCAGGGCTTAGGGCTCTGGCCCGGGGGAGTAGGGTGTGGTGTATAGGGTGTGGGGTATGGGGTTTAGGGTATGGGGTATAGGGTTTAGGAAGTTTAGGGCCTAGGGTGTGGGGCTTCGGCCACACAAATCACAATAACAACTGGCAGAACAAACACAAGAATCGAAGATCATAACGGCGGCTACGCATCATCATCGTTCTAACAGCAAACACAAGTGCAGGAGGAGTAACAGAACCACTTGACACACAGGTAGTGGAATTTAACCCAAATACAGTAATACTACAGAACCGCAGTAATCAGTAACGACAATACAGGTAAACCATGGGAATAAAAACAGCCATTGGATCATTGAGCCCTCAAGGAGTCGGGATGTGGTTTCGGTACTTCCGGGCAGGCACTGAGGTGAGTATGAGGCTCAAGATCTCCTGAGAACCGAGGCACAGTCAGATAACTTCAGGCGAGCAGCACGAGAGGCTCCGTGGCCTTGTTGTAGTCGGTCTGGCGGCAGGCGCAGATGGCCCAAGACCCCGCGAGTATCCACTGCAGGCAGAAAGTTCCACACCTCGGGTGCCTTTGATTCGATACTGAAGGCGATGCATCACATACGTACTTCCACAATAGGAGAGGGTCGTTCGCATCGGCTCGGCATCTGTTCCCGAAATCCCAAACACCATCCCTTCATCCTAAACCCGTACCGGACCTAAACCCCAATGATTGGTCCCACCACCAAAGCATGCCGAGGCTTGCCACGAGCTGCTCCAGCGCGGGGGCGTCGGTAGGGAGTGCCACCGTCCTAGGAGGCTTTCATCGGCAAGACTCGGAGAGGTACCGGAGCCTGAAGTCCGAAAAGCTCGCAGCGATTCCCCGTGCTCCCCAAGCTTTTAGATGTGCACTCTGCAAGTTGAGGTATCCGAGCGACGGAAAAGGGAATGCAACATGAGCACCAACAAGAAAGAGTTCAAGCACTTGGGTTACCGATGGCAAGCCAAAGTGGCGGCGAAATCACAACGAAGGACTGTCTGCCAAAGTCAGACCTTACCCGTACTCTGAACTCTGATACAAATTGGACATATCTTGCATGGTGCTGGAGCCCCCTGCCGAGAGGGAATCTTGAACGCATCGAGATCCTTTCTGATGGTCTCCGCCTGTTGCCTGAAGACCCGCTTCAAAAGCCCTTGTCGGGGCTAGCGTGGCTACGAGCGCTTTAAGCTTTGCTGCTTTTTCAGGATTCTTGGCAGGAGTCTGGGCCTTCTCAAAGGTATACTGCGCGGTTGATAAATGGGTACTCGCCTAGATCTAGTATGGACCACAGAAGAGCCAGGCTTGAGACATTCTCTAGGAGTCTCTAACTGACTCTGAGTAAATACGAGAGGACAGCTCCACAAGTGGACCCTCACTCAGGCTGCGGCTTGTCCGCATCCGTTGCAACGGCCAGCAGAGCCAGGCAGCCCCGGATCATCCCGGTCCGTGACAGGTTGCTAATGATCCTGACACTGGCAACGGAGATTACCGGAGTGGCGTGGTTCCTGCTGCCAACCCTTATCTCCTGTGTGCAACTCAGGCGCTTCAACAACGCATACTCACAATCATCGTCACCTTCCTCGGCACCATCACTCTGCTTGGCCGGCAGCAGCATCAACACTGGAAGCATCGTCGTCGGCGAGATTAGATTCTAGTTCCTCTTGCTACAGCTGCCACGAGTGATGCATGGCCGACATCCCGCCCACGTTTAAAGCAGAAAGCCTAAACCCCCCTTCTGCTCGCAAGCGACAATAACTTCGATGATAGCAATGGGAATTAGCGAGGTTCCTACACCGAGGTGGCGGTGAACACTAAGTGGCCAGAGTCAGTACGTCGCCTCTTGATCAACCCCGGATGGGGTCCTCTTCTCTGGCGCCATCTTCGGTGGGAACTGGAACCTAGGGCAAAGTGACGGTCCCGCTTGAGAGTGAGAGCAAGGACGCTGATTGGGCTTGGTGTTGGCAGCTTCGAAGCCTTCAGTTCGAGGACACTGGAGGCTCGTACTCTAATCCCCTGCTCGGTCAAAAAAACCGACACATGATGTGTCCAGTACCTTGTACCTTGAAAGCAACACTTTCAGCTTGTCTTTTAACATCGGCAGTCGGTGAGGCCATGAGGTCCCCGCTTGTTCCCGGTGACTGTCTCGTAGATCTTGATGTACCTGTAAGCGCCTGGCCATCTACAAGCAGCTTTACTCTGGCTTTCGAGTTCGATCACCACGAACACGGCGCTGCATCCCTTAAAATCCAGTGTAGCAGACAAGTTCCATCGCCTGCGTAGTCCCTTACCGATCGTGCAACCTACTAGTGTTGTTTAATCATGCTAAAGAAGCTGTTGCCATTGTCGTGATGCAGATGAATCTTATTGCTAAAGTGCTTGCTCTGCCATGGCACCTGCATCTAAAACGGGCCCTTGCCATCCTTCCTGCTCCTGCCGCTAATCCTAGACCTAGTCCTAGTCCGACTCCCACTATCACTAGCACTGCCAACAACTTCTACTACTGCCACTGCAGCCATACTGCTGCTCCTGCTGCTGCTGCTGCTCCTCCTCCTTCTCCTCCTCCCACCCGTGCTCCTACTCGTAGTCCTACTCCTACTCCCACTGTCACTGCCAGTGCCGCTGCCACTGCCACTCCTACTACTACTGCTACTGCTATTGCTACTGCTACTGCTACTACTACTGCTGCTGCTGCTGCTGCCGCCACCACCACCACCACCACCACCACCACTACTACTACTACTCCCACTGCTGCCGCTACAACTACCGCTACAGCTACGGCTACTGCTACTGCTACTGCTACTGCCACTGCTACGGCTACGGCTACTGCTACTGCTGCTGCTGCTGCTGCTGCTACTGCTACAGTACTGCTACTGCTACTTGAGAGCAGGGATACGAAAGCTAGAAGCAGGACGGCTCAGGCTTGTGGTAAGTGGTAACAACTCTGAACTCTACAAACGGCTATGAGTGGCAACAACTTTAAACTCTACAAACGGCTATGCTTGCAAGGAGGGCCTTCAGGGGGGGAGGGGGAGGGGGGGTCCGGGAACCCCTCCCATGCCTGTGAAAAAAGACACCTTCATCAAGCAAACAAGGGGGGGTCGCTTAATTCCTTGGAGTTGAAGCCTTTTGAGGTCCCAGGCCTTCGTTGCACCCATTGAACTATCTAGTAAGGAATTTGTGAACGACAACTCCCGCAAGCTCCAAAGAGCTAGCTTTCGTGACTGCTACTGCTACTACTCCTGCTGCTGCTACTGCTGCTGCTACTGCCTGCTACTCTTCGACTTGCAGCGAGGAAACCTTTTGGTTTAAGGCTTTGCACGCACCCCTGAGCACCGCACACTCGACGACCTGGTCGTCACTGAGCTTCGGAGCACTCTTGTCCTGAACGAAGATCATGAAGATGATGATAATGATAATGATAACGTTGTTGAAGATGGTGACGAAGATGTTGATGATGCCGATGATGATGATGATGATGATGATGTAGACGAGGATGATGGTCATGACGATGATGACGATGATGACGATGAAGATAACGGCCACTACTACTACTACTACTACTACTACTACTACTACTACTACTACTACTACTACTACTACTACTACTACTACTACTACTACTACTACTAGTGCACAGCTGCGCTGCTGCGCTGCTGCTGCTGCAACTCCTCCTGGTATCGCTACTCCAACTGGTCCTGGTCCTGCTCTTACTCCTCCTCCTCGTGCAACTACCACAACAACAACTACTACTTCTTCTTCGTACTACTACTACTACTACTACTACTACTACTACTACTACCACTACTACCACTACTACTACTACTACTACTACTACTACTACTACTACTACTACTACTACTACTACTACTACTACTACTACTACTACTCTACTACTGCAACTACTGCTACTACTGCTACTACTGCTGCTACTACTACTACTGCTGCTACTACTCCTGCTGCTACTACTTCTGCTATCACGAACAACGAACTACGAACTACGAAGTACCATGTACTAGTTATTTACAACTGAATGTTAACTTCTCGTTACTGCCATCTTGCTACAAGACTACAACTGCAATAATTAGTTGTATCAGAGGTAGTAGCGGTGGTTGCCGCTGAGTTGGTCTTACTGTTCGTGTTGGCGCTGCGGTTGCTGTTGCTCTAGCCCTTGCTCTTGTTGATGTTGCTGTTGCTGTTGCTATTGCGTTGCCGTTGCTTTGTTTGTTGTTGGTGGCGGTGGTGTTGTTGGTAGAGTGTTGGCGGCGGGTTTGGTGGCGGGGCTGTGTTGTTGCTACTGTTGTTGATGATATTTGATGCTGGTAATGATGTCGGTGTTGATGTCAATGTTGATGCTGATCTTATTGCTGTTGGCCGTTATTGCAAACTGTTGTTGTTTGTTGTTGGTTTATGTTGGTCGTCGTTGGTGTTGTGGTTGTGGTTGTTGTTGTTGTTGGCGGCGGTGGTGGTGGTGGTGGTGGCGGTGGCGGTGGTGGAGTTGGTGGTGGTGGGGGGGTTGGAGTTGGTGGGGGTGGTAGCGGTGGCGGTGGCGGTGGCGGCGGCGCTGACGGGGGCGGTGGCGGTGGTGGCGGCGGTGGCGGTGGCGACGGTGGATTTGCCATTGCTATGGTCGGAATACGGGTTTGTTTCTTCCGGCATGGCTGTCGGAGTCTTAGTTCTGCGGCTCCCGACAGTTCGCTTCATAGCTCCCGTCATGGTCTAAATCCACCCGCCTCCGTCAGGTCACAAAACCTGACCATACAGTACGTGAGCATTAAACCAGGACACCAGCATTTAAAGCTAAATCGGATTGACAATCTTGCTTAGGCCTTTCTACCCAATAAGCCATAAGCTTGCAAATGCCACCTTAAACTTCGAAATACAGGCCGCTGAATCTGGGGCGGAATGCCTTCAGCAGCAGTTTACTCGTTCCATGCTTCCGGGAACGTACGATTGAATGACCTCCAGCAGCAAGGTTGCTCGTTCGCGCATCTTTAATCCAGCCAAGATCCGCGATTCAGAGCTCAGGCATTTATTTCATGATCGTGGCTTGCTTTGGGCCTGTCCTTCGTGGGATCGAAGCCCAGGTCCAGCAGCGCATCCCGAACCTTTGAGCATTGCCAGGTTCCGAGGTCGGCCACTGAAGTCGCTTTTGACCCTCTTCCTATGGGAGCCTCAATCAGAACAATGGTCTTTTTGTATGGGGGGAATCAATGTAATATCATTTTTGTAGAGGGGCCCGGGCGGGATATTCTTGCTCATAGCTCAGGCGAGCCCAAATCTCAAAACTTTGCACCCCCGCCTGTGGTCAGCCGTTTTACCCTGACAGTAAACCCTCATAGTAGCCCTCAATCCTAAACACTCAAGGCATCGGCATACTGTTTCGAGAACTCCTTCATCTTCATCTCGGGCTTGGCCTTCATAAGCTCGGTGACATTGGCATACCTGGCTGATTGTTGTGTGTCTGTGTATCTCTGTGTCTCTGTGTCTCTGCGTCTGTGCGTCTGTGCGTCTGTGTGTCTGTGTGTCTGTGTGTCTGTGTGTCTGCGGGCTTTCTGGGTTCTCATAAGATCTTTTTTAGGTTCATCGAGTTCCATACCGGTTTCTAGGAGTGTGTGGGCTCTTATGGGGTTTCAGAGGAGTTCTCAAAGGGCACGACTCTCGGAAGCCAACGGAACAGTGTCTAGAACTCCAGTTCGACGAAGCGTCCGTAAGAAATGCGTTGGATCTCGACATCCTGCAAACAAACTCGAAGCTGCCCAGGTCAACAGAGTGAAGGGCACTTGCCGGTCTTCATCTCCGCAGCTATCTTGGGGTACTTGGCGTCGTACTCCTGTCGGCGAGTCGCAGCTGCGGCAGGATATGCTGATACACTTGTCTTGCCCATCCTGCAAAACGGCAAAACATTGCCCCAGCGGGTCTGGAAATGTCAGCACAGAGTGACAGAAACCCACAGACCTCGATTGTGCACATGCGCGAGGAGTCTGGGGTGTTCACCTTCAGGGCTGCAGCATGAACCTAAGGCACCATCTGTGCGGAGACCTTCAGCACACTGGCTCTTGAAGTAGAAGTTCTCACAACGCTTGCTGTCTGCTACGGACATGGTGCCAGAGTGGCGGCAGGCCAAGAAGGGTCTGCGGGTTTGGTCAAGATCAGAGCACCAAACGAGGTTCCCTCTCAGACTGCGTAGGGCCTCATCGATGACGTGGATCACACCCTTGTCGTCCAACCCAAACTCGTACTTGGTGTCCTGGCTCCGGGGCTGCCAGGTCCAACATCAGAGTAGAAGCGGCCAACAGCAAGAATCCCACGTACGACCCCCCGGATCCCCTCGTGGGCGCACCAGGAGCAGCAGCCCCCGCTTTCGCATCAGCTCGGATCCTGACCACGCCGAGGGCTTCCAGATGCGAGTTCTGTAAACCCCGTACCCTGAACCATAAACCCACTCAACATTACTAATCATCTCCTGCCTGCCGTTCGCAAGTCTTTCGCTTTGCGCTTCTGTGTCAGGTCTTTAGGGTTTCAGGGCGGTTGGTTTAGGCCCGGTGTCTCAGTGTCTGAAGTTAAGTGTTCAGAGCTTGGCTCCTGCAGAGGGCTTCCGGGGTTCGGGCTCCAGGCTTTCGGTGTTGAAGCTCTGCAGCTTAGGGCTGTCTAGGCTTAGAGTGTGTTGGGAGTCTTGGGATTTAGGGTTGCCGGGTTACGGTTCCGTGGCCCCTAAACCCTGAACCCTACAAACCTTGAGCTCTTGAAACACTCCGTGCCAAAACGCAAGGCCCAGGGCCTCGCTGGAAGAGCTTCATGGCAGCCTCCATGGCCTTTTGAGCGAGCTCCTTACCTTGACTTTTCAGAGGAACTCAAGCAGCTTCTCGAGAATATGCCCATTTGGGGTTTCTAGGCTCTGCCTTTTGTTTCTTTTGTTTGTCGAGAAATGGCGTTGTGAAGGCCTCGAACTGCAGCCAGTTTGGATTTGTGGGCGTTGCCTTCTCGGTGCTGTCTCGAGGAGCTTGCCCGTGTGGGCCTTCTCGTTGACGAGCTGGGTACTGTCTCAAAGGATATGCTTGATGTAATGTTCGGAAATATCGTATGTATATGCATGTGTGTGTATGCATGCATGCATGAATTTATGTACGTAGGTATGCATCTTGCATGTACGCATGTAAGCAGGCATGATCAGGCATGCATGTATGCATGTATGAAAAATGCAGATATGTAAATGTATACGCATCTGAAGATGTACGCAAAAACACATACACACGCGCATGCACACACATCCGCTAGACACACATACAGACACCTACACAACCAGACACATACAGACACATGCATGCATGAATACATGCTTACATACACACACACACACACGCATGCACACATACATCCACATACATACATGCACACACATACTCATACACTTACACGTACACATACACATACACGTACACCTACACGTACACCTACACCTACACCTACACCTGCACATACACATACAAAAACATACATGCATACATGCATACATGCATACATGCATACATACATACATACATACATTTATACATACGTACATACATGCATGCGCCTTTAAGTGTACATTCCGTCTCAGATGCCTGCTACTGTCTTCATCTGTACCTATATGTATACCTGAAGCTTTGTTTTTCATTTACAACATATTGACTGATCTATTCATATCTCAGTCATTTTTCATATCTTGAACTATTGGTGCATGTATGCTTTCACATGCTTATGCTCATCCACCGCCCACCCACCCCGCATGATCCGCCTCGCCTTCCTTTTTTTGAGGAGTGGATCATGGGAGGTGAGGACCCTGACTGTACGGGATCACGTCGGCAGGGCGGGAAAGCACCTGTCTCCGAACCTCTGAATTGCGAAAGCCCCGCACGAGATTGAAACCAAGATACTCCAAATCAGAATCAAAAAGGAATGAACCTATGACCATAGATTCTAGGATCTTTGGTGTAGGGTCTGTGTGTTGAAGGTTTGCACATGCTTTCAGCTTGGCGACGTTTTTGGCGGCCTCGGATGCGAAACATCTGAACAGCAGTAGGCTCAAACAAAGCCAACGTTCCAAAGCCTGAAACGCCGAAACCTCGGCCTGAATCAAAATATAGAGTAAGGTCCCACTACGAGAACCTTGCCTTAAATCGATGTTGGTCATTCTTCAGGCGAATGACGTCGCATTTCAGCACTCCCCCAAGACTTCATCTCAGCCTTGACCTTGGATCATATTCTACACTACACACTCTATGCTTCCTCAAGATGCCTAAGTGTTCTATAAGAGCGTATACGCCCCATGAGACGCTGCCATCACGCGAATGACTTGTTACATAATCTCGGATGTACTAAACACCCTGAAGATCTGGTGCTATGTAAACACTGTGGCGCAGGAGCTGAGGCCAGCACCCAAAATCTTCTCCATATCTTCCATCGTCATGTTCTCATCATGACCTTAGGGCTTTCCTTGGGGTGTAGGTAGGTCTTATGGAAAGCCTACGGCGGTAGAAGCAGTATAGGGTGTATGCTATATATGTGTATATACATACATACATACGTATATATATATACACACATATATACATATGTATACATGTATGTGTACATATGTATACATATTCATGTATGAATATATGTATGTACATATGTATGCATGGAAGTATGTAAGCATGTCAGTATGCAAGTATGTGTTTAAGTGCTTTATGTCGTGTGTATGAGGGTATGTATATGTGTATGCATGTATATGCTTATGCATATACACAAGTACACATATATGGATATAAGCCTAAAACATATACGTGTATACATATACATGTATACATGCACACATGTATACATATCTACATATATACATATATACATGTATACATGTATACGAAACAAGATATATTCAATCATACCGATATACATATATACATATATACCTATATACGTTATATACGTATATACCTATCTATATACATTACATATATATATATATATATATATGCATAGCATGTGTATGTGTATATAAATATATATATACACATGCATACATGCATGCATGCATGCATGCATGTGTGTGTGTATATATATATATGCAAGCAGATAGATCGATAGATAGATATACAGCACACGTGTCCTCGGCTGAAACGGATGCGATGCTTCCGATCAAGGCAGGGGCCCACTTCGGCCTTGGTCGTGGGTGTGAAGATGGGCTTGTCCAGCTTCTGGAAGCGGATCAGCCTGATCTATCTGTCCATCTGAACTGTCTGTCTGTCTCTGTCCATCTGTCTATCTGCGCTGTCCATCTGCTATCTATCTATGTACGAGATCAGGCAGGGGCCAAAAAAGGACACATCAGCTTGCTCTGACTTACGCTCCTTCGCCAGAGAATCCATCCTTCCTCGCAACATGCCGGCTACATGGCTGCAAACCTCCGCCCGCTTGAATGGACTTCAGCCTTCTCAAACTGAAGCGTTGTAAGCGCCCTACCCATCCGGAAGCTTCAAGCCGCAAAACGTTCTGTCGCCCTTCTCCTGATTTACGGCTTTGCGCGGCTTGGACCTTCATAAGCCTGCAGCTTCAACGATTTGCTTCGGGACGCGAACCTCGAACCTCGACACCCAAATGCTTCCTTACATTGCATTGCTGTGCCTGACAACACTTGACAGTACGTGCGAGTCCGCATCAAGTCATCTTGCACGACATCGCTTTCGTGCTCCCTTGCCCAAGTTTGCCCCACCTTGACTTAAATGGCGCGAGCATGGTGCTATTCCCTTGCATATGGGATGACACTGTAGCATACTAGACTCAGACCATATTTTGCGAGATCATGCAAGAATGTCGTCGTCGTCGCGGTCGTCATCTTGCTGGTCGTCCTAACGGTGATCCTAGTCGTCGTGGTCGTGGTGGCCGTGGTGGTCGTGGTGCTCGTGGTGCTCGTGGTCGTCGTCGTCATCGTCATCGAGGTCGTCGAGGTGATCGTAGTCGTCGCCGTCGCTGCAGGCGTCGTCCTCGTCATATGTCATATACTAGACACTTATATCGTCATCGAGGTCGTCGAGGTGATCCGTAGTCGTCGCCGTCGCTGCAGGCGTCGTCCTCGTCATGTGTCATATACTAGGCACTTCTATATCTGTATATATGTATAGAGAGAGACAGAGAGAGAAGGATAGACGGACATGTATACCAATACATAAAAAGTTACATGTATGCTATTTTTGGTGCAAAGTCGCTTCCTTTCGAGGCGTCTCTAAAGTGAACTTTGTGGGGGACGGCTGGATGGCTGGCCATGCATGAAGCGAAGACCATGGTCTGTAGAACACAAGCATAAGAAAGAATAGAGACCTGCTTGCCTACAGTTGCTGCCTTCATCATTCCTAGTAGAAGAGGGTATTGCGTGTTGGCACAGGTTATAATATAAAACCAAAGAAGAAGCCTCAAGGAAGACTAGTCGCAATTATTTAGGTTTCCATGTTAAACAAATACATCTGTTGTCGGCCCTGCTGCCCAGGCGCATAAGCCGCTGCCATACTTCCCCACAAGTAGCCTTCGAGTGGAAGTTTCGGGTTCGGGGTTTGGGGTCTCTTAAACTAGGGGCTGAGAGATTGGGGTTGGGGCGTTGGTACCGCTAGGCTTCGGGGATGGGGTTGGCCTGCAGACCCAGATCTTTGCACTGAGTTATTCTTGACAAGTAAATGCGTCGCTCCAACAGACCCTCAACCCCCTTCCAAGAGCATCCTGTAGTTGGAACTTCATGGCATGCAGAGTCTTTTCTCCTCTCGGGCTCTTAGGTATGTGCTGGTGGCTGCTGCTCCGCCAGGCCGCGTTGAGCGACTTGGCTTGGAAGGCAGACATGGGGCCCATAATTTACCTAACCTATAAAGATCCTATGATTCTTGCATCCCCGCACCCTATAGACCCCATGTGCGACACCACCGACGCAAAACACGGTGCCGGTTCTTTCCGGCTATTTGTGATTGTTGCCTGCATTCGCACCCGTGAGAGCTCTCACCCTTCTATCTGAGGTGATTGCGTGATCCTGTAGCTGCTACGTCCGACCTTCAAGAAGCTTAAGGGAGTCCAACTCTCACAGAAACGATTCTGTGCGTGCAGCAGTATACCCGAAAAACCGGGGAACTCAGCCAGATCACAATGGGACCCATCGCAACCCAGCATCTGTGCGTTGGGACAAAAAGTTCCTCTGTGCTTTGGGACAAAAAGTTCATGCATCAAGAAGTTCTCTGAACTCGCAATGATTGCATGCGCTGTAATAAAAAGCCTCTGGCTTGCGAGGATGGGTGAACAGCAGTTGCCGAAACGCAAAGAAGTCGATCCATAGAACACGAAGAAGAGACATATTGACTGCATGGAATCCTTTCGCAGCCAGAGGACCGGCGCATTTTACCTTCTGCGCCATGCGCAGTCCCCCTCCCCGAAGCTCACTAGCGTCACCTGCTCGGAGATGCCTTGCTACAGGAAGAAGCGGATCGAGCCATCTTGCTGAACCTCGTAGGGAACTTGCTCAGAGGTGCCAGAACTGAAGAGTTGGAGTTCGAGATGCTCCGGCAAGCTCCACTGCTCTCCTTGCATCGGACGGCTTGGGCTTGAAACGCTCCAGTCGCCGGGATCGGTCCCTCCGCCGTCTGAAGCGCCCCAGATCATCGAGGCACGGCTGCCCTCCCTCGAGTCCGAGGACTCAGCCTCTCTGTCTCTGGCTGGCTGCACCTTCAAGAGACATGCAGACTTGCGTGGCGATCTCACAACTGCTTTGCGAGCATCTTGCTGCGGCGGCTGCCTCCTCACGATGGATTTCTGCCAAGCCCGATCCTGTCCGACTGTGTTCATGTACTCTTTCGCCTCTGCCAGCAGCTGCATGGTCACATGTGTCTTCGCAGCTTCAACCAAGCTAATGCTACGGCCACGATCGAAAACCCGGGGCGCGTGGGGATGCTCCATGCCAGCAAAGCCGTTCTTAGCGATGAAATACGCCAAGTTTGGGCCCAGGCCCTGGACATCTGCCTTGGAGGCACGGATATCGGACCCCAGGCAATGGCCCCTCGGATCGTTGCGTGGCGCCTTGAAGTATGCGTATGCAGCTTGGGCTGTCCTGTGATCCGTGAAATTGACAAAGGCCAGAGCCACGTTCCTGGACCTAGCCCGGTCATGTGGGACATACACAAAGTCATAGCAACCCGGCCAGAACTGATCCAAGATCTCCACAAAGCTTGCAGCCGTCAGCTTGTTGGGCAAACGCCTCAGACTGATGGACGTCGCTTCATCAGACAAGACTTGTCCACCAATGCTGTGCTGGTCGAAAGACATTCTCACCCGACCGTGAAACTGAAGGCGACCACACTGTCACTAAAAGCTCAGCATGATATCCTGTCGTCCGACAAGTAGATCTGGATGTGTTTACAAGACTTGTAAGTCGTTGTCTGAGTGATTGCTTTCCATTGAATTTTTGGCTACAGTACGCCAGATCTCTCGATCAAAAGCCCATGCTTTGAGCCAAAAGTAAGACACCGATACGGGGGCGCGAGCTCAGGCCTAGGCCTAGGCATGGTCGGGATCGCCGTTCGAAAGAGAAACATGAAACCCCCCGTGAGCAGGCCTCGCACAATGAGCTCCACGTTTAGATTTTTCATCTTCTTTTGGACCACTACCTGTGGCTTCCAGAGGCGTCAGTATCGCCCTGTGGGCACTTTCGGGTGTCAGGTCTAGTGGTGACTCTTCGAGGCAGTCTTTGATGCTGTCCACACATGAACCCGCCATCAAGCAGACTTTCCTAAATCCATCAGACCTTTCTGTCGCTCTTTCTCGGCGCTTGTGGGGTCTGTTCAGCTGATGCTCGGGGTAGCTTGATACTTGTGCGGCTCAGGGCTCCTGGATTTTTTCTCTCAAGGTTTGGGGGCGTGCAGTGTTGTGAGGTTCACAGCTTGTTCGTTCTGTCTCCATGTCGCCACAGACTCTGACTTCTGGCTACTAAGGATGAACATGAAGCACCGTGTTGCTGGATCACAGAAATATCGCGAGTTGAAAAAGGCTCGACTTCAAAACAACTCCTTCGCCGGCAGCTGATGTAGTCCAGGAATGACCGCCGGAGGCGGAGTCGGAAACCCCAGCAGCACAGCAAACCGCTGCAAGGTCCGCACTTCGAAATTCCGAGAGACGTGCTGGGTACCCGCACACTGGCATCGACATTTTCGATCAGAGCATTGGGGATGATGTCCTGCAGGGATGTTGCTGCAACCGCTGACGGTGATGATGATGATGGGTGATGATGGGCGATGATTATATACGATCGTGCTGAAGCTCGCGAAGAGCATGATAACCATCGTCCAACTGTGCTGATGACGAAGAGACGATGATGAGCTGGCGGCGGCATGATGAATACAATGTGACGGTGATTGTGGTGATGACTATCATGATGATGGCGATGGAGATGGTGATGACGATGGTGACTGTGATGGCGTTGCCGATGATGATGATGATGATGATGATGATGATGATGATGGTGGTGTGGGAAACGGTGATGACGATGCTGACTGTGATAGTGGTGTTGACGACGACGACGACGAAAATGATGATGCTGGCGGCGATGTCACGATGAATACGATGATGCTGATGATGACGGTGCTGAAGATGATGTTGATGATTACGATGCTGATACTGATGTTCATGGTGACGATGATGATGATGATGATGATGATGATGACGGTGGTGACTGCGATGGTGTCGCCGCTGGTGGTGATGTTGCTCATGATAATGACGATGCTGATGACGACGATGATGATGATGACAATGTCGGTGAAAGTGACGATGACGATGATGGTGCTGATGACGGTGATGATGCTGATGATGACGACGACGATGAGGAGGAGGAGGACGACACTGCTGAAGATGATGATGTTGATGGTGATGATGATGATGATGGTGATGATGATTGTGATGGTGGCGAAGGAGATGGTGATGACCATGGTGACTGTGATGGTGGTGTTGTTGATGGTGGCGATGACGATGGTGACCATGATCACGATGATGATGATGATGATGATGGTACACATACACACTGCTCCGTTTATGGGCGCAACAGTGGTGACGGCTCATATGATGATCGGGATATGGTGATGGTGATGCTGGTGTTGTTGAACAGGATTGACATGGCGCAAGTCGCTCTCTAACACTGGCGAAGCCCCGAAATGCTGATGTGGTGCCTTGGTCTGGCTGAAGGCCCACTCGCTGATCATGTTCAAGACCTGGCCTTTGAAAGGAATGAGGTTCCTGGCGGCACGGCACTATACTTGCAGCTACTAGATTGTATCCTATCATATTGCATCCGATTACGGCATATGTTAGTATAAAAGAGTATACTCTTGTATGCTATCGTATATTATAGTATACTATGCCGTGGCATGACAAAACAATTCTGCTGTTCTATTTGAAGCGAAGCCTGCCACGATTCAGGGATCTGACCTTTGGTGTCGTAATTTACTTTACGATGCTATACTAGACTAGATTGTACTATACCAAGACATGATGCAATGACTTTCTACAATAGGGCAGGCCCTGCTAAGACTGCCAGGGATGTCTGCTAAAAACGGCCTCGCATTGCAGGCAGCTGGTTCAAAGCTTTCGTGTTTTCGTGTCTCCCTGCTAGGCTTGGGGGCTGGGCCTTAGACAGATAAGTTCACGGTAGGACTTCTGACAAATACGACACATCGAGCAGCATTCAACCAGCCAGGATCTCGGCAAGATATAATCGAAGGCTGAGACACCTGAAAAGAAGAACACTTCGGCGCTCAGTGTTCGTTATTCGGCTGCGCAGCATGGACGCCATATTCCTCATTGAATCGGAGACCTCCGCTAGACTGTTGGAAACTCAGCTCGGCACGATCGTTCGTGACCATGACCACATTCTCTCCGGAGAAGTAAATGCTTCGAACCTTCGCCCGAAGCCCGAGCGTGACAATGCGATGCTGGCCATGTCGCATAAGATTTCGGACCCGAATGCATACCACAAAGAGGAACAAACAGGAAGAAGCCCCAAAACTCCAAGGAGCCCTTCAAGGGAAACCCTGCAAGAGCCTTGCCCTGCTTCTGCTCCCCAAGCTCCGGGATGAAGCACTCCGGAAGGGTAAGGTCGAGGTACCTCGGAATCGTTCATGGCAGGAATAGCACGAACAGTACAATCAACAAAACCCGCACTCCTAGCTCCACATATACGGCTATACTTCGTCGTACAACCCTGGGCCGAGTATGCTGGTTCTGAGCGGATGTGGCTCTCCTTTAACCGGCTACCAGACCAGCAAGCATCGAAATATGGGTAAACAGAGCACAGAAGCACCGTTCTCCCAAGTATGCTTGGTCCGTCAAGCACCTGCCAAAAGCTGAGAAACCCCAGTCTCTGAGTCTCCTGGCTCCCGGATCTTGGCCTTAAATTCGGCCTCCCCGGCTCCGTTCGTGGCCTTGGAGGCTCCCAGAGGGTCCCAGGGCTGCTTTGACATGGGCGGACGTTTCGCATGCTGGGAGCCGTGCAGCCATGTCCCAGCGTCTGATCGAGCCCGGTCAGAAGTTTGTTCGAGCCACACTTCAAGGCAGCGACAGCAGGCAAAGGTCTCATATGACATTACGGTAATCCCTCGCATTGCATCTGGGGTATGCCTCTTCGCATGAAAGGCCGCCACCCCCACACAGACTGAGGGGAATGGAGAGAGATTGCTTGAACCCTTGGAAGCCTTCGCCAGTGTTGTTCTGCTCCTCGGCTTTGAGGATGGACCTGAGAACTTCTCGTAAAACTTCTCAAAGCCACAGTCGTTAGGTCACACATGCCGTGCGGGAGCAGGGATCCTGCAGAGAACTCCCAAACTCAAAACCATATCGATTACGAAGCAGAGCTTGTCTAGTACCTAAAGCCTAGAACATAAACTGTGTGATGTACTACAGTACAGCACACATACTAAAGGCCAAGTGGCATACTTCACTTCCCTTTTCGAGCCCGCTCTACCTTCACGCTCAAAGCCCCTGGCTCGGCAGGCTGGAGCCGCGGGGGGCTCGTGCCCGTAGAGAGTGGGACGACCTTCGAGTCTGGAGCTCCAGGACGGCTGTGAAAGCTGGTGTAGACATATCTACCTACCTACCTCCCTACATACATGCATACACACATACACACACTTACACACATACCTGCAAACAAACCAACAAGCACAGATATACATATGCGTATACATATGTAAACGCAAGCAGAAACATACCTGCAAGCAATACAGTATAACTACGCAAATACATGTGCATGCAAGTATATATATATATACATATACATATATATATATATACATGCATACATATATACACGTTCATGCATATATATATATATATATATGTAAAGATAAATACATTACACGCATAAAAACAGGAATGTACACATATACATACATGTGTGTGCATGCGCACACACATAACTAACAAATACAAACTGTAATATAGTATAACATCACAAAATGTGATATCATATCAATAGACTACGGTGTGATATATTGTAGTATACTCTATTCAATATACTGTAGCGTAATATGATCTACTATAATAAAAAATAGTGTAACATGATACATTTCACATGAATACGGTACTGAACCTGTATCACCTATATATATATATATATACGTATACACATCTCCCTCTCTCTTTTCCGTTAATACAGTACTGTACATGTATGTATGTATGTATGTATGTATGTATGTGTATACATATATACACACATACATCTATATGTACATATACATATATTAATGTGTGAATATATACATATATATATATATATATGTAATATGTAAATGCATAAATATATGTACATATATATATATATACATATGTATCCTGCGACCCCTGACAACCTACCTCCGGCCTGTATTCCTCAAGAAGCCAAAACCTGGTAGAGCACTGTCAAACAGACTGAAACAGTTTGCGAATAGCACCTATAACAGTCCTACAGAACCATCATCAGGACCTGTATCGCACCAGTAAGATGATCTTACGTGTTCGATTGAAGTTCGCATCAGAAGCCATCTCATACGGCCTAGACCCCAGACACTGATTCCGTTAGCCCCAAAACCATAAAGACATTCATGCCTTGATTTGCTGTCAAGCTCCACCTTACCCTAATCAAACCCATCATAATGACCAGTATCATCGCCTCAGACCATCCCTGTTCTACTGCATGATGTATACTGCTTCAGTATGGAAGCTCCATCGTGATCTGTGTCATCACCCTCGGACATCCTGCATGTATACAGTTCCGCTTAAACCTAAAACTCACAAACAACATGAGCTTCCATATATATATATGTACCCTACTATGAACCATAAGATCTAAGATCTCTGTTTAATCCGAATACTGACATTCCGGTCGAGTCTGTAGTGGCCTGGAACATGACCTGAAGATTTGGCCTGCATTCATATCAACCCTGAAAGCGTGCAATTAACAGTGCCGACTAACCCCAATGCTGACCCCAGTAGTACTTGCATTTCAGTGTGAATGTTTGCACCAATAAAGCCCCGAAGCTTAGTGCTAACAGTGCTAACCGCGCTAGATATGGCGTTGAACCTTGCTGACATTCTTCGTACCTAACCATAAACTGAAATTTCACACAAAATCTACAGTCTACATCCTTGTAGTCAACAGCATACTACCCTCAATGCAACCCAAATAGTGAGCGGCCTCCTTAGCAAGCTTCGTATTGTCCTCTACACCACTTGTTGACCCCACTTCACTACGTTAACACCCTCACACCACTAGCAATCTTTCTGCTAATCCTACGAATAAAAATGAACCTGAATGGGTACATTAGTAAACGTAACCCTGAACTGACTCCTATTTCTGAGTGGCATCCACCCTCATATGAATCCTGGCCTGAGCCCTGATATTGGTCCCAATGGTGACTCTGATTCAAAGACTCAACTCCAGGAAAAGCATGCATGCTGACTCTTGGAAGCCTGTCCGTAACCTTACTCCTTACCTCAGAAGTAGCTCCGGATGCTGGGGTAGCAAAATCTTAGCCTGGTAGAAGCCTTATTCTGATCATACCCCGCCTAACAGTGACATGTCTATGTACATATATATGAACATGTAAATGTATAGGTATGTGTACATGTATACACAAGTAGATAGCATGTACATATATATATATATATATATATTGTATATACTTATATGGTATCCCCCGCCGCCCAAGAACTGCATGCAGAGATAGACACACACATACCTACGCACATAAATGTGCTTTGTTGGGCATGTTTCTTAATTTGTGCACACCTGTTGCATGCAGTGACTTCCTGCGAACGGCAGCGTGCGTGTGTGGTAATGGCTTTGAGTCTCAGGGTTTGTGTAGTGGACAGGCTTACAAGGCCACTCGCACAGCAGGGCCAATATCAGGGTAATGTTGCAACATAACACATCGACACACGCTACCCATGGTGACTTTATTGTTCCGGTGATTATGGCCGTAAATAAGAGTCAGTGCTGTCGTTGTTCTAATGGGGATTCTGTTTGGTATTCATGTTTATGTCTACGGGTAAACTTACATGTGCATTTACACACATGTTAATATCTATGTTTACACTTGTATGTACTTCTTTGCGTCATGTGTGTATAAACATATACTTGTGTATAACTATGTCTGTATATGTGCTTGTCTGGCTCTAGCGTAGCTCATCAACACTATTAGTCGTTGGATTCAAATCACCGGTGACGCCGCGACATGTAAGGCATTTAAGGCTTTGATGCTACGAATCGTGACTGGCTTCATGGCACATCAACTCAACTCGAACTGGCAAGCTCAGATGGTCTAAGTCAACTGAAGATCGGGCTCCTATTTACTGTCACTGAAGATTTCTTAGCACCGGGCTGCGGCGTTGATGTCCTCCGACATATCTTAAACGTTGCGTTACGGCTATGAAGAGGTTTTCCTCGCTTTAATGACAAACATTCGAGGCATTGCAAAGGCAATGATCGCATCTCGCTGCCGCCTAACGAAAACTTGTTACCCGCAGCACCGCAGGTAAAAGAAAGGCTTACTATCGGTCTTGTACTTCGCAGTCGTGATCAGAGTGCACGATTGCATCGCATTCAAGGTATTGTCCTTGAACTGCGAGTCGTCGCCATCCATCTCCTGTGGCAGGGTTCGGGGGCCTTCTGGGGCCTCCTTTGACAACCCTAGCGGAGCAGCCCCTTTCCTTGAGGTAGTTGGTGAGGTACTCGCCGGTGACCTGAATGTCCGACTCCTGCCATCTGATGCGCGTCCGCTTGCTGTCGCATCTGTCGCCTTGCTACCCGTAGGCCTCAGGCTCTTCACAACGGTGGCGGGCGTCGTTTTCGGGCGCGAGCACCGCGCCAACACGCGCTTTCTGGGCTCGCCTCCGGCGGGCCCTCCGACCGCTGTGGGTCCGTTCTTCCATGTCCCGCCAGGGAGCCCATTCTAAGTTCTTGGCGAGGTCCTCCTCTTGCGGAAGTCCCTCGCACAAAAGATGCGACAGCGAATTGCAGCATTTCCTGCTGCCTAGCTCCCACCAACTCTTGTGGTGACGTAGGATCTTGTGCAGCTTCACGTGTGCGACTAGGATGATGACTTCCGCAATCTGCTGAATCATTTCCAGACATGACGTCTCGACGGCTGCATGATGTCATCATAAGCCTAGACGCTGGAGGGGCGGGCATTCACACCCTCGTCTGCTGTGTCAAACTGACTGCAGAACTGCCAACGTGTCTTCACAACAGACTCTGCACTTACGCCATCCCGCCGGATCTACACAACCTCTCATGGAGACACGGCGATGTCTAGACTTAACCCTACAGGGAAGCAGTAGGCAAGCAGTCCTGCAGTGCCGAGCTACTTTTTCCTTTGCAAAAACCTTGGCAGCCATGGCACCACGAGCTTTACATACCGGGCAAAATCGCAGGCATGGCTTCATCATTAAGCAGGATCTTGCAAACCTAAATTCATGCCTTTTGTGGCAAGATATAGCAAGATAAATGGAAGATCATTAAGGGATTCAAGGACTTCAGATTCAGATCAATCTCAGAGCACCAGTATTTGGAGCCTCCTCCTCCCCGGCGGCGGCCTCGGAGAAGCGCCAAGAAAGCGATTCCTCGAGGCAAAGCTTCCAGCCCCTCTCGGAACGGGACTCGTCCGTCCTCCAAGACAGGGACTCCACGACAAAGGGCTTGCCCACGATCGCATGGCCCGGGCCGCTGTAGTCCCGACCATTGATGGTCAGCCGATCGTAGTTGAGCTCCGTGGCAAAGTCCACGATCGTAACCACTGAGTTCGGAGGAAGCGAGAACTCACACCGCTCGTTGGGTCCATACGGCTCTGGATAGTTGGGGCTCTCCACACAGGTGCCACTCAACGTGCAGGGGCCGGTGACTCGCCAAGCCGAAGGGGTGAAGGTTGCAGTCACGGAGGTCGTGCTGCTGACGGTTAGAGTCGTACCCAGCTCCTTCATGTAGATTGCATTTGGGGGACAGTTGTTCAGGCCAGAATAAGTCAGGCACTCACCGTCACCTAAGCAAAGGTCTCCAGGCTGCGCCGACCCACAACTAAGGAGATCGGCCGTGCTTGCCGGGCACTTTGCCGAATCTATGGGCGAAACTCCCAAACCATCGCTGCAAGAAGATGTCTCTATGCAGACTTCCCACCAGCTGTCTGTCCGGTGATCCGACTTCCAGGATATCTCCGTGTCAACCACGAAGGTCTCACCTAGTGAACTGGGTGTCAGCTCGACTCCGTTGATGCTGAAGATCTCAGAATTCGCCGAGCCCGCATGCGTCACCTTTACAGGCGTGCCCTTCGGGAGTGTGAAGGTGCACATCCCATCGCCAGAAGTCTTGGCACAATCCGCGGTGACAGTGCAGGAACCGACGAGTCGCCAGGGACCCTCCTCGTACCAATGAGTGCTTGTGAGGCTCACACTGGTCGTCTGCGTTGCAGAGCTCACAGTGGTGCTGGTCTTGGTTGTGCCGCTGCCCTTGCGGTAAACATCCAAGGACGGAGGATATGTGAAGGCCGCATCGTAGCCTGGGCGCCCTTTTTTGGGGGGAATTCAAGGACGCAGAAACCTCTACTCTTGTTTCGAAAAATAGGCAGGGCCACTGACTGTGACCAGAAAACAAGTGTTCAGAAACCTCAAGCGACGACTTTCAAGTCCTAAACAGGCCGGGAGATGGTTTCCATACAGAAGCCCAGTCACAATTGTTGATGTCGTCCCTCGTGCCGCAGTCTCCGTCTCCGAGACAAAGCTCACCCCCATTCGCAGAGCCACAGCCTCAGGGGATCAAAAGAGCAAACAGCGACTGAGAGGCTTGTATTCTAAGAGTGCAGGGAGGGCTGCTGTGCTGTCACAAGTTTTGCTGATGCTTCTGCGGTCGCCGCTCTGTTATTCCGACTTCTGCAGCCGTCATGGGTGCTGCTGCTGCTGCTCGTGCCAGTGGTGGTCCTACTACTACTACTACGACGACGACGACGATGACGACGACGACGAGGACGAGCTGAGATATGGAACTCGTGGTATATCAGCGGAACCCCTACACTAGTAGGACGAGGATCAGGGTTTAGGGTTTCGGGTTTGGAGTTCAACAATTTAGGCTTCAAAAGTCCTATAAGAGTTTTTGTGGTTCCGGGTTCAACGGCCCGAAACATCCACAGATTCAGGCCTGGAAGGGGTCCCGAAGCCGCTGCCGGGCAGTCCGACACAGGCACAGGGCTGAGGGGCAGGCCGTCGGCACAGGATGGTGGCTCTTCAAAACAGATTTGCCAGCCCTTGCCCGTGCCACTGGAGCTCCATGAAATATTGGACCACACAGTGAAGACTTTGCCTTCCAGGCCCTCTCCCGGAATCGCCTCGCCGTTGATGGTCAGCAGATCCTCATCCTCGGTGCTGAAAGCCGTCACGCGCACCACCGACGGCCGTGGTAGCCAAAGAGAACAGGCCTCGCCGCTCGAATAGGGCAAGGGGAAGCGGGGACTTTCCACACACGCTCCATGCAAGCTGCAAGGGCCTTCAACCGCCCACGGCGCGGGTCCCTCCCAGAACCCGGCGATCTGTGTGACCGTATCTGTCATCGTCGATGTCTGCGTTGTCTCGGAGGAGGTCGTGGCTGTCGATGTTGTCGAAGTGGTGCCGCTCAGCTTCCTGTAGACATCACGTGAAGCTGGGTACGTGTATGCACTGTCGTAGCAATTGTTGACATCCGTTCTCGTACCACAGTCACCTTCTGCTTCACAGAGACCACCAGGCGCTGCCTCCTCACACGATGGCAGAATATCGGAAGGGAGCGGACACTCGGAAACTGCCACAGGAACCAAGCCAAGTCCGTCGGAACAATAGGGTGGCGCTTCAACACACAATTGCCACCCGTCGCCAGTTACACTGTCATCAGATGCCCAAGTAATGTTGGTCCAGACCACCATCTTCGTGCCGGCTATGGATTGGCCGGAGTAGGCGTATCCGTTTACGTACATTTCATCAAAGCCGTCCTCCGTGGAGAAGAAGGTCACCGTCACAACTGAAGGTTGTGGGAGAGACAATGTGCAGCTCTGCCTGTTCCCGTAGGGCTGCGGGAAGTTGGGGCTTTCGGCACATGCACCGAAAGTGCCACAGTCACCATCCACAACCCAGGGAACCGGCCCTGAGTAGGAGCCGACTGCTAAGGGGCGTGTGCCTGTGTAGGTCGTCTGGCTCTTGACGGTGGTTGTAGTTGTCGTCAGTGTCCTGGTCGTCCCCACAGTCTTGCGGTAGACATCGCGGGAGGGAGGATGGGAGTAAAAGCGATCATAGCAGTTGTTGATGTCCTCCCTGGTTCCACAGCTACCTGTAGCACCCTCACAGAGCCCACCTGGCTCGGCGGAATCACAGAGCGGAAGAGGCGTTGAAGGATCCGGGCAGTCTTTCACAGCGACCGGAGCCAACAGCAGCCCGTCGGCGCAGGAAGGCAAAGGATCCAAGCACAGCTCCCAACCGCTGCCCGACACGGACTCGTCACTGATCCAAGAGATGTTTGTCCAAGCCACCACGCTCTTGCCCTCGAGAGTCTGACCACTGTAGGCCTCTCCATTCAAGGTGAGCTTGTCGTAGCCGATCTCTGTGGAAAAGGCAGCAAAGGTCACCACAGACGGAAGTGGGGCAGCCATTGTGCAGTGCTCGTCTCCCCCATACTCTCCCGGATAGTTGCTGCTTCGCACGCAAGCACCTACCAGTTGACAGTCGCCCGACACAGACCAAGATGGCTGGCCACTCGCTGCACCGAGTGTTGCAGTCAGTGTGGTTGATGTCAATGAGGTCACGGAGCTCAATGTTGTGGTAGCAGTCCTGCTAGTACCAGTTGCTTTCTGATACACATCTCGGGAAGCTGGATAGGAGTACTGGGCATCGTAACAGTTGTTGATGTCCGTTCGTGTGCCGCACGAGCCGTCGCCTTCACAGAGATCACCTGGCTGCGCGGCATCACAGCTCACAAGAGGCTCACTAACGGCGGGGCATTCTGAAACTGACACCGGTCTCAGCGGCAGTCCATCCTCACAAGAAGGCGGCTCTTCGACGCAAAGCTCCCAACCAGTGGAAGCAACAGAGTCATCCGACGTCCAGGAAATTTCGGACCAAATCGGGAAAGACGTACCGACAACTCCCTCGCCAGAGCCACTGAATGTACGACCCTCGATCACCAGCCTGTCATATCGGGCTTCTGTGGAGAATGCGACGATCCTCACTACCGAGGGCCGCTGCAGCAGCGTGACGGTGCAGCCGTCATCGTTTGTGTACGATCCTGGATATCCCGGGCTGCTGACGCATGCACCCTCAGCGACGCAGTCCCCTTCTACAGCCCAGGTGGTCGAAGCGCCTGACTTCGCGCGTCCGCGCAGCTTTGGTGAATGCTCCGAGCTCGCTGTGAGCCAAAGCAGCCCGAAACTCACGCAGGCGAGCCGGCGCATGATGGCCGACGCATGGCGGGGGATCTTCGGGCCGAGAATCTGCGAAGACGGGAAACCTCATCACCCCACATCGCTTGTGTCTCGACATCTGCCTTCCCTTGCAACCAAAGCATCGACATGCTCATGACATGAATCTCTGCTTCCCGGATACCTGGAAAGTTCTTCACAAGTGGTGGCCTCTGTCTTCTCTCCGACCGTCAGATTCATCGACTTCATGGAAATGGCCATTGTTGCCGTAGCTCCTCGTGCACAGCATTGCTGTCGACATCGGGGTGTTGCGGCGCCTCCCTACCACAGCCGCACACAAGGCAGCCTGGTGATGGTGTTGGTGCCGGCTTTCCTGGTGCGGCATCTTCCTGGCTGCAGTGCTTGAAGTCAGGCCCCTTAGAATAGCGTCACGTAACGCCCAGACCCCATTGCCGAGGATGAACCTCGATTTTCTTGAAAACACCGATGCGAAGGTCTGTGGTCAAGATTCCAAGATGTCCTCGTTTGAACAGCCCTTCTTGTGCGGTCCAAGCTCGTCTGAATGCTCCAGTGGCCGCGAGGTGCCAAGTGCGGTGCTTGTGCCGTAAAAGATGGTGTGTCACTCTGGATTCTTTTCAGGACGTATGATAAAGCACAAGGAGGCTTGACCGAACCCCTGCATGGAAAGCTATCCAGAAAGAAAGGACTCGCAAGACAACACGAAGCGGAAAGGCAGGAATGGACAGACAAGCGTGAAGTGAAAGGTTGGTGCCGGTGGGATTGCAGTCATGTGTGGGCAGTAGGAGACAGGGGAATCGGAAACAGAGCATACAGACAACACCACAGGTCTGAAGCTCGACCAGTTTCTCGATCGGCTGAAGCACGTGGACTGACCGATCGAAGCGCACACTCACCGGCTCGATATCAAACAAGCAGAGAGACAGAGAGAGAGAGAGAGAGAGAGAGACACCGACACCGAGACCGAGACAGAGAGACTGAGACTGAGACAAAGTCCGAGACCGGGGCTCAGACTGAGACTGAGAGACTTTAGATGGATCACGATGTGTGTGTATGTACATATGTAGGGGTACATGCTAGTAGAATGGTTCACTGCCCGTTGTTTACGAGCGACCACCACGGCAGCCGGCAGCCGGCAGCTGTCTCCTTTCCCAAATCGCAAGCGCCCATCCTCCCTCACGTTGTGCGACTTAGTCGACAATCGGATGCATAGAAGTAGCATTCTCACAGCTTAGAGCAGCTCCTGTTTCACGGGGTCTTTACGACAAGTGGACGTTCAAGCAAACAACTCAAGCAAGGCAGCCCCACCGCAGTGCTCTGTGCCGTTTGGCCCATCCTGTGGCTCCGAAGAAAGCGGAGCAAAGCACCCCTCTTGCATCGACATCGACTGCTATGCATTATAGGGTAACTTTTGCGAAGGAAGGACTGCCTGCTTCAGTACCAACTGTAGCGTGGTATGCAGGATCAACGAAACAGACTCCGATCATACACTGTGCCAGTCTAGTGTCAAACCCGGCATACAGCACTGATGGAGGTCGTTCAGCTACTAACTACTACTTTCAAGAAGGACTGGCCAGATGGGTGAGCTACTAACTACTACTTTCAAGAAGGACTGGCCAGATGGGTGATCCACAAGCATGCACCAGCTTAGCAAGCATAGCTAGCTATAACACCGAATACCCACCGTGTTAGAGTTCAAAACTTGAGCACAGCTGTGTTTCTGGGACATAGTCGACTGCACGTCTTCACGCAAATGGCCCGTCTCGTTGAACTTGGCCATTGAATCTGGGGAGAACACTTGAAACGCAAGTAAATGCTTCCGACCTGTGCATATGTCACTAGGTATTGCACCCGCAGTTGGACGCAAGCCACAACATACACCAAAACAAAATCAGCACGAGAAAGGAGTGCCGTGGCTGGCGCGCCCTTGTCGCGTGCTGCCCGCTTTGCTCTTGAAGATGTCGGCATCCACGGGCTTGACGCGCCCGCCGGTCGCCTGCCTTTGGCTTGATGGGTTTGCATTTTGAGGTGGGAGCCGCAAGTTGTACATGAATTAGCAACTTCGCTTCCACCGATGTCACCACTTCACGGCCTTCTCCTGCTGCTGCCTGCTACGACTATCCTCCTGCTGCTGCTGCTGCTACTGCACTGCTCCTCCTACTCCTACCACTCATTCTACTCATACTACCCCTACCCCTCGTACTCCTCGTACTCCTCCCACTCCTACTCCTCCCACTCCTGACAATGACCACTCCGGCTTCTTTTGCAGCACCGTGGAGACCGCAGCACAGTCTGAGACGGCCACTCTCCTGCGGGTTCCTTCTTGTGCTTGGCGATAAACGCCTGCAGATGGCTGGAGCCCGCAGCCCAAAGTCGAATGCGAGAAGACGGCGACTTCACAAGGCGGGAGCTAGACTCGCTCGGTGTTGCAGACGGCTTGCTTCAACAAGTTGAGAACTTGGATCGCATGTGTTATCGCGTCCCCAAGGACCACCAAGTCCCATGGCATGTTATTAAACTCCATGCAGCCTATACATACCAATACATCACATTCGTCAACTCGCTACCAAAGGAGTCAAAGGAGCAAACTGACTGCAAACCCAGTAAGCCCAAAAGCCTCAATGCCCCACTCTGAACTGGGAAGATCTAACAATCACACCGGCCGAACCCAAACCCTGTCAGGCCGCCTTGTCGTAACCCACGACCGAACCTCGCTTGAGCTGCGCAGCAATGGACCTCGCCCAGTCCGATGCTGGAGAACTGTAGACAAAACACGAATGGAAACGCCGAGGTGAAGCACTTGTCAGATTTTCTATCCTGTATCCCATCTCAAACGGCTCTGATCTCTTGTGTGCCACTGCCGGAAGCAAAGCCCTCGAGCTGAAACAGCCAGAGAAGACTACAGTGATCCAACCTCACAACCACAGAGAAGACACCTTTACGATTAGAATAGGGTTTCGGGGCCCATTATACTATAATTCTAATACGGGGCCCATTATACGATAATTTTAATACGGAACCCAAGAAGACTTGCAGAGTGCCAGGCTCCAGCATCGGCTTCAGGGCAGGGTTTCGATGCAGGAGCTCTGCGTAGGAATCCATACCTGCGGCCCCCAAAGCTAGCCAGGGGTTAATCTTGCAAGGCACATCCGCCGCAAAAAAAAGACGACGGCCCTAAGAGCCGTCGTCGTAGTAGCAGCAGCAAGCCCGCTTGTTCCCTGGTGTTGACTCTGGTCTAGTACGGAATAGTACCCTAAACCCTTAACCAACAACAGAGGCTCTGATCGCACATCCCACGACAAGCCTCGCTCGTAGGCCTTGCAAAGTGTGGACCACATGTTGGTCAGCTCCTTCCGCCGATACCTTGGGCGGGCATTGGTCAAATAGAACGTTCCAGAGTGCGTGACACCGCCCGGAGGAGTGTGAAAATGACACCCAAATTCCTAGACTTGCCCGGGCACAGGTTGTACATGTAGAGCGCAAAGAGGTCCGCGCAAGCTCTGTGGTCCGCCTGACTTCGTTCAGAAGATAACGCGGTATGGACTTGCACCTCGACTGTAGCCATTGACACATGTAGGCTCCTGTGTAAACAGTACATGTCCTTCCTGGCTCGCATCTGGCACACTGTATCTTGTGACCTTCAAGTAGGCCTTCCCATGGCTTTGCTTATCATGTAACTTTGAACTTCACTCTAATTGCTCTGCCAGCAGAAAGCCATGCGGCAAATCCTCTGCCTCTCTCCTAACCCTCACCGAGTGACGAAAACAATCCGCCGAAGCATCAGATCCGATAATTACCTCAAAAGACGAAGGGCAGCAGTTCCCAACTAACCGAAGACAGGAGCCTTTAGAATCAGAATAAGGCTCCGGAATTTGTCATACTATCTTAAGCATAAGGAAACCAAAGCAATACTATCACAAATTATCCAGGCCCCTATATTCAGCACTGAATGCGTACTACAGCAGGCTCCCGGCCGTAGGCAATGGCCAGGCCCGGTTGCGGACTTCCTGCGTTCCCTGAGGCTCGGGGTTTCCACGCGTCGACGCCAGGAGACTCAAAGCCAAACCCAGAAGCTTCCGCCATGTGGGGGTTTCCGCAAACTAGCAGTACCTTATTCTTCGGCTCCTTATAAAAGGATCCTACTATTTAGGGGTACAGCGCCAGCACTACTTAAGAAAACATTGGATTAAGAAAATGAGACTCTGGATTTTGCGATTGATAGGGTCCTACATAGAATATCAAGCACTCTTAAAACAAGAAAACCAGGGTACCCTCGTCCGCGAGTCTCATTTTCTTATTTCGTTGTCATACTCGTGGTCTTTAGCTGGGTTCTGGAACGAAGGAGAATAAGAAAATGCCAGAGTCTCGTTTTCTTATTTAGGTGGGCTCTGGAACGAAGGAGAATAAGAAAATGCCAGAGTCTCGTTTTCTTATTTAGGTGGGTTCTGGAACGAAGGAGAATAAGAAAATGCCAGAGTCTCGTTTTCTTATTTAGGTGGGTTCTGGAACGAAGGAGAATAAGCAAATGCCAGAGTCTCGTTTTCTTATTTAGGTGGGCTCTGGAACGAAGGAGAATAAGAAAATGCCAGAGTCTCGTTTTCTTATTTAGGTGGGTTCTGGAACGAAGGAGAATAAGAACATGCCAGAGTCTCGTTTTCTTATTTAGGGGGTTCTGGAACGATGGCTGATCCTGGGGCCTCCATTGAGCCTGGTACAGCCTGGTTTGGAGGAAAACTGTTTGAACGACTGTAGAATGGGATACGGTGCTGCATTATGACTGTGTTTGAAGATTTATGGCTTAATTTCGAGATCTTGGGCCTGTTGGGTTTGATGTTTGGGGCAAGTCTTCGCTTGTTCATCTGGGGTCTTGGGCCCTGGACAGAGCGACAAAAGAAAGCGGCCTTAAGAAAACCAGACTACCCTGACCCATCCCAGATTAAATATTCCCATAAAACCAGCCGCTATCAAAATAAGAAAACCAGACTACCCTCGTCCCAGAAAGTATTTTCTTATACAGCGCTCCCGCTGTACCATACTAGGGTCCCCTATTTTCGGAAACTCCCATTTTTCTCACATTAGGCCTGCATCTCGACCTATGGAGGCTCGAAGACTGCAATCGAGAGCCGGGCCATCATCGAGCCCTTGGTGGAGCCTCTCAAGAAGGTATAGCATAGTACAGTACAATACGATAGTATAGGACGGTAGAGGATAGTACCGTACAGTAGAGTATGGTATGGTAGAGCATAGCATAGTATATTCTGTTAAGATATGTAGTATAGTACAGTACATCATAAGATAGTATACAGTAGTGTAGCACGGCATAGCATAGTACAGTCTATAATGTATTTTTGTATCGTATAGTACAGTTGTTCTCGTGTAATATAAAGTGACATAGCTCATTATAGCATGGCACAGTACCATAAGATATAGTATACAGTACAGTAAGCATCATAGTATTTAGCATACTACATCGTATAGTATATAAAGTATATAGCATAGTACAGTCCAGTGAAGTATACCGTAAAAGATAAGAGAAGGAAAGAGAAGAGAAGATAAGAGAAGAGAAGAGACTATAACCGAATATGGAACCTCTCAGAAGCTACGAGCAGTTTTCTCAGATTCTCAGGACCTTCTAAGAGGAGGCTCTTCTGCGAGAAGACTTCTGCACAGATGGTTAGGATGCACCCCCCTTCTTTGCCACCGAGGGCGTCGCCCATTGTGGAGTTCATTGTGTTGCGCATGGGCGAGGCTGTAGGCGAAGCCCTGAGGCAGAAGCGCAGTGGCGCAGGGGCATTAGCTGCCCCGGTCTGCGACGCAATTTTCAGGGCCAAGCGGAGCATGCTTCGCTGCAGAGTTTCCCTCGCCGCCCAAGTACCTCAGATGGTCGGAGTCAGTACCGAAAGGCTGCCCCAACATTCGGCACTGTCTCCCGCACATGTTCACCCGTATTCACCCGAAACCTTCTTCGTCGAGCTCCCAGATTTTTCAAAACTGCAAACGCTGAACAGCCTAAACACGCCCGTGATCTTCCCCTGTTGAGGTGAGATGCTTAGAGACCGTCGGCTGGAAGTCGCTGATCGTCTGGTTGAGGTTCGACGTATCTGCTTTGTTGCTTGCCTGCGCAAACAATCGATGTCGGGTTCAAGGCTTTGGAGCACTCTTACGGCTAATCATTAGGCTTCATCCTTGTGGCAGGCATTTTCACATGCGCGTTTACGCTGACTCTGTGCCAAAACCTCTGCCCAAGAGGCCCACGTCCCTGAACTTTGAATCTAACGCTCTCCCCTCTAGCAACCCTGAGAAAGCCCGGCCATGCCGGTCTTGTCCATCTTCGACTTCTTTTTCCTTTGCACAGCTGACACTTCTCTAACGGTTCGAGCAACAAGAAGAACACCACAGTTTCAGGCGACCCAGCTACGACAAAAAGAACTGAAGGCGTTGGAAGCGGGCCTTGGGCAAGGCAAAGACAAGAAGGATAACATAGAGATCACCTAGACTCTAGATAAATCGCTCACCGCTCACGTTCCTTAGCTCTACACCTCGAGCTAACAAACCAAACCATCACGCAAATCTTATAGACTTTCGGGAGTCAGAATGTTGAATGTCGACGTCGCAGCTGCCCAGATCATGCGAGCAGCGACTTGCCGCTTCTCATACATGTGTATGCATAATTACACGGTCGGATGTCGGGCTGTACCTATACCTGTCAACGCAAGAAAACTGTTCCCCTGTCAACAAACTGCTGGCCAGCAGCTTCTTGTCTTTGTCTGAAGCAAGGTCCATGGTCTCGCCCTCCTCATCAGTGGGGCCAAGCGTTCCCCTCTCATGGTTATACTACTGACACCCTCTGCGCCTGGGCCACGGTTTAGGGGTTTAGGGTTTAGAGTTTCCGGGAATGCTGAGCCGGAACCCTGGCCCCATCTCCAAGTGGTCCACCCAGCGAGAGTTGTAGCATCGGGTTATAAAAGTTCGATGCAGAGACGTACACAACTGGAACCGTGCTTCTTGGGCCTACCATCCTGTGCATCTCTAGGATTTTTGTTGAGCACTTGCCGAGTCTATCGAAGTTGGGAAGCCCTGGTGGTCCAGCTGTGGGTGCAGCTCCGGCCAGGCGACAGCCTGGCAAAGTGTCACAGCATTAGAAAGGGGCCTCAATACTTAGAACAGGGTTTGGGGGTGTTTTGTGCTGGCATTTATCGCATTATAGAGCTGCAGTCATGAGAGCCCTGTAATCATGTATTAGCGTATTGCAAGAGCGTCCCGGAGTGTTATAGGACATCACATGTCTCTGGCACCCGAAAAGTGCCACAAATGGCTGGCCTTTTGACCCCCGGGAGATTTTTTCGGAAATCCGCCTGCCGGTAAAACCATGTAAAATCCGTCTTATCTTGAGATGCGATGGCCAGGCATTTGTGTTTCGAGAAACGTCGACCCCAAACGGGAATAGCCGAGGTCAAAAATCCAACTGCCAGCCTTTTGTGATGGTGGATTCCTTCTCCCCTCATCCTCTCCCATTCTCTCCGTCTCTCCCTACCTCGTCCTCCCTACAGAGTGTGGCCTCTTGCTCAGCCGGCACTTGTTGAGCCTGCTGGGGCCTCAGCCATGAAGGCGAGGCCCCTTGCGCCGGCCCCTCCGCGTCTTTCCCTTCAGGCAACACACTAATGGCTGGCACATCGGTAGTCGGCTTCAGAGTTCCCTGAGTGCGCGGGAAGCTCAACCCTCGCATGGCATTCATTCCAAGCAGGTATATATACAAGACATGAACCCCGTGCATGCCGCCGCAGCAAGAGCAAGACAGTCTCACTCTCTCCCCCTCTCCGGACTCTCTCCCTCTCTCCTGCTCTCCATCTCTCCCTCTCTCCCTCTCTCTCTCTCTCTCTCTCTCTCTCTCTCTCTCTCTCTCTCTCTCTCTCTTTCTCTCTCTCTCTATCTCTCTCTCTCTATCTCTCTCTCTCTCTCTCTCTCGCCTCGCTCTCCTTCTCTCGAAACTGGTATGCCTGCCTTTTGTTCCTGAACGATCCCTGGCCCCAACCCTGGCCCCAACCACACCAGATCGTGCTTATGCGGCGCGGTCTGGACTCACGTGTGCCTGAAGCTTGTGCTTGGTGTTTTCCGCTGCCCCGATACCCCCCTTTTTCTAGGCGTGCCAACCATCTGCTCACAGATGCAAAACACCATAAATCACAAGTTTCAGGAAATCGGCAGTCGATTTGCTCGACCCAAAAACTTGTGATGTCCTATAATGCACGCGGCTTGGCTATAGTCTTCTGCCTGGTATGCTCAAAGGTGTTTCTGCAAAAAATCCTACAGAAGTGGCATGACTGAAGAGTGATGCTCAGATACTACGAGGTACCCCAAACATCCCCAACCCAATTTAAGCTACCTTTCACCGGGGTTGCAGCCTTGTGTTTCCATGGAAGGGGACTTCACTGAGAGTGGTAGTAAGTAGCATCCTCCTTTTCATCAAGAAGCATAAGAACAACCAACTGTAAGCATGCTACAATCGAAATTGTCACTAGTGACAGTGGTTCATCTTGCTGGGAAGATGATGTTTTTGTCCCGCAGTTCAACAGAGGGCAGCCCGCAAGGAAGTATCTTGCAGTGGCAGCATCGTTGGATGGGCACTACAATATCACGAGTATCTTGGCCATGGTATGCCTTTTGCTATGGAACCATGAACCATCGAACACCGGAAGCACCAAAAAGAGGAATAGCGAAGCACGAACTGAAGAATTCACGTGCAGGCACATGGACAAAGCAACCCTTCGCACCAGCCTTGCAGTAAGCGGCGACCTTAACTCAACCCGACGGCTCGTGGGAGGAGAATCCATTCTTGAACCTCCGAGCTCTGCGCTGCCATCCTCATCTGAAGCTCTGGACCCTCCAGCCCCAATCCCCCAGCCCCAAATCGTCCACCGTGACTGCTTGCATAAACCCTCATATATCTAGACTACGCATATATACACTATATATATATATATATATATATATATATATACATATACATATATATATATACATATATATATATATATATATATACATATATATATATACATATATTTGTATTTATATCTATTTAATTATTTATACAGACACATCGATATTTCTACTGTTCTATTTAGCCGTTTTGTGTTTTATTTATCATGAGATGCTTAATGCCTCGTCTTTTTTGGGCCCCGCACGGCCCGGGCTTTGGCGAAGTACCGCGCCCGGAAGACGTAGCCACGGAAGGTCGCCTGCGCCTCTTCGTGGGCGTTTGAGGGTTTAGGGTTTGGGGTTGAGGGTTCACAGGGTTTCGGGAGTGGAGGACGCTGGGATTTATGGGACTTTCCGGAAATAGGGAACCCTATAATATAGTACCCTAAATAGTGGGATCCTTATTATAAGGATCCCGAAATAAGGTACCCCTTACTTTCGGAAACTCACATTTGGGTTCTGCTTTTCTGGTTTAGCTCCATCCATGCTTTGGAGCCAAAATTCCGCGCACAGCTACAACCAGAGGCGACGATCCCACGTGGCTGCCATACCAGGTTTTACACCTGCTCTGCAGACACTCCGGGAGCCATAAAACTCCAGCCTTCCGTCGTAGGTCTTTGCCCTTCTGAATTGGGGCCGACAGTTGTCTCTTCGCTCTTCGCCCTCGATAACTCATCGAATCGGAACCCATCATGGAAACAAGAACGCCCAATCTCTTCCCGTGCAACCGGCCTTGATGATTGATCCCAACACTCCACGGGGCAGAGCGTTCACCAACTCCTCCCATGGCTGCAGGGCTTTCTCAGAACTTAGCGATAGGAACTTGTTCTTGTCACTGACATTTGGGAGTTTCCGAAAATAAGGGACCTGAATGCAGTGCCCTAAATAGTAGCATTTTTATTATAAGGACCCCAAGATAAGGTACCCCTAATTTTCGGAAACTCCCATTTATTCAGAAGAAAGCAGCGCTGAAAACCCGACGGAACCTCGCAGTCTTTCGAGGCTCGGTCATACGACGATGCCACTCGGTCGAAGACGGCCGTCCGCGACGTGGTGGAGTCTGGCTCCTGAATTTGGTGTGTAGGGAGTGTGGGGTTCAAGCAGCATGAAGGATGAGGATCTTTGCAGTTTTCACACCGGCGTGGGGGCTGCGGCGCCTCGCGAGTTTACCGCTTTACGCTGAATCTTGGAAATTTGATTATAGCGGCGGTCCGACTTGCGCATACCACGTTAGAGCAATGAAGGAATGGAAAGGCCCGACCCCATCACAGCAAATACGGTTCAGAACCTTTCAACTCCAGAAAACCATACTGCTCAACATGCTGAAAACCCCGGGGAAGTCCGGCAGCTGCGGAGCAGGAAGGCGACCCAATGCCGCATGCGACTCGGCGATGCGCGCGATGCCTGCCAGAGACCCCAGGAGCCTCGCTTCCGTTCCCCAGTGTGATAGTTGTCCATCACGCACGTGAGCAAAATCAAACAGCACATTGCCTTTACGCCTGGTCCATAGACACAAACATTGCTGGACAAGTCTTGGCATTACACATTTGTTTACTGCGGCTACTACTGCGACCACTACTTCCTCTTCCGCCTCCTCCTCCTGCTCCTGCCACTGCTACAGCTACAGGCAAAGCTACTGCTACTGCTGCTGCTGCTGCTGCTGCTGCTGCTGCTGCTGCCACTACTACTACTACGACGACGACTACCACTACTACTTGCAATTCTAGTACACCACTTGCAATGCTAGTACTAGTTGAGACTCTAGTCCTCCGACTAGTAGCAGCACTATAACTAGCACTGCCAATAGTGCATTTCCAGTCATCCTGCTGCTGCACCTGCTGCTGCTCTTAACAGCACGAACACCATCATCATGAGCATCGTCATCATCAGCATCGCCATGTGCGTCCTCACCATGAGTATCATGATCATCACCATCATTAATACAGACCTCGATGTTGATAGCATGCTATGTTTTTTGGCTGCCGTCGAAACGACGCGACTCTTGTGGCCGCTGAACACCGGCCACCCGGGTCTCGAGATAGAGATCCACACGTTGGGGCACGGCTGTGTGTAGTCGGATCAGCCCAGTTATATTGGTTTAGGGTTCAGGGTTTAGAAGGTTGGGGTCCACGACGGGCAAGACAAAAGCAACAATATCGGCAATCCACGGCTTGTTGGAAACTTCAGAGCCTTGCAAGAGAATTCACTTCATAGTGCAAGTGTGAGAAATGCTCCCAGCACCACCAGTCTTAGCAGACCCAATTTATGCCCTCCTTGCTCTCAGTCAGGGGCTGGCCAGGCTCCACGCCTTCAGGGCACTGCAACCTAGCCTTGGAGGTCGGGCTTGCACAAGCCCATGTGCAGGTTGCCGGAATCATCCGGTTGCAACCGACGAGCTCGGGCTTCTTCGAGCAGTCCACATAGGCATGACATCCCCAGCTACAGCCTCCGCCACTGCAGTGCTCCTGGTGAACGACTTGCTTCGGACCACAGACGAGCTGCTGCTGGCCACCAGAAAAGCATTTGTAGGTGCAGTTTCCGCCGGTGCAAAGCGTCTTCACAGGGACACTGCCGCCAGAGCAGCCGATAATCTGCAGCGCATAGAAAAACCAATCGAATAACTTACTACAGCTGCAGACCGACTTCAAAGCTTTAGTGCTACATTGGATGTCCAGGACACATCCGTCCGTGGTGGCACTGTCTGCAGAAGGCTCATGTACTGGTTCTTGATCTGCTCCTCCACACTCTCCACCTGCGTTCCAAGCGACAGAGGAAAGGCCGGTGGTGGGGCAGTTTGCCGGAGGGGGAACCGAGCGTGGAGTTTTCCAGCCCATCCGAGCCCCTAGTGATTTCAAGATGCACAGAGGGCAGCCGGCATCGCCTGCTCTTCGGTGCAGGCATCGGCTCCCGGCGAACAGCTCCCGGTCTGCCCAGCCGCCCCAAGCAGCCACGCAAGTCCTCTGAGGGGCCACATGGGATGAGGGCTACGGGAGCTGGAGGAACGATGGAAGGAAGAAAGAGGATGCAATTCTGTAACCTGTCTGCAACCAGGTGGTGTGGTGGCTGACTCCGAGGCTTCGCGCTTCTGGAAGCAATCAGTCCTAGCAGTGATGCGAGTCCCACGGCTGCCATGTGCACGCAGCGGCCCAGCTTCAAAGGTGAGGGGTGCCACCTGTACACTTGAGCCAACTCCGGCGGCCAATGGGAACTCTTCCAAGCCGAGCTGTGCTACCTTTCCGAATCAGTTTCATACAAGTTTTGGCTGCACAACGCGTCTTGGACAGTGCATGACCTCTTTTCACCTTTAAGGTCCAGGTCGAGGGGTCGAGCCTGCAACACCAACCGTTTCCGTCTAGGTGCATTGCGCCTGTGGCTGCATGGTGAGCCAGCATAGGCGCGACACCCTTCCACATGGCGAGCCTGTAAGGCCAGCTGGAAATAGGCAATGCGAGAAAAATGCTACATTCTGCTTGAACACAAGATAGACTTGCACGCGCTTGAACCGCTTTGTGTCCACCGTTTGGATCTCCCTTTGGTCACCATCCGAACATGTCACCCTTACCACAAGGCAATGAGGATCCTAAGCGGTAGAGTGCAACGAAAGAAGCCTGAGCAATGGCTGCAAAGAGCTGGGCTCCAGGGGGAAAACTTTGGGACACAAGAAAGCAGGGAGCACAGCATCTGCCCGACGAAGGTCGCTGCGAAGGTCAAGGCACTGGGCCCTGCCAGGAGACAAGCTTCTCTTTTTTTGAGCACCTTTTTCCATCCGCCTAATAAGGTCTTAGGAATCTGGAATTCGCTCAGCAAGAGACAAGCTTCAGGGTTTAGGGTTTAGGGAGTTTAGCACAGCATGAAGGCACAGTCGAAGAACTCCATGTTACGATTGACAAATTCTCTCGGGCTGCTGTGAGCTGATGGGTCTGGGTAGCCTCGGCCCTAAGTACTGCACGAGCAACTGCTGAACTCCTTCCGGCTGTCAACACATTCCTTTCCTGGCTTCGAGGTTGCGATTGAAGGGCACAGGCCTTCCAAACCATCCATGAGCCGAATGGCCAGCGAAGCAACGCCACGAAGCTCTGCATCGTCAGTCCACCTCTCTTTGCAGGCCCGAAATTCGCGGTGAGCCAGGACTCTGCTTTGACACCACGGTTTGACGGCACTGGGCTCTGAGCATCAAGGAGAAGGAGTCGACCGTCTTCTCCTGTCGCAGTCACTTGCAGTCTTGCAGACTCCAAGCATTCCCGACGCCGTCAGTCCCTGGAGCTTCTGCTGATCTAAACCCAAAAGGAGCTCCCGCCTTCAGGGCCGCCAGCTGCTGCGACACGGGGTCCGGTGCAGCTTTGGGCTTCAGCACAGGTCTCTTGTAGGCACGCCTTGGTAGACGGAAAACGGGACTTGCAGGTCTCTATCTACAGTACGACTCAGGTAGACTAGCCATGCAGCATGCGTGGAAAGGTGCAAAGCCACACGTGCTAACTACTGAGATACCGCCATTCTATGTCATGCCAGGCTTCATCAGCCTGTTTCTTAGCGTTTATCATGTTACTTTTTGTTGCTTGGAGATTCATGTAGCATGCCACAAGATTGAAGCGGGCCTTACAATGTCTGCAGTATTTCGGACGCAGCATTACCTCATGAGTAAGGAGTCCCCGGAATTCTTCGGCAGGGGTCAACTGTTTCTTGCATGGAGACTTCCTCGCAAGCCATAACCCAAGGTTCGAGGAAAACCTGAACACCACACCCGAAAGCCCTCGGAAAGAGAAGCGGACCCCCAGCAAAGCCCTCATCTTCCGACGGGAGGCTTGGTGGCCTGATCCAGAAACTCCTGGGCGTCCTCGAGGTGCCGGGAGTGGGAGACTTCAGGTTTCACGAAGCGGAAGGTCGTGGTTTGGTCAGGAGGTTCTAGGCCCTTCAGCTTAGCCCAGCTTAGAGGGCCCCTTCCCTAAGGGTAACCTCGAGTCCAAGCGCAGCCGGAAACTCTCAAACTGCGAGGTCCTCCATGGACAGGCTCATCCAATCCACGGCGAACCTCCGCTGCCCCGACACGGTTCGGGGCCAGGCCAGAAACCCAGAATGTTGAAGCTGGCAGGAACGGCGGCACAAGGCGCACCCTCAAAAGAAGGCAACCCTTGTCAGGATCTGAGGTCCGCCAGCTTTGACAAGAAAGTCGGTGCAGCAAGAAGGAACATAGGAAAAGAGAGACGGAGAGTAAGAGAGCGTGAGAGTGAGCTGGCAAAACGAGCGATCTAGGCTGAGCATCCTCAGCTTCCGAATCGGAAGGCGGCGATGGCAGAGACGTGGCGCCAGGCATTTAACTACTAGGAGCCCTGTGTCTTGACGACAAGATTCAGCAACAGCACCTGCACGGGCCTCAAAGCTAAGACCTCTTCGAGGTAGTCTTGAAGGTTCGACGCCGGCTTGGTGCCAGCCTGAAGCACAGAGATGATGGCGGCGACAGGGTTGTGCTGAGTGCCCGAGGCAGGTGTATGCAGTGACTTAAAGCGATTTCAGAAACTGAAAACACCGCGAAACACTTCTGGTGCATGCCTTCTTCGCGCGGTGCACATATTGCACATCTGCCTGTACATACTTTCTTAGATGTTACGACGCTGAAATCCTGAGTGCTCTGGTAAGCTGCAAACGCACACCAACTTACCGCCCTGCACAAAACCTTCCCTGAGCCCCTGGCAGAGGAGGGAGCCACTAGTGATGGATCGCATATGCCATAGCCGCGATCTTTGCCAAAGACCTGCAGCAGCCATGGATGGCAGCAAAGGCTCTCAGCCTCTCTCTTGGGCATGCTAGCCTCGTACTGGTGGCCCTCGATTACAGACCACGCCGGTCGGCTCTTCATGTTCCGGTACCTGAGAACACGGAGTGAAATACGAATAGACAGACAGACTGACATGGATAGATATATAGGGTTGGATAGGATTTGAGTGAGGTAAGGATAAATTGGATTTAGATTAGGTTTGATTAGTATTAGAATAGATTGGATTAGTTTAGATTTCATTAGACAGTATAGACAGATAGATTAGATAGGTAGATCGATGGCTAGAAGGAGAGATAGATAATTCGATCATCGCAAACGTACTCGGAACCGTGTCGCTTGCGCCGAATATAAGAGGGTTCATTGCGTGAACTGTGCAGACAGAGTTCAACGTGCAGCATTGCAGTGCTACTGTTTACATCCCCTGCGGGGCTTGCCGTCGAATACTTCCCTGACTACCTCGGCCTTTTGCTCTTTCCAACCTTTCAGTGGACCATTCCTCGCACAGAATCCTCTTCGTGCAAATGTTTCTCAAGTCTGCTCTGGGTGTCCTTCCTTGATCCCTTGATCCCACTCTCAACCAGTAATCGCTACGAAGCGCGTCCCCGAACGGGGATCCCACATCACAATCTGGGCTTCCTGCTTGTTCTCCTTGGAGGTGAACTGCACCTGAACCTGCAAGTCCGAATGCTGAGGCCAACGGGCACCGACGATGTGACGTAGCTTCCTGAAAGTGCCCTACTGTAAGGGAGGCTAAGAGGCTGAAGAAAATCGAAACCGCCTCGCGCCAGATCTTGGTCAGGAGCTTCTGAGAGCCCTGGCTCAGGGGCTGAACTTAGGTTGAGGATGTCGGGTGCATAAGGCGTTTAGGGTTTAGGGGAAGGCAGCGTTCAACCTGGAAGGACCTCAGCGCTCAGGGCGCAAGCCTGCTTCAGCCCTTCGCACGCCGCCATGAAGACCCTGGCCGGGTAGCAAATTTTGAAGGCATGTATGTATGTACGTATGTCTTTAGGTAGGCGTGTATCGACGCACAAGCACCTTCACAAACACGAGTCAAACACATCTTCAACACACACTACCTGCAAGCAAACGCTTACCGACAAACACACGATATACATGCGTGCAGCCATGTATATATGCATATAAAGAAACGTGCCTGCATACGCACAGCGTGTGTGCCTGCATGCACACTCGCGCATATGCATTTTGTGCACATCCACGTCTGTGTACACATTGTACAATACGTAGCACAACACAACAGAATGCTGTACTGTGCTGATGTATGGAATACAATACTATGTAAAGTAGTTGAATATACTATAATAAGTGACTTGGTAGGTATGTCTGTATGCTCGCGCAAGATGTGCCTGCTCTTGTGCATACGTACATCCATCCATGCGAGCATGCATACATGCATACACATACATTCACTCATTCATTCTATTCCCTTCCGGTCGCTTTCATTTATAATTACATGCACTCAGTGTTTCATTCTTTCGCTCATGCATTCCTTGCACGGTTCCATCATGCGCTCATTCATACATTCATTCATTCAGTTCTTCATGCGTTCATTCGCATACATGCACGCATACACAGATACATGAACACAGACAGAACGACATGCTCACACAGACAAAGGTATCGCTCATTCTTGCATGCGTAAATACCTACATACATGTGTATGTATGTGTATATATATATACATGCATACATACATACATACTATGTGCATAAATATACATATATATATATATATATGTACCCATTCTTCTACATATGTACATATTCTTCAGGCTTCAACTCACCGACATGACGATTATGATGATTACGATGGTGATGGTGATGGTCATGAAGACGATGATGATGACTCTGGGTGTTTCGCATGTCGGTACTTCCATTATGGGAGTGAGACTAACCCAGGGAGGCTTCTAGACTGCTTGAGCCCTTCGCGCCCCGATTTCCTGAGGCTGCCACCCAGGAACTGCCCTCTTAGAGGCTGGAGCCTGACTGCGTTGCTTTCAGGAAACCTTCGATAACTCAGCGAAAACGTGGAATGACCTGGAGCACGCACTTACGCTGCACCTCCTAGGGCCAGCGACAGTCTTACCAGTAGCATGTACGTTGCCCCTCCCTCAAGGAAGGGAGAGGAGAAAGGCCCTGGCTCCCTGGCTCCTTCTCTCCTGATACATCACTCTGGCACTCCTAGCACTCGCAGACAGCGCCTTGGCGGCAGCTGCGGCAAACAAGGCCCGCCAGAGGACACGAGCACCTGAAGCACTGCGGAGGCGTTTCTTCTATCGAGTGTAAGTCGGCAAGTGCCCTTGAAATCTGAGGCTTTGGGCAAAGAAGGCCGGCTTGCCATTGCGTGGACGGCCTCCGCGAAACGAGGCTCGTGGAGCAGGCAAGAGAACACGAGCCCGGGTCAAGGGGAGGTGATTGGCACTTTTGGGCTCTGCAAGGCCGGTCGTGCCCATTGGTAAGTTCTTCCCTTCCTCTAGAGACTTACGTTTTGAACAGCACCTTCGGCCGTGGTCCTCAAAACCTGTTACAAAGCCTGTCGGCACTCGTCCCGCATGCGGTTGCAGCGTCTGCACGCCTGCCCGAGGGTGCGCCCCGCAGGGCGTGCTCGTTCGTGACCTCCTGCCGCACCTCCAGGGCTGTCTGAAGCTAAAGATACTGTGTTGTCATTCGAACAGCAACCTCGAAGCAAGAGGAACAGCAACTGATGTGAATGACAGTAACAAGCTACTGCGACTGCTAATGCTACTTCTTCCACTTCTGCTGCGCTGCTATGGCTAAGATGGCTGACGATGGCTGACGGGTGCCAGGTCGCGGCCGCTCGGCATGCCCGGAGCTTGAAAGGCTTACCCTAAACCCTAGAGTTCGGGGCTTTGGAGTTTGGGGCTTCGGATTTTGGGTTTCCGGCGGTGCCTTCATGCAGATCACGTGGCAGGCGTTGGCCAAGTGTTCCTGGAGATCTGGCCTTGGATTTCACATATGGGGGCCATGCGTAAAGTTGTAGCGTTTAGGATTGAGGTCTTTCAGGGTTAGGGTTTGGGTGTTCAATCGCATAAGTCTTAACTGTTGAATATTTAGGTTTAGGTTTAGGGTTTAGTTTTCTCAGCTTGTTGCGAAGCTGTTACAAGTGGCCCTGCATTGCATAATAGATTTCGCAACAGATCTTGACATCAGACTGGCTATTTCGTGGGCGTGTAGATGCGAGGAAGATGATCGAATAGCCTTATCCCGGGAAGATCAAGCCCACGACGTCAGCGCACTGACAGGCATCAGGCGCGCCCTGTTGAACCTGGCTTTGCGCAGGAATGTTTTGCATGATACGTGGGGAAACCGTCCGAAGTAAAAACCCCGGCTCTCACTCAGCTGGATGATGCACCCTGGGAATTAGCGCCTTAGCTTCCAAGGTCCGCCGGGTACCCCATGTTCCCTGAAAAGCAACGGCAGAAAGCTTTCTAACCCATACGACAGACTCCCAGGCTGTGATGGGAAGACCAGTGAGGACAACCTCCAGATGGGAAGTACACAACTTGCATGCACGATCTGAAACTGCCCACACGGGATATCTCTACCGTCGACTGCTCTGAACCCCAATGCGAGTCAGCAGCACCACGCCGGGCCTTGGAGGATTTTCCGCCAGCTTAAAACGACGCATGTACAATGACGCATGAATATAAGTACAGGGGCACGAAACAAAGAAACAAAACGCAACTATGCAGGTGTATGACTGGTATATGAGCACATACTCACGTCAATATGTAAATACAGGTTTTGGGTATAAATCTGCGCGCCGGGTAACATGATGGAGACATGCGTGTATGTATACCCATCTACACATGGATGCCTACTCTTGTCATGCCCACACTGTGACGTCCATCATGCTGTGCAAAATACAGACTTGCTGTCGGCGCAAGGCACCGCCAGCCTGGCAAAGCCTGGTGTCACACTACAATTTGGTGCCGCTCGAAACAACTTTCAACAAAGTTTCCCAAAATTCGTCAGCCTGCCCCCCCCCCCCCACAATTTTCTGATGGGATTTGGAGCCTCGGGCGAGGCCACGGGGTGCTCTTGGAATTCTTCCAGGACATGCAGATTTGTGTTTGTACTTTCCTGTCTCGTGCGGTGCTGTACTATACACTTTCAAATTATGCTGTCTTGTACCATATTATGTTATAATCATTATACTCACTGAATATAGTATATCAGAAGACGGCAATCAGTATTAAAACATGTTAAACGGTATCATAGTGTGTCATGTTGTGCAACCTTTAGTGATCCATACCGTTCGAAGAACATTCATTGAGCAGCTGAGCGGTCGCGCACTACTTGCGCTCTGACCACAACGTGGGGTAGGTCGGGCAATCTAACGGATCCACGAAGCGGCATCAGAGGTACGAACATCCGCGTGCCAATCGAAACGAAACATGGCGAGGAATCCAACACCAACGAGCCATAATTATTGGCATCGATCGAATGAACGAACTCTCAAACACTCGTCTAGGCCCTGAACCGCTTTGGCGAACGAGCCCTGACAGTGGATCCATGCGCACGAAAGACCTCTTCGCTAAATCTCCACGAAACGGCAGATCTGCCGGGTTGGAAACCATGGCCACGCGAACGATGTACACAAGACCCGGAGGTTGGGCACGAGATGCCAAAAGACTTCGCAAACATGCCCCTTCACCCAACAGCCCTTGATCAAAGCTTCGACCGGCTCAGGATCCCACAAAATGAAAACTAGCCCATCTTGAACGATTCTAGAAGTCTCGATAAAGGCTGCGACCGCCATAAGCTAATCTAGCTCGAGATACTTCCGAAGAGACTTGAAGGGGTCGCGATCGAAAGGACCCCGCCGATCATCTCGGCCGGGGGAGAACTAAGCGCGATCCATCTGCAAAGATCACCAGGTCGGTGGGTCTTAGCCGCCTCAGCCTTACTCGGACTCGTTTGCAGGATCGGCTACGGAGGTCCTTTGGACACGAGCGTCTTCCACTTGCAGGGCGAAAATCAGCGAGGGCGACAGATCAGAGAAAGCTCTTTCGGGAGATTTGCCCTTGCACCAGAACTCTCAGGTAGGGTCTGCCAATCTGACCCATGCAGAGCTCGCGATTTACCCACATGATCCGGGGAGAGCTCCCCCGATGCGCAGATGGAAACGATAAGTGACCCCAGTATGGTGGTATGCTGGCAAAGCTGGAGCTTCTTGCGATCGAAGCGTGCTCCCAGCCATCAATGGACGCTCTCTGCGATCGAGAAAGATGATTCGGAGGTCCCTATGATCTCGAAACCGCACGTACTCTCATTTGAAAGCGAGCAATGCGTCTTGTATATATGTATATATGTATATGTGGATGTATATGTGTATGTGTATATATATATATATATTATGTTATGTTATGTGTGTACATATTATTTTGATTCGACTAACGTCGCGTGCTCATTGCCTGGAGGGTGCTCGAAGTCATTGTCTCCTAGTCTGAGCAAGGCCACACTGTCCGGGTCGTTGTGTCTGTGTGGTCTCGAAATTCCAACCATTTTTCTGGTTTTTTTGGATTTCCCACAGTTCGTCATCCTGCTGAAAACACGGCAACAAGCATACTTGGGTCCGACTCTTGCAGCCTTACAAAGCCACAGTGCTGTGAATACGTTGGATGGTACCCGTGCTTCCGCCCGCCCAAGTCGCCCTCCCACCACAGCCCCTGGCACTTCTTCCCACGAGTCGGGCTCCTGAAAAGTCATCTATTGTTCTATGCTCGCGCTCTTGCCTTAGTGTACACTTTCTTGGGCATGCGGTGTGTTTGGGGGTCTATACAGTCTACGCTGGCCATCATCGCAGCAGAGGAGCGCTTGCCATCCTCCCTCGCGAGGAAACCGGCCACGGCCGCCGTGGACAGGATGTACGTGGTCTTCACCTTGCTTTTCATGAAAATGGTGATCAACATCTCCATCACCATCACGGTAACTGCAGCTGATGACAGGAATAAAAGAAGCTGGCAGTGAAGAAACTGACAATAGTAATTGAGTAACGTAGGGCGCTAGCCATGGAAAAGCCTGGACAGCTACAAGAAGAATAAGTATCCCTGCAACAACCAGAGCGAGAACGATAGTCTGCACTTGTTCATGGGCTTGTGGTTGCAAGGAAATTGGGGCGAGGTCCTGGGCCCGAAATCTAGTGTTGAGCCCAGGGCCTAGGCAGGTTCAGAGGGGGGATTGCTCCCCGAGCCCCGAACCCATGACCCCTTGACCCCCAACCTGAAGCCCGATCCTGAAATGCTGGCGGCTATCATAAGAGAGGCATGCAGTACCCAAATATGGTTTTATGCTACCACGAGATCTCGAATGGGGGGACCGCGCCCCCGAAACCCCCGATTCAACGTGCACCCGGGCCCGCAGGCCCTCAACGCCAAACCCGAAACCCTGAACCCGGAACCAAAACTGAGCTCCACGGCATTCACCATCTCATGTGGTCGCTCGAAGAGCCTGTGAGACCTTGAATGCTTTCGCGGATCGTATAGCCTCTGGCCTTCTGGTCTTGGGATTACTGACATCACAAGCTTTTCATGGCATATCCTGCTGACAGCACTTGAAATACAGACCACGATAACGACTAAACGTGTGGTGATGATATGATGATCGCAACAGCAACCAAAATCAGCAAGATAATCGCAATAGCACTCACGCCCCAGAATGGTGGGCTAGTTGCAACAAGCATGGCTCGCTTGCGGCAGCTGCCGGCTTCGATCCGGAGGACGGAGGCCACTTATCGGCAGCCACCACCCTGCTCCTATCACTGAGCGTCGATGTCTTCGGTTGAACTGCCGGTAGTTCTCTTTGCTGTGGATTGTTATATTCGTGCTTTCCTCAGTACTAGTAGTCGTCGTAGTAGTCATGATCGTAGAAGTCGTCGGGAGAGTGAGTAGTAGGAATAAGGACCAGGAGAAGGAGCAGGAGTCGGAGTAGGAGGGAGCAGTAGCAGGCGCAGGCGGTCGGCGGTAGGTGGTAGGCAGTGTAGGCGATTAGGCGGTAGGGGCGGTAGGCGGTAGACGGTAGGTGGTAGAGGCGGTGGGCAGTGGGGGTGCCGGTGGCGTAGGAGTAGGAGCAGGCGTAGAGGTAGGCGTAGGCGTAGGAGTAGGAGTAGTGGTAGCAGCAGCAGCATTAGTTGGTGTAGTATTAGTGGTGGTGGGAGTAGTAGTCGTACAAAGAGGGGGTAGTGGTGGTGGTAGTAGTGGTAGCAGTAGCAGTAAGAGTAGGAGTGGGAGTGGGCGCGGGCGTGGGAGTAGTAGTAGTAGTAGTAGTAGTAGTAGTAGTAGTAGTAGTAGTAGTAGTAATTAGTAGTAGTAGTAGGAGTAGTAGCAGCAGCAGTAGTAGTCGTCGTCGTAGTAGCAGTAAAAGTGGAGCGGCACGGGAAGAGACGGGATGTGCGGCTAGTGGCAGCGGCCGCGGTGGCAGTAGTGCAGTGGCAGTCGCTGGGGTAGGGGTAGTGGTAGTCGCGGTAGGCTGTTACAGTTGTCGGAAAGCTCCACTCGTCACGCTGGTGACCGTCGTCTTGCGAGCTGAAATGCTGAGGCCCCCGCACTTCCTTGGGCATCCATGGGATAGACATGGTGACCAAAACAATGGAAGCTAAAATCCTAGCTGCTGGCTAGATCAGTGCTTCACCCGGAGGGTGTACCAAAGTGGTGGTTGGGAATGGGCTGCCTGCTGTCTCAAGAGAGGGCATAGATGGCTAGGCTTGGGCATGTTGACCGTGAGTTGCGAGACCTGCCTACCTGAAACCGTGCATCTAATCCTGGAGATCGGCGATGCAATCAACAGCTGATCCAGGAGCTGCATCTTGTGCGATGGTTCAGAGGCGATCACTGCTGGGTCTTGCTTTTGCTCAAGGCTTGGGTTTCCAGGCAGCAAGGCAAGCCCACACACGCCCATCTTGGGCGGGAGATATGGCCGCCAGAGGTCCCTCCCAATAACTCTCAGCGCGGGAGCGCCTGTGCGATTTCAGGAGTTTGGGCGTCGTGTAGCAGCAGTAGACGTTGATAGAAGCAGAGGCAGGCTGCTAGTAGTGACTGGCGGTGGGAGTGCCGGTGGCCGAAAAACCGCTGCGGTAGTGGAAGCACTCGCAGCAGTGCTAGTGCTAGGAGCGCTGGTCAATACCTCCGGCACTGCGGTTGGACCGTTATTTGTACGGTTCTTGCTGGAATTACGATGATAGCGGCATGCACAAGATCGCTGATGGCGATACCGACGACGGTGACGATGATTGAGAGGGAGTTTGTGATCACCGTGGCTCTTGCCAGCATGATGATGAAGATGGGGAGGAGGAGGAGGAGGAGGAGGTGGAGGAGGAGGAGGAGAGGAGAGTTTCTGGTACTCCTGATCTACGTCTACATGCGCATGACAGCGACGAATACAGCTCCAGGCCTCCACATGCTACCAGCCTCAGCAGCGGAGGTAAAAGGCTGAAATCAAGGGTGCGTGTACGTTACAGGCTAGAGCACACAGACCGAGCAGGAATACTCAAGGAGTACGGGTAAGTACGAACATGCCTTCTCATCAATCTCAAACGCATGGCTTTCTGATTGTTTGGAACGACTTGATTGAAAGTTGCGTTGTACAACCACCATCATGCACACAAACAGCCACATCAGCCGCAGAAAAGCCTAATCATCATCATGACCGTGAATGTCGGCATCATGCTCCGTGACCCAATGAGGGGAAATCTCTGTGTCCGTCGCGCTTGAAGGCCAAAAGCAGAACTTACATATGCTGCATTTTGCACAAAGGAAAACTCTTCAACAGCAACAGAAGGATTCTGTCAATGACTCTAGGCGAGCTTGCAAGCAACGCAGCGGCGGCTTCTTCCTTTCCAACTCGCGGGGGGCTGCGCTGTCCACTGAAGTTGTCCACAAAGGGGCCACTCGGTCACGTGGTTGCATGTGGTTGCCAAACCGAGAATGTTTCATGTCCGGTCGGCGCAAATTGAAAAGAACACCGCCAGCTTCCTTCCACACTCTCCACATCATCTGACCCTCCGAGCCAAGCAACAGAAGGTCTGGTGTGTTGCACCGGCAATGGCCTGAGACTGTATATTATGGAAGTCATGTCAGCAATGAACCGGAGTATGATTCATCTTGACACCCAGTAGATTGCCACACCGGCTGCAGGTGAAAAATTGAAGCAGCATGGAAACAGCTTCGCCGCGAACGGCGTGCCAAGAGCCACAGATTTTGGAAATTGTGTCTGCGAGTCTAGGTCTAGGTGAAGCAACTATAACTACGATCTCAGCACCTCTGTTCGCAGGCCAAGCAGCGCTCAAGAAACTACTGAAACGAAACTACTGCAACAGCGCAGCAGGTCCTACAGGCAAGTCAGCTCACTGCACGGAGAGATTCCCCGCGCTGCTCATTGGGGTGCCGTCTACGAGGTAGCCCACGTCCTGCAAAAACAGCCCAGGGCTTTGGGTTATGGTTGAAGTAGCCAGAATACTGACGGTAGCACTTGCTTTAAGAGTTTTATTGCTTTCGTAGTGGCATGCCAGTTGTAGGCTGTCGTCGCGTTAGGACCGTTAGGACGGTGCAAGCACTGCCACTGCTACCACTACTACTGCCACTACCACTACCACAACTCCTACTCCTACTCCTACTCCTACTCCTACTACTACAGGCAAGCGCTTAAGTCATGGCTAAGTCGTTGCTTCGGGCTCTCCCCCCATGTACACGCAAGATTTCAAAAGTCATGGCTAAGTCCTTGCTTTGGGTCTTCCCCCAATCTACACGCAAACCTCTTCTCGGGATCCGAATGCCTCCGGCATATCGCAGGATACCGAAAAACATTCCCCATGTAGACGCCTGATTCCAGAAGCACTTCCCAATGTATGCGCTCGATTACGCAAAGATCGCTCAAGGACGGAGGTGCCTGTTTGCAGTGCAACTCCCAAGCGTGGAGGCTCGTCCATGTGCGTTGCTCAACCAAGCTGGCAAACGAAACACCATCTACACGCATGGTTCAAGTATTCGTCCAAACACCACTGATATGATAGTTTTGTGTGCCTGACATGCTAAACACCATCTACACGCATGAAACGCAACGACTTCTTTGCGGAAGCAACGACTTAAGCAGCTGCCTATACTGCTCCTACTACTACTACCACCACCACTACTACCACTACCACTACCACTACCACTACTCCTACTCCTACTCCTACTCCTGCTCCTACTACTACTACTACTCCTACTACTCCTACTACTACTCCTTCTCCTACCACTACTACTACCACTACTACTACTACTACTACTACTACTACTCCTACTACTACTACTACTACCACCACTACTGCGACAACTGCTATTACCACCACCACCACCACCACCACCACTACTACTACTACTACAACTACTACTACTACTACTACGACTACTACTACTACTACTCCTACCACTACTGCTGCTGCTGCTGCCAGTACTGGGTGCTGCTGCTGCCACTGCTACGGCTACTACTTCTACTTCTACTTTACTACTACTACTACTGCTACTACTACTACTGCTACTACTACTGCTACTACTGCTACTACTGCTACTACTACTACTACTGCTACTACTACTACTACGACTACGACTACTACTACTACTACTACTGCTACTACTACTACCACTACCACTACCACTACTACACACTACTACACTACTACTACTACTACTACTACTACTACTACTACTACTACTACTACTACTACTACTACTGCTACTACTACTACACTACTACTGCTATACTGCTACTGCTACGACTACTACTACTACTACTACTACTACTACTACTACTACCACTACCACTACTACTACTACTACTACTAACTACTACTACTACTACTACCACTACCACTACTACTACTACTACTACTACTACTACTACTACTACTACTACTACTACTGCTACTGCTACTGCTACTGCTACTACTACTACTGCTACTACTATTTCTTCTACTACTAATAATGCTACTACTGCTACTGCTCCTACTGCAACTGCTACTACTACTGCTACTGCTGCTGCAGCTACTGCTACTGCTACTGCTACTGCTACTGCTACTGCTACTGCTACTGCTACTGCTACTGCTACTGCTACTGCTGCTGCTGCTGCTCCTACTACTACTACTACTACTACTGCTACTACGCCGCCTACGACTACGACTAAGTACTACTGACTGCTACTATGCAACTTCAAACTCAGCATGCAAGTTTATCTTGCGAGCGTCAACACCACAAGCTTGAAGCCATCGGAACACACATTACGGGCAGGCAACTGGCACGGACATAGACACACACACACACACACACAAAAAAAAAAAAAACACTGACACACACACACACACACCCACCCGCGCGCGAGCAAACACACACACACACACACACACACACACCACGCACGCACCCACGCACGCTCGCACGCCGCTCGCACGCTCGTACGCGCGCACGTGCGCGTCCAACTGTGGTGTAGAATAGCTTTGTACTGGAGACTAGACCGGCTCGAAACATGTTGAGAGCATCGCATTAGTACCCCTGTCCTGTGCATAGGTGGATGCAGGCAGCGGCGAGCCAGGCGTGTGCATGTCTGGGCCAATGGTCTCCGGATGGTTGATGGCATTGCCGGCCCTGTTGAGCGGGGTTCCATCAGGAAGGTAGCCGACGTCGTTCACAAAGATGGCGGAAGGCAACGGAGAGCCTGGTGCATGGCTGTCAGGGCCAATGTTCTCCGGATGGTTGATGGCGTTGCCGGCCCTGTTCAAAGGGGTGCCATCTGGCAAGTAGCCGATGTCGTTGCTGAACTCCAAATCGGCCCAGGAGTCTTTCTGGAAGCCATATGCAAAGTTCCCTGCATGCCTGACCTTCGAGGGGGGTGCCGCGGACGAGCCAACGAAAGCTGCGGCGACAACTGGCGGAGGTGTCGGAGTAGGGGCGGACACTGCTGGTGCCGCAGCCGGTGTTGCCGGTGCCGCAGGTGCAGCACCACCCTGCACGGAGAGGTTGCCGGCCGTGGCCATATCAGTGCCATCCACCAGGTAGCCCACATCGGCCGCATAAACGGATGCTGGCAGCGGCGATCCAGGTGTGTGCAGGTCCGGGCCAATTGTCTCCGGGTGGTTGATGGCATTGCCGGCTGCATTCAGTGGAGTGCCGTCTGGAAGGTAACCGACGGAGTTCACGAAGTTGGCACGGGGCAAGGGCGAACCAGGCGCATGGCTGTCAGGTCCAATGTTCTCAGGGTGGTTGATGGCATTGCCCGCTCTGTTCAACGGAGTGCCATCGGGAAGGTAGCCCACATCGTTGGTGAACTCGCAATCAGCATAAGCATCCTTCTGGAAGCTGTACTCGAACTTCCTTCCGTACATGGCCGTGCGAGGAGCACCCGGGGAAGCAACAGCTGGCGCAGGTGCTGGTGCAGCCGGTGCAGGTGCCGGTGAAGGTGTCGAAACTGGAGCACTGGAGCCAACGAATGCAGCAGCCGCCACAGGCGGTGGCGCAGGTGCAGCACCACCCTGCACGGAGAGGTTGCCGGCCGTGGCCATATCAGTGCCATCCACCAGGTAGCCCACATCGGCCGCATAAACGGATGCTGGCAGCGGCGATCCAGGTGTGTGCAGGTCCGGGCCAATTGTCTCCGGGTGGTTGATGGCATTGCCGGCTGCATTCAGTGGAGTGCCGTCTGGAAGGTAACCGACGGAGTTCACGAAGTTGGCACGGGGCAAGGGCGAACCAGGCGCATGGCTGTCAGGTCCAATGTTCTCAGGGTGGTTGATGGCATTGCCCGCTCTGTTCAACGGAGTGCCATCGGGAAGGTAGCCCACATCGTTGGTGAACTCGCAATCAGCATAAGCATCCTTCTGGAAGCTGTACTCGAACTTCCTTCCGTACATGGCCGTGCGAGGAGCACCCGGGGAAGCAACAGCTGGCGCAGGTGCTGGTGCAGCCGGTGCAGGTGCCGGTGAAGGTGTCGAAACTGGAGCACTGGAGCCAACGAATGCAGCAGCCGCCACAGGCGGCGGTGCCGCAGGCGCAGCACCACCCTGCACGGAGAGGTTGCCGGCCGTCGCCAGATCAGTACCGTCCACCAGGTAGCCGATGTCCGCCTTGTAGCTGGAGGCAGGGAGCGGCGAGCCAGGCGTGTGCATGTCTGGCCCAATGGTCTCCGGATGGTTGATGGCATTGCCGGCCCTGTTGAGCGGGGTTCCATCAGGAAGGTAGCCAACGGAGTTCACGAAGTTGGCACGGGGCAAAGGCGAGCCAGGTGCATGGGTGTCAGGACCAATGTTCTCCGGGTGGTTGATGGCGTTGCCGGCCCTGTTCAAGGGGGTCCCGTCCGGAAGGTAGCCGATGTCGTTGCTGAACTCCAAGTCGGCAAGGACGTTCCCGTTCAACTCGTAGGGAGTAACCGCACGGGCAACCTGGGGAGTGCGCTCTGCATGTGAGCGAGAAGTTCGTCCAGAGGCAGCCGCGGCGAGAACCGCACCACCAACCATCATCGCCGGCAAGGATGTGGAGGCCGACGAAGAAGGTGCCTGCGCTGTCTGCACGGTGCGCTGCTGGCGAAGTTTCGTGGTCGGCGGCGCGGCCGCGAAGGTCTGGCTGCCCGAGCTGAAATACACCAGCCCACCGGCCAAGCCGCCCAAAGCCATGGCTGTCGTGCTCTGCGGCATGGCTCCAATTGCGTAGGAGGGGATTGACACAATCACTGCACACTCTGACACACACTGCTGGAAGCCACAGCACATGCACAGGAAACGGATGTCGCTTTGTTGGCGGATGCTAGGGGCCCGGGGCCTGCCATCCAAAACGAAAAAAGCAAAGATGTTCCGTCAGCTGTGCAAAGACGGCTGTCTAGGCCACTGGGCTTTGGGACTTCGAGGGTTCCAAGGCTTCAATGCTTCAAGATTCGATACCAGCTGCAGGGGCCAAGGTTGCAGAAAGCGCGAAGGCACCTCCTTCTCTCCAGAGTCGCTTTGTCGGAGCTCCGAAGTCAAGAAGCGGAAGCCTAAAATCGCCCTACTCGACTCGAGATATCCCTGTCGCCGGGCTGTGCCGGCTCCTGGAGCCTCACCTTTGGCCCACGCCAACTGAAGAATTTGGGGAACAGCGCCACAAGATTAAGTCGGGCCTTGCCGCTTCACGGAGCCCAGCTGTCCCCGGGGTCTGGGAAACTTAAAAGAATCTAAAACAGGTGCTCATGGGAGAACTCATCTCACTGGACGGAGAGGTTGCCGGCCGTCTCCATGGGAGTGCCGTCCACCAGGTAGCCCACGTCCTGCGCGTAAGTGGAGGCAGGCAGCGGCGAGCCAGGCGTGTGCATGTCAGGGCCAATGTTCTCCGGGTGGTTGATGGCGTTGCCGGCCCTGTTGAGCGGAGTGCCATCCGGCAGGTAGCCCACGTCGTTCGCGAAGATGGCAGAAGGCAAGGGAGATCCCGGCGCATGGCTGTCCGGCTGAATGTTCTCCGGATGGTTGATGGCGTTGCCGGCCCTGTTGAGCGGAGTGCCATCCGGCAGGTAGCCGATGTCGTTGCTGAACTCCAAGTCGGCCCAGGAGTCTCTCTGGAACCCATACGCGAAGTTTCCTGCATGCCTGACCTTCGAGGGGGTGGCTGCGGAGGAGCCGACGAAGGCCGCTGCAACCACAGGGGCCGGTGCAGCTGCCGCCGCTGGTGCTGCCGCAGGCGCAGCACCACCCTGCACGGAGAGGTTGCCGGCCGTCGCCAGATCAGTGCCATCCACCAGATAGCCAATGTCCGCCTTGTAGCTGGAGGCAGGCAGCGGCGATCCAGGCGTGTGCATGTCTGGGCCAATGGTCTCCGGGTGGTTGATGGCGTTGCCGGCCCTGTTCAGCGGGGTTCCATCAGGAAGGTAGCCCACGGAGTTCACGAAGTTGGCACGGGGCAAAGGCGAGCCAGGCGCATGGCTGTCAGGACCAATGTTCTCCGGGTGGTTGATGGCGTTGCCGGCCCTGTTCAGAGGGGTGCCATCCGGAAGGTAGCCGATGTCGTTGCTGAACTCCAAGTCGGCGAGGACGTTCCCGTTCAACTCGTAGGGAGTGACCGCACGGGCAACCTGGGGAGTTCGCTCCACCGAGCTGGAGCCGACGAAGGCCGCGGCCGACGCCTTCTTGGCCCAGTCGAAGCTAGCAGCCTGCACGGAGGACTCGCCTGTGTAGCCCAGCTTCTCTTTCCATCCTGGGTAGATCTGGTCGGCATCTTTCTGGAAGGTCAGGAAGGCACCCTTGATCTCCTCGTGGGTCTTTGCGAACTCAATCACTCCGTCACTCAGGCTGATGTTGCCGTACTGGCCAGCCTTCCAGGCCTTCCAGGCCTCCTCACCCTGGCGGCAAGAGATGGCACCAGGCTTGGGTCCATCCTTGTGGCCGAAGGCGCCGCCACCGGCAGTGAGGATCACGTTGGAGTGGCCCAGGTTCTCGAAGAAGGCCGGCAGGCGGAGCGCGTTCATGCCACCAGAAATGATGGGGGTGGTCTGCTTCATGCCCTCCCACTCCTGGTGGTAGTAGGGGCCATCGGCCTCATCGTCCTGCAGCATGAAGGCAATGTTCTTGTCGGAGGCATCTCCCTCCATCTTGCCAAAGCTCATGGTGCCGGTGTGGATGCCGGAGGCACCGATAACACGAGAGATCTTGGTGTGGACAAAGGCAGTGTAGCCACGCTGGGTCTGGGGGCTGGTCACGGAGCCGTGGCCGGCTCGGTGGTAGTGCAGGAACTGCTTGGGGAAGTTGCGGCGAGCGCAGGTCACAGCGGTGCCTCCCGCGACGTATCCATCCACCAAGAAGGCGCAGTTCTCGGACAGAGGTCCGAACTGGGACATGCAGTACTTGCCGCGGGCGATCATCTCGTTTGGATCATCCGCGGTGATGTTGGCCGAGAACAGCTTGCCGACACCGGTCTCCTTGATGCAAGCCCTCATGGCCTTCACGACCTCGGGGATGCACTCGTTCATCTGGCAGAACACCTGGTTGCCCTGCGGCTCATCCTGGGCTGCATGGAGGCTCTTCAACCACCGATTTTCTTGCTCCCTCTATCTGGAATATACCATGTTAATGTTAAAGCTTATTTAAAACTTTTGTTCCAGCACAATTTAGCATCGTTCTTGATGAAGTCACCGCCTTGCCAGAAGGCATAGCAGGCCTCGCCGAAAGGCTTGGGCTGCAGGCCGAGCTTGGGCTTGATGATGGTTCCAACCACGAGACCACCGTTGCTGGTGCCCTTGCCCAGGATGCGCCACATGTCCTCCACGTTCACGCCGGGCCCATCATACAAGCGCAGGAAGGACGGGGGCAGGTAGAAGTCGTAGATCTTGCCGTACTCGACGTCGCCCATGCCTCAAGCGATCTCCTACCATCAGTCTTGATGCCAAACACTTTCTTGGAGCGCCTATGACAGCTACATGCGACACAACCCACATGCACGAGGGTGTGATAGTGCTGGCAAAGCAGCCCTGGTTGTTTCCGATGGCCAGGGTCAGGAACGAGCACATCATGCCACGACCATCAATGATGTTGCGGTCGAAGAGCAAGGTGGGATATGCGATCCTTAGTTGCTGAGTTCATAAGCCCCAAAACGTGTATACTTTCAGTTTTGTAGTGGGTAATATTATCCCAAAAAGCGTAAAGTGTATCCACTCAGCTACTAAGGATCTTCATCTCTTCACTATCCGGGTCGATGTAGTAGACCAAGGCATCCACAGACTTGGTGAAGTCATCCGTGGTGCACACGTTCACGTTCGTTCCGGTGGAGGACTCGGCAGCAAAGTGCGCAGCGGTGGCAAGGTAGTCGTAGCCTGCCTGTTCGGGACCGCAGCCAGCACACAACACAAGCAAGAATCATGAGGCAGTGGCTATCCGGGTGCCCCCTAACCGACCCTAACCCTACAAGAGGTGGCTTTATGTCGCCCCAGGGCGCGTGAAGTCGCGCCACCGCATGGTCACGTGGGAACGCGCGAAGTCACACCAGGGCGTTTGAAGTCAAACCACAAGCATGGCTGCACATCGCTTTCCGCATGGCCACGCGCTTCCTAGCACATTCCTGGCGCAGACGTCAACTTAGGATTTCGAGTGCTACACACAGGTTTTCGTTGGAAATTATGTCCCGGAGCCCTGATAAGTCTGCTAGGTTGGCAGCTAATCACCATGCGCACGCGCTTGCAGACAGGTCACAAGCGCCCGCTCAAGACCCACATCATTGGCATCACAGTGCACATACTTGAGGAAAACCAGTCGTTCCCCATGTCATGTAGACGCTCGTTTTCAGAGGCACCCGGTCAAGACAAACAGCACTCCAAAACCAGCCATTCCCCAACTAGACGCTCGATTTTCGAAGCACCCGCTCAAGACACACATCATTAGCATCGCGGTGCACGACAAGCAGCCATTCCCCATGTACACGCTCGATTTCACAAGCACCCGCTGGCGCGAGGGATGCACCACCCGCTCCCATTCCGGTTCCAAGTTTTACATCAGGTTGAACGAAACCCGGTCGTAGATTTAAATATTGGGGTGAACGATACCCTCCGGTGTGATAAACAGATCCAGTTCCCCAAGCCGACGCACGATTTCAGAAGCACAAGCTCAAGACACGTCATTGGCATCACAGCGAAAGCCTATTCAGCGCTCTATACTGCTCTCAAAACCTATCCAACCTATCCAACCCTGTATTTAACGTTAGTGGGTGTGTTCAGCGCCGATCAGGCTGACCCAGATCCCCTGTGCATAGCAAGCTTATATAAGTAACAAGTAGTGTAACCCTTTTTTTCCTGAAGGTCTTCGCGGCAAAGCCCTTGCGTTTGCTCCGTTCTGCAAGTAGATGCGGCCGCCGAAACGGTTACAAAACACATATTCCAGACAGTCTGTTCGACAGTTTTGCAAGTAGACGCCGTCGCAGAAGGTGTTACAAAGCACATAGCACTGGTTTGTCCGTTCCGCAGATAGATGCCGCCCCAAGATGTTTACAAAACACACTCATTCTGGACACTCTAGTCCACCAATCTTTGAAGTTCGAACGTTAGACATGTAAATCCCCATCGACACGCAAGGAGAAGCCTAGCGACGAGATCACGAACAGGCGCTACAACCCATCTAAAGCAACCACCAGCCAAAACTTCATGACTACTTACGAATACTGCCTCATTGACTCAATAGGGCTAGGATATGCTTATCCCCATGTCCACGCGCAAAAGGGATGACTTCACACAGGGCGGGACGATTCAACGCAACCACTTGTACCCTAGAATTAGCTGGTCTACCACGGGCATGCAGGGACATCCTGCCCAAAAGCTTACGTTTCGGTGGCTCTTTGGTTCCTGACCTTCGGCTTCATGATGTATGCCACCAGCACGTGCTTGCCGTTCCTTAGAGATACATGCACTCACACCTGGGACGGCAGTACACACGTGCACCTCGAACTGTGGGATCGTTTATGTGCAGACAAATCCCAAGCATTCCTAGCACGACTTGCAGCTTGGTCTCTTGATCAGGGTGGCCTCGTCCAGGGACAGGTCCGCGTATCGGCTGGACTGGTCCAGGGCCTTGCGCGAGACGCTGCTCTCCTTCTTGGCAGGGGCCACGCTGGCGCCGACGAAGGCCGCGGCCGACGCCTTCTTGGCCCAGTCGAAGCTTGCCGCCTGCACAGAGGACTCACCGGTGTAGCCGAGCTTCTCCTTCCAGCCCGGGTAGATCTGGTCGGCATCCTTCTGGAAAGTGAGGAAGGCACCCTTGATCTCCTCGTGCGTCTTGGCGAACTCGATGACGCCATCGCTCAGGCTGATGTTGCCGTACTGTCCGGACCTCCAGGCCTTCCAGGCCTCCTCACCCTGGCGGCAAGAGATGGCACCAGGCTTGGGTCCATCCTTGTGGCCGAAGGCGCCGCCACCGGCAGTGAGGATCACGTTGGAGTGGCCCAGGTTCTCGAAGAAGGCCGGCAGGCGGAGCGCGTTCATGCCACCAGAAATGATGGGGGTGGTCTGCTTCATGCCCTCCCACTCCTGGTGGTAGTAGGGGCCATCGGCCTCATCGTCCTGCAGCATGAAGGCAATGTTCTTGTCGGAGGCATCTCCCTCCATCTTGCCAAAGCTCATGGTGCCGGTGTGGATGCCGGAGGCACCGATAACACGAGAGATCTTGGTGTGGACAAAGGCAGTGTAGCCACGCTGGGTCTGGGGGCTGGTCACGGAGCCGTGGCCGGCTCGGTGGTAGTGCAGGAACTGCTTGGGGAAGTTGCGGCGAGCGCAGGTCACAGCGGTGCCTCCCGCGACGTATCCATCCACCAAGAAGGCGCAGTTCTCGGACAGAGGTCCGAACTGGGACATGCAGTACTTGCCGCGGGCGATCATCTCGTTTGGATCATCCGCGGTGATGTTGGCCGAGAACAGCTTGCCGACACCGGTCTCCTTGATGCAAGCCCTCATGGCCTTCACGACCTCGGGGATGCACTCGTTCATCTGGCAGAACACCTGGTTGCCCTGCGGCTCATCCTGGGCTGCATGGAGGCTCTTCAACCACCGATTTTCTTGCTCCCTCTATCTGGAATATACCATGTTAATGTTAAAGCTTATTTGAAGCTTTTGTTCCAGCACAATTTAGCATCGTTCTTGATGAAGTCACCGCCTTGCCAGAAGGCATAGCAGGCCTCGCCGAAAGGCTTGGGCTGCAGGCCGAGCTTGGGCTTGATGATGGTTCCAACCACGAGACCACCGTTGCTGGTGCCCTTGCCCAGGATGCGCCACATGTCCTCCACGTTCACGCCGGGCCCATCATACAGGCGCAGGAAGGACGGGGGCAGGTAGAAGTCGTAGATCTTGCCGTACTCGACGTCGCCCATGCCTCAAGCGATCTCCTACCATCAGTCTTGATGCCAAACACTTTCTTGGAGCGCCTATGACAGCTACATGCGACACAACCCACATGCATGAGGGTGTGATAGTGCTGGCAAAGCAGCCCTGGTTGTTTCCGATGGCCAGGGTCAGGAACGAGCACATCATGCCACGACCATCTATGATGTTGCGGTCGAAGAGCAAGGTTGGATATGCGATCCTTAGCTGCTGAGTTCATAAGCCCCAAAAAAGTGTATACTTTCGGTTTTATAACGGGTAATATTATCCCAAAAAGTGTCACGTGTATCCACTCAGCTACTAAGGGTCTTCATCTCTTCACTATCCGGGTCGATGTAGTAGACCAAGGCATCCACAGACTTGGTGAAGTCATCCGTGGTGCACACGTTCACGTTCGTTCCGGTGGAGGACTCGGCAGCAAAGTGTGCAGCGGTGGCAAGGTAGTCGTAGCCTGCCTGCTCGGGACCGCAGCCAGCACACAACACAAGCGCGAATCATGAGGCAGTGGGTATCCCCTAACCGGCCCTAACCCTACCCTAGATTGAGGTGGTCTACTACGGGACATCCTGCCCACAAGCTTACGTTTCGGTGGCTCTTTGGTTCCTGACCTTCGGCTTCATGATGTAAGCCACCAGCACGTGCTTGCCGTTCTTGATGAGCGTCGCCTCATCCAGGGAGAGGTCCGCATAGCGGCTGGACTGGTCCAGGGCCCTGCGAGCTGTGACCGACTTCCTCACTGGCATCACGCTGGTGGGGAGGGGCGCGCTGCCATGCGAGCGGGTAGCACGTCCAGAGGCAGCCGCAGCGGCGAGAACTGCACCGCCAGCCATCATTGCCGGCAGAGATGTCGAAGCCGAGGAAGAAGGCGCCTGCGCGGTCTGGGCGGTGTGCTGATGGCGAAGGTTCGCGGTCGCCGGCGCGGCCGCGAAAGTCTGGCTGCCCGAGCTCAGGTACGCCAACCCGGCCAAGCCGCCCAGGGCCACCGCTGCGGTCGTGCGCTGCGACATGATCAGGAAAACAAGGCACCTTCCGTTTCAAACACGTGTTGTCGAAATGCTGCGGACACCATCCGCGAATTTTCCGAATATGTGGCACATCTGGCGTGGATCTGCTTTGCATTGCATGTTGTAACGCAGCCTTGCGCGACCTGAGCTTTGTGCGCGGGCTCTCATTTTCATCGCAGTACTCCATGAGCCATGCCAAGATCTGACTGCTTTAAATCAGGCCGGCTGCCCAACCAGTAGTCCAACAGCATGATTAGCACAGACAGTATCGATAAGACAAGCAACCTTCTGCGAGGCGGACGATTACGGCTATATATATGTGCATATATATATATATATACACTTACATTTATATTCAGGTTTATTTGTATTCATTTATTTATTCAGCTTTTATTTGTAGCATGTTCAAGCCATCAACTACTCGAAACATCGGAAAAATGCACTCGTGGCCGAAGCCGGAGCCAAGTTCCTCTCAGGACTGAAATGAAAATTTTGGAGATCTGGTATCTAAAGCTCTCACTGGACGGAGAGGTTGCCGGCCGTCTCCATGGGAGTGCCGTCCACCAGGTAGCCCACGTCCTGCGCGTAAGTGGAGGCAGGCAGCGGCGAGCCAGGCGTGTGCATGTCAGGGCCAATGTTCTCCGGGTGGTTGATGGCGTTGCCGGCCCTGTTGAGCGGAGTGCCATCCGGCAGGTAGCCCACGTCGTTCGCGAAGATGGCAGAAGGCAAGGGAGATCCCGGCGCATGGCTGTCCGGCTGAATGTTCTCCGGATGGTTGATGGCGTTGCCGGCCCTGTTGAGCGGAGTGCCATCCGGCAGGTAGCCGATGTCGTTGCTGAACTCCAAGTCGGCCCAGGAGTCTCTCTGGAACCCATACGCGAAGTTTCCTGCATGCCTGACCTTCGAGGGGGTGGCTGCGGAGGAGCCGACGAAGGCCGCTGCAACCACAGGGGCCGGTGCAGCTGCCGCCGCTGGTGCTGCCGCAGGCGCAGCACCACCCTGCACGGAGAGGTTGCCGGCCGTCGCCAGATCAGTGCCATCCACCAGATAGCCAATGTCCGCCTTGTAGCTGGAGGCAGGCAGCGGCGATCCAGGCGTGTGCATGTCTGGGCCAATGGTCTCCGGGTGGTTGATGGCGTTGCCGGCCCTGTTCAGCGGGGTTCCATCAGGAAGGTAGCCCACGGAGTTCACGAAGTTGGCACGGGGCAAAGGCGAGCCAGGCGCATGGCTGTCAGGACCAATGTTCTCCGGGTGGTTGATGGCGTTGCCGGCCCTGTTCAGAGGGGTGCCATCCGGAAGGTAGCCGATGTCGTTGCTGAACTCCAAGTCGGCGAGGACGTTCCCGTTCAACTCGTAGGGAGTGACCGCACGGGCAACCTGGGGAGTTCGCTCCACCGAGCTGGAGCCGACGAAGGCCGCGGCCGACGCCTTCTTGGCCCAGTCGAAGCTAGCAGCCTGCACGGAGGACTCGCCTGTGTAGCCCAGCTTCTCTTTCCATCCTGGGTAGATCTGGTCGGCATCTTTCTGGAAGGTCAGGAAGGCACCCTTGATCTCCTCGTGGGTCTTTGCGAACTCAATCACTCCGTCACTCAGGCTGATGTTGCCGTACTGGCCAGCCTTCCAGGCCTTCCAGGCCTCCTCACCCTGGCGGCAAGAGATGGCACCAGGCTTGGGTCCATCCTTGTGGCCGAAGGCGCCGCCACCGGCAGTGAGGATCACGTTGGAGTGGCCCAGGTTCTCGAAGAAGGCCGGCAGGCGGAGCGCGTTCATGCCACCAGAAATGATGGGGGTGGTCTGCTTCATGCCCTCCCACTCCTGGTGGTAGTAGGGGCCATCGGCCTCATCGTCCTGCAGCATGAAGGCAATGTTCTTGTCGGAGGCATCTCCCTCCATCTTGCCAAAGCTCATGGTGCCGGTGTGGATGCCGGAGGCACCGATAACACGAGAGATCTTGGTGTGGACAAAGGCAGTGTAGCCACGCTGGGTCTGGGGGCTGGTCACGGAGCCGTGGCCGGCTCGGTGGTAGTGCAGGAACTGCTTGGGGAAGTTGCGGCGAGCGCAGGTCACAGCGGTGCCTCCCGCGACGTATCCATCCACCAAGAAGGCGCAGTTCTCGGACAGAGGTCCGAACTGGGACATGCAGTACTTGCCGCGGGCGATCATCTCGTTTGGATCATCCGCGGTGATGTTGGCCGAGAACAGCTTGCCGACACCGGTCTCCTTGATGCAAGCCCTCATGGCCTTCACGACCTCGGGGATGCACTCGTTCATCTGGCAGAACACCTGGTTGCCCTGCGGCTCATCCTGGGCTGCATGGAGGCTCTTCAACCACCGATTTTCTTGCTCCCTCTATCTGGAATATACCATGTTAATGTTAAAGCTTATTTAAAACTTTTGTTCCAGCACAATTTAGCATCGTTCTTGATGAAGTCACCGCCTTGCCAGAAGGCATAGCAGGCCTCGCCGAAAGGCTTGGGCTGCAGGCCGAGCTTGGGCTTGATGATGGTTCCAACCACGAGACCACCGTTGCTGGTGCCCTTGCCCAGGATGCGCCACATGTCCTCCACGTTCACGCCGGGCCCATCATACAGGCGCAGGAAGGACGGGGGCAGGTAGAAGTCGTAGATCTTGCCGTACTCGACGTCGCCCATGCCTCAAGCGATCTCCTACCATCAGTCTTGATGCCAAACACTTTCTTGGAGCGCCTATGACAGCTACATGCGACACAACCCACATGCATGAGGGTGTGATAGTGCTGGCAAAGCAGCCCTGGTTGTTTCCGATGGCCAGGGTCAGGAACGAGCACATCATGCCACGACCATCAATGATGTTGCGGTCGAAGAGCAAGGTGGGATATGCGATCCTTAGTTGCTGAGTTCATAAGCCCCAAAACGTGTATACTTTCAGTTTTGTAGTGGGTAATATTATCCCAAAAAGCGTAAAGTGTATCCACTCAGCTACTAAGGATCTTCATCTCTTCACTATCCGGGTCGATGTAGTAGACCAAGGCATCCACAGACTTGGTGAAGTCATCCGTGGTGCACACGTTCACGTTCGTTCCGGTGGAGGACTCGGCAGCAAAGTGCGCAGCGGTGGCAAGGTAGTCGTAGCCTGCCTGTTCGGGACCGCAGCCAGCACACAACACAAGCAAGAATCATGAGGCAGTGGGTATCCGGGTGCCCCCTAACCGACCCTAACCCTACAAGAGGTGGCTTTATGTCGCCCCAGGGCGCGTGAAGTCGCGCCACCGCATGGTCACGTGGGAACGCGCGAAGTCACACCAGGGCGTTTGAAGTCAAACCACAAGCATGGCTGCACATCTCTTTCCGCATGGCCACGCGCTTCCTAGCACATTCCTGGCGCAGACGTCAACTTAGGATTTCGAGTGCTACACACAGGTTTTCGTTGGAAATTATGTCCCGGAGCCCTGATAAGTCTGCTAGGTTGGCAGCTAATCACCATGCGCACGCGCTTGCAGACAGGTCACAAGCGCCCGCTCAAGACCCACATCATTGGCATCACAGTGCACAGACTTGAGGAAAACCAGTCGTTCCCCATGTCATGTAGACGCTCGTTTTCAGAGGCACCCGGTCAAGACAAACAGCACTCCAAAACCAGCCATTCCCCAACTAGACGCTCGATTTTCGAAGCACCCGCTCAAGACACACATCATTAGCATCGCGGTGCACGACAAGCAGCCATTCCCCATGTACACGCTCGATTTCACAAGCACCCGCTGGCGCGAGGGATGCACCACCCGCTCCCATTCCGGTTCCAAGTTTTACATCAGGTTGAACGAAACCCGGTCGTAGATTTAAATATTGGGGTGAACGATACCCTCCGGTGTGATATCATGGCCCTTCCAAAACAGATCCAGTTCGGGAAGCCGACGCACGATTTCAGAAGCACAAGCTCAAGACACGTCATTGGCATCACAGCAAACGCCTATTCAGCGCTCTATATTGCTCTTAAAACCTATCCAACCTATCCAACCCTGTATTTAACGTTAGTGGTGTGTTCAGTGCCGATCAGGCTGACCCAGATCCCCTGTGCATAGCAAGCTTATATAAGTAACAAGTAGTGTAACCCTTTTTTTCCTGAAGGTCTTCGCGGCAAAGCCCTTGCGTTTGCTCCGTTCTGCAAGTAGATGCGGCCGCCGAAACGGTTACAAAACACATATTCCAGACAGTCTGTTCGACAGTTTTGCAAGTAGACGCCGTCGCAGAAGGTGTTACAAAGCACATAGCACTGGTTTGTCCGTTCCGCAGATAGACGCCGCCCCAAGATGTTTACAAAACACACTCATTCTGGACACTCTAGTCCACCAATCTTTGAAGTTCGAACTTTAGACATGTAAATCCCCATCGACACGCAAGGAGAAGCCTAGCGACGAGATCACGAACAGGCGCTACAACCCATCTAAAGCAACCACCAGCCAAAACTTCATGACTACTTACGAATACTGCCTCATTGACTCAATAGGGCTAGGATATGCTTATCCCCATGTCCACGCGCAAAAGGGATGACTTCACACAGGGCGGGACGATTCAACGCAACCACTTGTACCCTAGAATTAGCTGGTCTACCACGGGCATGCAGGGACATCCTGCCCAAAAGCTTACGTTTCGGTGGCTCTTTGGTTCCTGACCTTCGGCTTCATGATGTATGCCACCAGCACGTGCTTGCCGTTCCTTAGAGATACATGCACTCACACCTGGGACGGCAGTACACACGTGCACCTCGAACTGTGGGATCGTTTATGTGCAGACAAATCCCAAGCATTCCTAGCACGACTTGCAGCTTGGTCTCTTGATCAGGGTGGCCTCGTCCAGGGACAGGTCCGCGTATCGGCTGGACTGGTCCAGGGCCTTGCGCGAGACGCTGCTCTCCTTCTTGGCAGGGGCCACGCTGGCGCCGACGAAGGCCGCGGCCGACGCCTTCTTGGCCCAGTCGAAGCTAGCAGCCTGCACGGAGGACTCGCCTGTGTAGCCCAGCTTCTCTTTCCATCCTGGGTAGATCTGGTCGGCATCTTTCTGGAAGGTCAGGAAGGCACCCTTGATCTCCTCGTGCGTCTTGGCGAACTCGATGACGCCATCGCTCAGGCTGATGTTGCCGTACTGTCCGGACCTCCAGGCCTTCCAGGCCTCCTCACCCTGGCGGCAAGAGATGGCACCAGGCTTGGGTCCATCCTTGTGGCCGAAGGCGCCGCCACCGGCAGTGAGGATCACGTTGGAGTGGCCCAGGTTCTCGAAGAAGGCCGGCAGGCGGAGCGCGTTCATGCCACCAGAAATGATGGGGGTGGTCTGCTTCATGCCCTCCCACTCCTGGTGGTAGTAGGGGCCATCGGCCTCATCGTCCTGCAGCATGAAGGCAATGTTCTTGTCGGAGGCATCGCCCTCCATCTTGCCAAAGCTCATGGTGCCGGTGTGGATGCCGGAGGCACCGATAACACGAGAGATCTTGGTGTGGACAAAGGCAGTGTAGCCACGCTGGGTCTGGGGGCTGGTCACGGAGCCGTGGCCGGCTCGGTGGTAGTGCAGGAACTGCTTGGGGAAGTTGCGGCGAGCGCAGGTCACAGCGGTGCCTCCCGCGACGTATCCATCCACCAAGAAGGCGCAGTTCTCGGACAGAGGTCCGAACTGGGACATGCAGTACTTGCCGCGGGCGATCATCTCGTTTGGATCATCCGCGGTGATGTTGGCCGAGAACAGCTTGCCGACACCGGTCTCCTTGATGCAAGCCCTCATGGCCTTCACGACCTCGGGGATGCACTCGTTCATCTGGCAGAACACCTGGTTGCCCTGCGGCTCATCCTGGGCTGCATGGAGGCTCTTCAACCACCGATTTTCTTGCTCCCTCTATCTGGAATATACCATGTTAATGTTAAAGCTTATTTAAAACTTTTGTTCCAGCACAATTTAGCATCGTTCTTGATGAAGTCACCGCCTTGCCAGAAGGCATAGCAGGCCTCGCCGAAAGGCTTGGGCTGCAGGCCGAGCTTGGGCTTGATGATGGTTCCAACCACGAGACCACCGTTGCTGGTGCCCTTGCCCAGGATGCGCCACATGTCCTCCACGTTCACGCCGGGCCCATCATACAGGCGCAGGAAGGACGGGGGCAGGTAGAAGTCGTAGATCTTGCCGTACTCGACGTCGCCCATGCCTCAAGCGATCTCCTACCATCAGTCTTGATGCCAAACACTTTCTTGGAGCGCCTATGACAGCTACATGCGACACAACCCACATGCATGAGGGTGTGATAGTGCTGGCAAAGCAGCCCTGGTTGTTTCCGATGGCCAGGGTCAGGAACGAGCACATCATGCCACGACCATCAATGATGTTGCGGTCGAAGAGCAAGGTGGGATATGCGATCCTTAGTTGCTGAGTTCATAAGCCCCAAAACGTGTATACTTTCAGTTTTGTAGTGGGTAATATTATCCCAAAAAGCGTAAAGTGTATCCACTCAGCTACTAAGGATCTTCATCTCTTCACTATCCGGGTCGATGTAGTAGACCAAGGCATCCACAGACTTGGTGAAGTCATCCGTGGTGCACACGTTCACGTTCGTTCCGGTGGAGGACTCGGCAGCAAAGTGCGCAGCGGTGGCAAGGTAGTCGTAGCCTGCCTGTTCGGGACCGCAGCCAGCACACAACACAAGCAAGAATCATGAGGCAGTGGGTATCCGGGTGCCCCCTAACCGACCCTAACCCTACAAGAGGTGGCTTTATGTCGCCCCAGGGCGCGTGAAGTCGCGCCACCGCATGGTCACGTGGGAACGCGCGAAGTCACACCAGGGCGTTTGAAGTCAAACCACAAGCATGGCTGCACATCGCTTTCCGCATGGCCACGCGCTTCCTAGCACATTCCTGGCGCAGACGTCAACTTAGGATTTCGAGTGCTACACACAGGTTTTCGTTGGAAATTATGTCCCGGAGCCCTGATAAGTCTGCTAGGTTGGCAGCTAATCACCATGCGCACGCGCTTGCAGACAGGTCACAAGCGCCCGCTCAAGACCCACATCATTGGCATCACAGTGCACATACTTGAGGAAAACCAGTCGTTCCCCATGTCATGTAGACGCTCGTTTTCAGAGGCACCCGGTCAAGACAAACAGCACTCCAAAACCAGCCATTCCCCAACTAGACGCTCGATTTTCGAAGCACCCGCTCAAGACACACATCATTAGCATCGCGGTGCACGACAAGCAGCCATTCCCCATGTACACGCTCGATTTCACAAGCACCCCCTGGCGCGAGGGATGCACCACCCGCTCCCATTCCGGTTCCAAGTTTTACATCAGGTTGAACGAAACCCGGTCGTAGATTTAAATATTGGGGTGAACGATACCCTCCGGTGTGATATCATGGCCCTTCCAAAACAGATCCAGTTCGGGAAGCCGACGCACGATTTCAGAAGCACAAGCTCAAGACACGTCATTGGCATCACAGCAAAAGCCTATTCAGCGCTCTATATTGCTCTTAAAACCTATCCAACCTATCCAACCCTGTATTTAACGTTAGTGGGTGTGTTCAGCGCCGATCAGGCTGACCCAGATCCCCTGTGCATAGCAAGCTTATATAAGTAACAAGTAGTGTAACCCTTTTTTTCCTGAAGGTCTTCGCGGCAAAGCCCTTGCGTTTGCTCCGTTCTGCAAGTAGATGCGGCCGCCGAAACGGTTACAAAACACATATTCCAGACAGTCTGTTCGACAGTTTTGCAAGTAGACGCCGTCGCAGAAGGTGTTACAAAGCACATAGCACTGGTTTGTCCGTTCCGCAGATAGATGCCGCCCCAAGATGTTTACAAAACACACTCATTCTGGACACTCTAGTCCACCAATCTTTGAAGTTCGAACGTTAGACATGTAAATCCCCATCGACACGCAAGGAGAAGCCTAGCGACGAGATCACGAACAGGCGTTACAACCCATCTAAAGCAACCACCAGCCAAAACTTCATGACTACTTACGAATACTGCCTCATTGACTCAATAGGGCTAGGATATGCTTATCCCCATGTCCACGCGCAAAAGGGATGACTTCACACAGGGCGGGACGATTCAACGCAACCACTTGTACCCTAGATTTAGCTGGTCTACCACGGGCATGCAGGGACATCCTGCCCAAAAGCTTACTTTTCGGTGGCTCTTTGGTTCCTGACCTTCGGCTTCATGATGTAAGCCACCAGCACGTGCTTGCCGTTCTTGATGAGCGTCGCCTCATCCAGGGAGAGGTCCGCATAGCGGCTGGACTGGTCCAGGGCCCTGCGAGCTGTGACCGACTTCCTCACTGGCATCACGCTGGTGGGGAGGGGCGCGCTGCCATGCGAGCGGGTAGCACGTCCAGAGGCAGCCGCAGCGGCGAGAACTGCACCGCCAGCCATCATTGCTGGCAGAGATGTCGAAGCCGAGGAAGAAGGCGCCTGCGCGGTCTGGGCGGTGTGCTGATGGCGAAGGTTCGCCGTCGCCGGCGCGGCCGCGAAAGTCTGGCTACCCGAGCTCAGGTACGCCATCCCGGCCAAGCCGCCCAGGGCCACCGCTGCGGTCGTGCGCTGCGACATGATCAGGTATGTCGGCAGTTCTTGGTCTACGCCCAAATCTAAAGTGCCACAACGCTCCTTGAGAGAGCTGGAGACGCGTGGCATCTTGCATCCATGAAGAAAAGGCTCTTGCATGCTTCGCAACGTGTCGCAATTCGAATGTGAGATGGCCTCTGTGCAGCACACACACACAGACACACACCTTTCTTGACAGGACACCGAGGTTCGTGCGAACCGAAACGCAGATCACAGGACATCAAAGTAGTTTTCAAATTGGGATTGGCATGCAGTCGTTCTAAACGGCCGATTTCTTGATACCGGATAATTGGACCATTTGCGCCAAACAAACGGACCTTGGTGGCATCACAATCAGGAATTTAGCCCAGAACTGCGAAAGAGAGGCTCACAGCTGGGTGATGGACCATGGCTCCACCTAGGTTGCAGGACCATCAGCCTCAAGTCCATGACTAAAGCATGGCAGTTGATTTGATCAGGAAAATTTTGAGAAAAAGCAGTAATGCTCACTGGACGGAGAGGTTGCCGGCCGTCTCCATGGGAGTGCCGTCCACAAGGTAGCCCACGTCCTGTGCGTAAGTGGAGGGAGGCAGCGGCGAGCCAGGCGTGTGCATGTCAGGGCCAATGTTCTCCGGGTGGTTGATGGCGTTGCCGGCCCTGTTGAGCGGAGTGCCATCCGGCAGGTAGCCGACGTCGTTCGCGAAGATGGCAGAAGGCAAGGGAGATCCCGGCGCATGGCTGTCCGGCTGAATGTTCTCCGGATGGTTGATGGCGTTGCCGGCCCTGTTCAGAGGGGTGCCATCTGGAAGGTAGCCGATGTCGTTGCTGAACTCCAAGTCGGCCCAGGAGTCTCTCTGGAACCCATACGCGAAGTTTCCTGCATGCCTGACCTTCGAGGGGGTGGCTGCGGAGGAGCCGACGAAGGCCGCTGCAACCACTGGGGCCGGTGCAGCTGCCGCCGCTGGTGCTGCCGCAGGCGCAGCACCACCCTGCACGGAGAGGTTGCCGGCCGTCGCCAGATCAGTGCCATCCACCAGATAGCCAATGTCCGCCTTGTAGCTGGAGGCAGGCAGTGGCGATCCAGGCGTGTGCATGTCTGGGCCAATGGTCTCCGGGTGGTTGATGGCGTTGCCGGCCCTGTTCAGCGGGGTTCCATCAGGAAGGTAGCCCACGGAGTTCACGAAGTTGGCACGGGGCAAAGGCGAGCCAGGCGCATGGCTGTCAGGACCAATGTTCTCCGGGTGGTTGATGGCGTTGCCGGCCCTGTTCAGAGGGGTGCCATCCGGAAGGTAGCCGATGTCGTTGCTGAACTCCAAGTCGGCGAGGACGTTCCCGTTCAACTCGTAGGGAGTGACCGCACGGGCAACCTGGGGAGTTCGCTCCACCGAGCTGGAGCCGACGAAGGCCGCGGCCGACGCCTTCTTGGCCCAGTCGAAGCTAGCAGCCTGCACGGAGGACTCGCCTGTGTAGCCCAGCTTCTCTTTCCATCCTGGGTAGATCTGGTCGGCATCTTTCTGGAAGGTCAGGAAGGCACCCTTGATCTCCTCGTGGGTCTTTGCGAACTCAATCACTCCGTCACTCAGGCTGATGTTGCCGTACTGGCCAGCCTTCCAGGCCTTCCAGGCCTCCTCACCCTGGCGGCAAGAGATGGCACCAGGCTTGGGTCCATCCTTGTGGCCGAAGGCGCCGCCACCGGCAGTGAGGATCACGTTGGAGTGGCCCAGGTTCTCGAAGAAGGCCGGCAGGCGGAGCGCGTTCATGCCACCAGAAATGATGGGGGTGGTCTGCTTCATGCCCTCCCACTCCTGGTGGTAGTAGGGGCCATCGGCCTCATCGTCCTGCAGCATGAAGGCAATGTTCTTGTCGGAGGCATCTCCCTCCATCTTGCCAAAGCTCATGGTGCCGGTGTGGATGCCGGAGGCACCGATAACACGAGAGATCTTGGTGTGGACAAAGGCAGTGTAGCCACGCTGGGTCTGGGGGCTGGTCACGGAGCCGTGGCCGGCTCGGTGGTAGTGCAGGAACTGCTTGGGGAAGTTGCGGCGAGCGCAGGTCACAGCGGTGCCTCCCGCGACGTATCCATCCACCAAGAAGGCGCAGTTCTCGGACAGAGGTCCGAACTGGGACATGCAGTACTTGCCGCGGGCGATCATCTCGTTTGGATCATCCGCGGTGATGTTGGCCGAGAACAGCTTGCCGACACCGGTCTCCTTGATGCAAGCCCTCATGGCCTTCACGACCTCGGGGATGCACTCGTTCATCTGGCAGAACACCTGGTTGCCCTGCGGCTCATCCTGGGCTGCATGGAGGCTCTTCAACCACCGATTTTCTTGCTCCCTCTATCTGGAATATACCATGTTAATGTTAAAGCTTATTTGAAGCTTTTGTTCCAGCACAATTTAGCATCGTTCTTGATGAAGTCACCGCCTTGCCAGAAGGCATAGCAGGCCTCGCCGAAAGGCTTGGGCTGCAGGCCGAGCTTGGGCTTGATGATGGTTCCAACCACGAGACCACCGTTGCTGGTGCCCTTGCCCAGGATGCGCCACATGTCCTCCACGTTCACGCCGGGCCCATCATACAGGCGCAGGAAGGACGGGGGCAGGTAGAAGTCGTAGATCTTGCCGTACTCGACGTCGCCCATGCCTCAAGCGATCTCCTACCATCAGTCTTGATGCCAAACACTTTCTTGGAGCGCCTATGACAGCTACATGCGACACAACCCACATGCATGAGGGTGTGATAGTGCTGGCAAAGCAGCCCTGGTTGTTTCCGATGGCCAGGGTCAGGAACGAGCACATCATGCCACGACCATCGATGATGTTGCGGTCGAATAGCAAGGTGGGATATGCGATCTTCATCTCTTCACTATCCGGGTCGATGTAGTAGACCAGGGCATCCACAGACTTAGTGAAGTCATCCGTGGTGCACACGTTCACGTTCGTTCCGGTGGAGGATTCGGCAGCAAAGTGCGCAGCGGTGGCAAGGTAGTCGTAGCCTGCCTTTTCGGGACCCGAACCAACACACAACACAAGCACGCATCATGAAGCAGTGGGTATGTGGTGTGTATGCAACTTTAGTGATCAAGAGACTGCTGGGGTAGCAAACAAGACCTGGAAGGCCTGTGCCGTCCGTACTGTATTTGCTGAGCATAGTTCTGGTCACGATTCAGCTTGGGTGATCGTGCAGCGTGCTACACGCTTGCATTGTAGCAGAGTGTTGCTCCAAAGAATGAGGCTTGAAATCCACGGAAGCCACGAGGAGAAGGTCGCCGTCTGTTAGAAGCCAAAGGCGATCTGTTAGTGGGAGCAGCGCAGCCGACCCGAAATAAAGATGGGACGTTGTGGGACGGAGATACGCCCTCGTACACGGATTTCGCACAAAAAGCTCGGCTATACGAACAATCCGTGCCACGTCACAAACGAGCTCAAGCAGGACCCCAGATCGCAGCAGAACTCACAGGAGTTGCGAGGCGCTATGTCGTCGGTCAGCCAGCACACTGGCTGGCGTACCACGGCGGTGTGGACAGGTTGTCAGAGTATTTTCGGCAAGGGCTAGGCCAGCCATGGATCATGGAAGTGACCGAACACTTGAACAAGTACTTGAAGGCCAGCCGAAGAACGAAGCCTTTTACCAGGAGGCACTGACCTACAACGCACCCATGTGGAGCCGTCGGACCTCGATGGAATCGCAAGCCGGAACCTGGTGATGATGGGGCTCAAGGGCGGAGCGCTAGTCATGGCAGTGACAGGAACCATGGGTGGACCGACCCCTCATGGCGTACCAGTTGCCCGGTCCAGCTACAGTTACTGGCAGAACCAGTTAAATCAGTTAAGGTGGGATGGATGGTCGAGCTGGGCCCGATCAACGAGGAGCTCGGCAAGCCAGCCGGCACTTTCCGAACTTCTACCAGATTTCGTTCAAGGTTGGATACTTCTTCAAAACGCCAACTTGGATCAGCAAGAACGGAATCAGACAGACTGCGGCAGGTGACAACTACGCCAGCATTCCCGAACCCTTTGAAGTCATCGGCAAACACCATGTTGCAGGAAGAGGCCCCCAATGTGATGCACGTGGACGTTCCCGAGGAGCAGTGTGCCTGGAGCAGCAGCAGCCCCGTGCAGACCACAGCCGAGGCAGTGGCACAGGTCAAGTGCGTGATAAACTTTGGGGCTTCCAAAAGTCTGCGACCGATCTACTACGCCCTGAAGAAGCACATGGCACGCAACATCAAAGAGAATGATGATGCGGCCGTCAAGCACGTAGGCCAGACAATTTTGGGAACTCAAGCTGCGACCGATGTCAGGACAGCCAGGACAGATGAAGATTCATGGCTTGCATCGTGGGCAAGGGTTCGGTGCTCCTTTCTGACGTCTTGGAGCGCTGATGGATTTCAGGAACGATCTGACGGTTTTGAGCAAGTTGAACAGGAAGCGAATCATCAGGCTGAGGAGATCCGCAACCGGCCACCAAGTGATGACCCTGCCGAAAAAGTCTGATGCTGAGTGACTTTGCGCAGAACCGTCCTACCGAAAAGTAGGGACAACTCCTGCCATCGTACAGACCAGCAGACGGGTTTAATCACAGAGTAGGACATCTTCTTACGGCCGTGACGTGAACCGGTGAGACACTTCAGGAAAGTAGTTCGAAGAGAGTTAGGTTTGAATGTCACGCATTTGACTCAGTGTTTGCAGAGCACCACGAAACGAGACTGAAGATTTCGAAACCAACAGTTGTGCTCGGTGATCCTTCTGAACAACGTGACTGCTCGCAGCAACGACCTCTAGACACTTCGCTCCCAAACCATCATGCCGAGCCCCAAGATTAAGAAGTGTAAATAGCATTCGGCATTCGGCAGTGACCTAACTGCCGAGTGGATCTCCGCCAACCGAGAACCAAGTGCCACGACGTATGTGTAGCCTGCAAAGCTTCTAAACTCAACTTGACCTTCAGGAAAAGAGCCAACGGTGTTATGTGTCGAGTCATAGCTCTGAAGGGGTTCTTGAAGGTGCGATTACGGACGAAGAGAATGAGGCCCTAATCAGCCTAGAGGCCCGGGAACTCATTGAGAAGTTAGCCGATGTACTGCAGAAGGAAGGCAAACGCACTCATCGAAATTGCGAGCACTTGTTGCAGCAACTTCCTGTTCAACCTGCTGTGAAGCATAGCCGAACGCTGGGTGATCAAAAGTCTGTGTATGTTGTGCTTGGGTTGTACTCGTACGGCAACATGCATGGCACTACGAACCGGACATGGGTGTTCCCAAGCTCATTCACCATCACAATCCCCAACGACTTCCCCGAGTTTCCATCGTCGCGAATGTCAACAATGTTTTGTACACCGATAGGCGCTTTGATCAGTCCTGTGACAACTGCGTGATATATATATATATATATTATATGCCTACACTAGAGGGGGGCTGTGGATCCAACATCACCCGCAACAGCCTCCACTTTCAAAGACCAACAACCTCGAATCTTGCTCGACGGCACCATTTATCAAAGCATAGTCCATGGCACGAAACAAGTAAGTAATGCGTTTCACACCCGCAATGTGGCAGCAGTCTGAAGCATGGGAAAGCACCAGGACAGTTGTGAGTTCTTGTGTGATTAGAGGGATTCGTGAGGCTTCCGGAGAGGTGAAGGAAGGACTTCGGAATGTGGGTTTTGAGTTGATGGTCATACCTGAAATACCCAGAGCTGTCCTGCCGCAAATGGTCCCGAGGCCACTGGTAGGAGAGGAAGTCCGTGGGTAGTAAGCTGAGGCCCAAATCCTGAAGCAACTTTATCTTCTCCATGCCGCCACTGGTCATGGAAGCCATCGTACTATGGTTGAAACCATCAAGCCCGCAGCGCTACGCATACCGCGGAACTAGCCCGCAATTTCCGATGCTCTGTTTGCCACTTAGCATCCCTCAAGACCTTACCACCGAAGTGGCATACGATCTCAGCTGGTATAGATCATTGGGTTCATCCGAGCGCACTCATGTTGGGATTGGGAAGACTCTCAGTCGGGCAGTAAGCAGCAGCCAAACGCTGCCACTTGCCCGGCTTACTTTCGGGTAGGCTGGGCTCAGATTTTCGGATGGCCTGGAGCTTTGAGGTTAGATCCGGCAGGTGTCTTCAAAGCCAACAAGTTCAGGCATTTTGCGACAGACCTTTGATCTACCTTGATCTCATTCATGCTGACTCCCATTGGCAGATTGGCGTGCGCGAACAAGCAGTGCAAGGAACCCAACAAGTTATGGAAAAGATTTGTACGCACCACCCAGACCTGTCTGCCGAAGAAGCTCCGTCAACAGCTATGCACATTTTTAAAAGCCGGGAAGAGACTCGAGGGTTCTCACTAATTCCGCACGCTTTCGGAAGGAACCCTGATTTGACTGTCCGATTGTTTCGAAAAGAGGGTCAGATTTCAGGCGCGGTTTTGGTTGAGAGTTTAGACCTTGGCCAAGGATGATAGTGATGGTGGAACCCCATGCACGGACGTACAACAGGGTCGTTGAAAAGATTGGTGGAAACCTATCTGAAGCTGCCAAAGGTCGAAGAATGGCATCGGGCTCAAGACCCAAGTCAGGAAGAGGTTCCCCAAGGTTCCGAATAAGTAGGACGAGGCCTAGCCCCTTTGGCGGGTTTCCATGGTTTAGACTTCTTCACCATGGAAAGCAACCCAGAACCCTCAGAAGCCTTTCGTCCGTCCAGGAGTGCACGGACTAATCCTGTAGGAACCACCTTCGCTGCCGAGGCGTGGTGGACGTCTGTGCCAGACAACTACCACAAGCCAGTCACTATCTTCGTCTGTGGCATCCATGACAAACCATTCCGCTACGTCATGAAACTCTTTACAAACCATCCGAACTTTGTCTCAATCGCGCTCATCTTTGTCCGCCTTCTCCGCGTCGATGCGACACTGAATCCATTCGTTGTCCCTTTCTACAGAGTCTTCGATCGCCTTCCTGTCGTATGGCTTTCCTTCGCTCCGAAGTTTCCTCTGTTGTCTGAGGTAACGTTCCTCGCCAGGATACAGTTCTGGTACTCGCGGATACCGATTGATCTCCAGAGTCCGTGGTCGTTGGCATGTAAGTTCAAGTTCGGCTCCACATCCTTGACAGACTCCAGTTGCTTCACCTTCTCCGCGATCTTGCTCAGAATCAATAGTAAATCCGGGACTAGGTAAGTCTCGGCCTCGGTACTGACGAGGTTGTCTAGACAGCTTTTCCTTCAGCTATCTGCAAACCGTTCCTGGAAAGTCTGGCAGGGAGATGTCACAGGAGCCTTTTTTACAAAGCCGGGACAATCCGGACAAGCTTGACTATATACCGTGTGATGAGGTCTGCGACGCAATGAACATAGAACGAGGCAGCATCACTCGGTTTGAGAAAGGCCCGTTATGGGCCGGTGGATGCGCCACTGGAGTGGTACCGAACAGCGTCGGAAATTTTTGAATCCATAAGACTGGGAAGATCGTGGGCGGATCCTTGCATGTGGATGTGGCGACCCGAAGGCAGGCTCCGAGGATGCATTTCAGGACATGTAGATGCCTTTCTGTTTGGAAGTGCAACCAGTGATCAAGGTTGGCAGCAGGTTCTGCAGCTGATTCGCGAAAAGTTCAAGCGGTCAGACCGGGAATGCCATCGGTTCGTTCAGAGCGGGGTGCAGACTGACCAACGTGGAGAAGGCTTTAACATGTCTCAAAGCAAGTACGCGGAAATCATTGAAGGGATTCCGCCGAGTTCTGGGAGATGCCGGGAAAAGGATCAGGAAACTACCGAACGAGAGAAGTCCCAGTGGAAGCCTTCGTTGGGAGCCATCAGCTGGCATGCCCAGCAAGTGGCCCCGCATTTCTCGGCACCAGTCAGTCTACTCCTTTCCGAAGTGGCACAAAGTACTGTTTCGACCAGTATGGATGCTAATCAACTGCTGTGAGAGCCCCGAGGTCGCATGATCTTGTCATTCATAAGTTCCCGGCTGAAGAGGAACTGTGTATGCTTGCTCGGGTCGATGCCTCAAACCAGAACCGATCTGACCGTGAGAGCACTCATGGCATATTGATAGCCTTAGGATTTAGGACCCCGAAGCATGTTTCAAGGTGATGTGGGCAAGGTGTTCTTAGTGGCTTGGCATTCCAACAGGATTAAGAGAACATGCCGGAGTCCTGGTGCAGCTGAATCCCAAGCAGCTGTGGACATGGAAGATAGCTTATATCTGGCTAGATTTCAGTGGACTGACATGTTGCAGGGTCAAGTGGATGTTCGAAGTCCTGACGCGGGAGTCTGTTGTAGGGGTCATTGTGACGGATTCGCAAAATGTGTATGACAAACTGCGAACTGAGGTCGTGACCCTGGAGAAGTGCTCCAAAATTGAACTGCTGTCTCCAATCCGACGGGTGCACTCAGAGGCCCACTTGGCCAATAGTTTGACGAAGCAGGGTGCTGGCCATGAGCTCTGTCTCTTCTTCAAGATGATGGGTGGTCATTGGTGCATCGTCGAAGACGAGAACATGCGCTCTGCGGGTGCAGTAAAGCTGAAGGAATAGAACCATTGGCGAACAGCAGTGACAAAAGTGGTGAGTCAAATTATGAAAAAGGATTTCGCGAAAATCCGATCCGGAAGGGGGCATGCAAGTGTAATGCGCTCGGCTGCTCACACTCTACGTCGTGTGTATGCAACTTTAGTGATCAAGACACTGCTGAAGGTAGCAAAAAAGACCTCGACCGCTTGTGCCGTCCATGGTGCCTCTGCTCAGCATGGTTCTGGTCACGACTCAGCTTGGGTGATCGAGCAGCGTCCTACCCGCCTGCATCGTAACCTGCCCTCACCCTCTCTTAGAGTAAGCCGATAGACCATGGATATGCAGCGACATCCTGCCCACAAGCTTACGTTTCGGTGGCTCTTTGGTTGCTGACCTTCGGCTTCATGATGTAAGCCACCAGCACGTGCTTGCCGTTCTTGATGAGCGTCGCCTCATCCAAGGAGAGGTCCGCATAGCGGCTGGACTGGTCCAGGGCCCTGCGAGCTGTGACCGACTTCCTCACAGGCATCACGCTGGTGGGGAGGGGCGCACTGCCATGCGAGCGGGTAGCACGTCCAGAAGCAGCCGCAGCGGCGAGAACTGCACCGCCAGCCATCATTGCCGGCAGAGATGTCGAAGCCGAGGAAGAAGGTGCCTGCGCGGTCTGGGCGGTGTGCTGATGGCGAAGGTTCGCGGTCGCCGGCGCGGCCGCGAAAGTCTGGCTGCCCGAGCTTAGGTACGCCAAACCGGCCAAGCCGCCCAGGGCCACCGCTGCGGACGTGCGCTGCGACATGATCAGGAAAACAAGGCACCCTTTATTCTGAAACACCTCTTTTGCTGAAATGCTGCAGAGGCCGTCATCGGAGGCTGATGGGAGTGCTGAAAGCGGTGGCCGAAAGTATTGACTCGCGAGTCAGCTCCTGGTCTAGAGTCTAGATGCAGGCAACTGCGCGCGAAAAAACATCTACAAACAGATTGGCATCCCGCAAATATTAGCAGAAGACACTTTTTGCGGCTGGTGAGAGATGCTGCGTGAGCTGAGATTAAATCAAGCGAGCCCTGCGGCTTGCAGGAAAAGAACCACGCGGAAGTGGGGGCGGTGCGTTTGTTCGCTCCACCAAGATAGCAGATCATTAGAATGTCAAGCTCCAGCCCACGACCAGAGGATGGGATGCATGTCTGCTCTGCAAATTCTGTGGGGAAAACTTGGAAAAGTACTGTCCTCACTGGACGGAGAGGTTGCCGGCCGTCTCCATGGGAGTGCCGTCCACCAGGTAGCCCACGTCCTGCGCGTAAGTGGAGGCAGGCAGCGGCGAGCCAGGCGTGTGCATGTCAGGGCCAATGTTCTCCGGGTGGTTGATGGCGTTGCCGGCCCTGTTGAGCGGAGTGCCATCCGGCAGGTAGCCCACGTCGTTCGCGAAGATGGCAGAAGGCAAGGGAGATCCCGGCGCATGGCTGTCCGGCTGAATGTTCTCCGGATGGTTGATGGCGTTGCCGGCCCTGTTCAGGGGGGTGCCATCCGGCAGGTAGCCGATGTCGTTGCTGAACTCCAAGTCGGCCCAGGAGTCTCTCTGGAACCCATACGCGAAGTTTCCTGCATGCCTGACCTTCGAGGGGGTGGCTGCGGAGGAGCCGACGAAGGCCGCTGCAACCACAGGGGCCGGTGCAGCTGCCGCCGCTGGTGCTGCCGCAGGCGCAGCACCACCCTGCACGGAGAGGTTGCCGGCCGTCGCCAGATCAGTGCCATCCACCAGATAGCCAATGTCCGCCTTGTAGCTGGAGGCAGGCAGCGGCGATCCAGGCGTGTGCATGTCTGGGCCAATGGTCTCCGGGTGGTTGATGGCGTTGCCGGCCCTGTTCAGCGGGGTTCCATCAGGAAGGTAGCCCACGGAGTTCACGAAGTTGGCACGGGGCAAAGGCGAGCCAGGCGCATGGCTGTCAGGACCAATGTTCTCCGGGTGGTTGATGGCGTTGCCGGCCCTGTTCAGAGGGGTGCCATCCGGAAGGTAGCCGATGTCGTTGCTGAACTCCAAGTCGGCGAGGACGTTCCCGTTCAACTCGTAGGGAGTGACCGCACGGGCAACCTGGGGAGTTCGCTCCACCGAGCTGGAGCCGACGAAGGCCGCGGCCGACGCCTTCTTGGCCCAGTCGAAGCTAGCAGCCTGCACGGAGGACTCGCCTGTGTAGCCCAGCTTCTCTTTCCATCCTGGGTAGATCTGGTCGGCATCTTTCTGGAAGGTCAGGAAGGCACCCTTGATCTCCTCGTGGGTCTTTGCGAACTCAATCACTCCGTCACTCAGGCTGATGTTGCCGTACTGGCCAGCCTTCCAGGCCTTCCAGGCCTCCTCACCCTGGCGGCAAGAGATGGCACCAGGCTTGGGTCCATCCTTGTGGCCGAAGGCGCCGCCACCGGCAGTGAGGATCACGTTGGAGTGGCCCAGGTTCTCGAAGAAGGCCGGCAGGCGGAGCGCGTTCATGCCACCAGAAATGATGGGGGTGGTCTGCTTCATGCCCTCCCACTCCTGGTGGTAGTAGGGGCCATCGGCCTCATCGTCCTGCAGCATGAAGGCAATGTTCTTGTCGGAGGCATCTCCCTCCATCTTGCCAAAGCTCATGGTGCCGGTGTGGATGCCGGAGGCACCGATAACACGAGAGATCTTGGTGTGGACAAAGGCAGTGTAGCCACGCTGGGTCTGGGGGCTGGTCACGGAGCCGTGGCCGGCTCGGTGGTAGTGCAGGAACTGCTTGGGGAAGTTGCGGCGAGCGCAGGTCACAGCGGTGCCTCCCGCGACGTATCCATCCACCAAGAAGGCGCAGTTCTCGGACAGAGGTCCGAACTGGGACATGCAGTACTTGCCGCGGGCGATCATCTCGTTTGGATCATCCGCGGTGATGTTGGCCGAGAACAGCTTGCCGACACCGGTCTCCTTGATGCAAGCCCTCATGGCCTTCACGACCTCGGGGATGCACTCGTTCATCTGGCAGAACACCTGGTTGCCCTGCGGCTCATCCTGGGCTGCATGGAGGCTCTTCAACCACCGATTTTCTTGCTCCCTCTATCTGGAATATACCATGTTAATGTTAAAGCTTATTTAAAACTTTTGTTCCAGCACAATTTAGCATCGTTCTTGATGAAGTCACCGCCTTGCCAGAAGGCATAGCAGGCCTCGCCGAAAGGCTTGGGCTGCAGGCCGAGCTTGGGCTTGATGATGGTTCCAACCACGAGACCACCGTTGCTGGTGCCCTTGCCCAGGATGCGCCACATGTCCTCCACGTTCACGCCGGGCCCATCATACAGGCGCAGGAAGGACGGGGGCAGGTAGAAGTCGTAGATCTTGCCGTACTCGACGTCGCCCATGCCTCAAGCGATCTCCTACCATCAGTCTTGATGCCAAACACTTTCTTGGAGCGCCTATGACAGCTACATGCGACACAACCCACATGCACGAGGGTGTGATAGTGCTGGCAAAGCAGCCCTGGTTGTTTCCGATGGCCAGGGTCAGGAACGAGCACATCATGCCACGACCATCAATGATGTTGCGGTCGAAGAGCAAGGTGGGATATGCGATCCTTAGTTGCTGAGTTCATAAGCCCCAAAACGTGTATACTTTCAGTTTTGTAGTGGGTAATATTATCCCAAAAAGCGTAAAGTGTATCCACTCAGCTACTAAGGATCTTCATCTCTTCACTATCCGGGTCGATGTAGTAGACCAAGGCATCCACAGACTTGGTGAAGTCATCCGTGGTGCACACGTTCACGTTCGTTCCGGTGGAGGACTCGGCAGCAAAGTGCGCAGCGGTGGCAAGGTAGTCGTAGCCTGCCTGTTCGGGACCGCAGCCAGCACACAACACAAGCAAGAATCATGAGGCAGTGGGTATCCGGGTGCCCCCTAACCGACCCTAACCCTACAAGAGGTGGCTTTATGTCGCCCCAGGGCGCGTGAAGTCGCGCCACCGCATGGTCACGTGGGAACGCGCGAAGTCACACCAGGGCGTTTGAAGTCAAACCACAAGCATGGCTGCACATCGCTTTCCGCATGGCCACGCGCTTCCTAGCACATTCCTGGCGCAGACGTCAACTTAGGATTTCGAGTGCTACACACAGGTTTTCGTTGGAAATTATGTCCCGGAGCCCTGATAAGTCTGCTAGGTTGGCAGCTCCGCTTGCAGACAGGTCACAAGCGCCCGCTCAAGACCCACATCATTGGCATCACAGTGCACAGACTTGAGGAAAACCAGTCGTTCCCCATGTCATGTAGACGCTCGTTTTCAGAGGCACCCGGTCAAGACAAACAGCACTCCAAAACCAGCCATTCCCCAACTAGACGCTCGATTTTCGAAGCACCCGCTCAAGACACACATCATTAGCATCGCGGTGCACGACAAGCAGCCATTCCCCATGTACACGCTCGATTTCACAAGCACCCGCTGGCGCGAGGGATGCACCACCCGCTCCCATTCCGGTTCCAAGTTTTACATCAGGTTGAACGAAACCCGGTCGTAGATTTAAATATTGGGGTGAACGATACCCTCCGGTGTGATATCATGGCCCTTCCAAAACAGATCCAGTTCCCCAAGCCGACGCACGATTTCAGAAGCACAAGCTCAAGACACGTCATTGGCATCACAGCAAAAGCCTATTCAGCGCTCTATACTGCTCTTAAAACCTATCCAACCTATCCAACCCTGTATTTAACGTTAGTGGGTGTGTTCAGCGCCGATCAGGCTGACCCAGATCCCCTGTGCATAGCAAGCTTATATAAGTAACAAGTAGTGTAACCCTTTTTTCCTGAAGGTCTTCGCGGCAAAGCCCTTGCGTTTGCTCCGTTCTGCAAGTAGATGCGGCCGCCGAAACGGTTACAAAACACATATTCCAGACAGTCTGTTCGACAGTTTTGCAAGTAGACGCCGTCGCAGAAGGTGTTACAAAGCACATAGCACTGGTTTGTCCGTTCCGCAGATAGACGCCGCCCCAAGATGTTTACAAAACACACTCATTCTGGACACTCTAGTCCACCAATCTTTGAAGTTCGAACTTTAGACATGTAAATCCCCATCGACACGCAAGGAGAAGCCTAGCGACGAGATCACGAACAGGCGCTACAACCCATCTAAAGCAACCACCAGCCAAAACTTCATGACTACTTACGAATACTGCCTCATTGACTCAATAGGGCTAGGATATGCTTATCCCCATGTCCACGCGCAAAAGGGATGACTTCACACAGGGCGGGACGATTCAACGCAACCACTTGTACCCTAGAATTAGCTGGTCTACCACGGGCATGCAGGGACATCCTGCCCAAAAGCTTACGTTTCGGTGGCTCTTTGGTTCCTGACCTTCGGCTTCATGATGTATGCCACCAGCACGTGCTTGCCGTTCCTTAGAGATACATGCACTCACACCTGGGACGGCAGTACACACGTGCACCTCGAACTGTGGGATCGTTTATGTGCAGACAAATCCCAAGCATTCCTAGCACGACTTGCAGCTTGGTCTCTTGATCAGGGTGGCCTCGTCCAGGGACAGGTCCGCGTATCGGCTGGACTGGTCCAGGGCCTTGCGCGAGACGCTGCTCTCCTTCTTGGCAGGGGCCACGCTGGCGCCGACGAAGGCCGCGGCCGACGCCTTCTTGGCCCAGTCGAAGCTGGCAGCCTGCACGGAGGACTCGCCTGTGTAGCCCAGCTTCTCTTTCCATCCTGGGTAGATCTGGTCGGCATCTTTCTGGAAGGTCAGGAAGGCACCCTTGATCTCCTCGTGGGTCTTCGCGAACTCAATCACTCCGTCACTCAGGCTGATGTTGCCGTACTGGCCAGCCTTCCAGGCCTTCCAGGCCTCCTCACCCTGGCGGCAAGAGATGGCACCAGGCTTGGGTCCATCCTTGTGGCCGAAGGCGCCGCCACCGGCAGTGAGGATCACGTTGGAGTGGCCCAGGTTCTCGAAGAAGGCCGGCAGGCGGAGCGCGTTCATGCCACCAGAAATGATGGGGGTGGTCTGCTTCATGCCCTCCCACTCCTGGTGGTAGTAGGGGCCATCGGCCTCATCGTCCTGCAGCATGAAGGCAATGTTCTTGTCGGAGGCATCTCCCTCCATCTTGCCAAAGCTCATGGTGCCGGTGTGGATGCCGGAGGCACCGATAACACGAGAGATCTTGGTGTGGACAAAGGCAGTGTAGCCACGCTGGGTCTGGGGGCTGGTCACGGAGCCGTGGCCGGCTCGGTGGTAGTGCAGGAACTGCTTGGGGAAGTTGCGGCGAGCGCAGGTCACAGCGGTGCCTCCCGCGACGTATCCATCCACCAAGAAGGCGCAGTTCTCGGACAGAGGTCCGAACTGGGACATGCAGTACTTGCCGCGGGCGATCATCTCGTTTGGATCATCCGCGGTGATGTTGGCCGAGAACAGCTTGCCGACACCGGTCTCCTTGATGCAAGCCCTCATGGCCTTCACGACCTCGGGGATGCACTCGTTCATCTGGCAGAACACCTGGTTGCCCTGCGGCTCATCCTGGGCTGCATGGAGGCTCTTCAACCACCGATTTTCTTGCTCCCTCTATCTGGAATATACCATGTTAATGTTAAAGCTTATTTAAAACTTTTGTTCCAGCACAATTTAGCATCGTTCTTGATGAAGTCACCGCCTTGCCAGAAGGCATAGCAGGCCTCGCCGAAAGGCTTGGGCTGCAGGCCGAGCTTGGGCTTGATGATGGTTCCAACCACGAGACCACCGTTGCTGGTGCCCTTGCCCAGGATGCGCCACATGTCCTCCACGTTCACGCCGGGCCCATCATACAGGCGCAGGAAGGACGGGGGCAGGTAGAAGTCGTAGATCTTGCCGTACTCGACGTCGCCCATGCCTCAAGCGATCTCCTACCATCAGTCTTGATGCCAAACACTTTCTTGGAGCGCCTATGACAGCTACATGCGACACAACCCACATGCATGAGGGTGTGATAGTGCTGGCAAAGCAGCCCTGGTTGTTTCCGATGGCCAGGGTCAGGAACGAGCACATCATGCCACGACCATCAATGATGTTGCGGTCGAAGAGCAAGGTGGGATATGCGATCCTTAGTTGCTGAGTTCATAAGCCCAAAAACGTGTATACTTTCAGTTTTGTAGTGGGTAATATTATCCCAAAAAGCGTAAAGTGTATCCACTCAGCTACTAAGGATCTTCATCTCTTCACTATCCGGGTCGATGTAGTAGACCAAGGCATCCACAGACTTGGTGAAGTCATCCGTGGTGCACACGTTCACGTTCGTTCCGGTGGAGGACTCGGCAGCAAAGTGCGCAGCGGTGGCAAGGTAGTCGTAGCCTGCCTATCCGGGACCGCAGCCAGCACACAACACAGGCACGAATCATGAGGCAGTGGGTATCCCCTAACCGGCCCTAACCCTACCCTAGATTAAGCTGGTCTACTACGGGCATGCAGGGACATCCTGCCCAAAAGCTTACGGGTCGGTGGCTCTTTGGTTCCTGACCTTCGGCTTCATGATGTAAGCCACCAGCACGTGCTTGCCGTTCTTGATGAGCGTCGCCTCATCCAGGGAGAGGTCCGCATAGCGGCTGGACTGGTCCAGGGCCCTGCGAGCTGTGACCGACTTCCTCACTGGCATCACGCTGGTGGGGAGGGGCGCGCTGCCATGCGAGCGGCTAGCACGTCCAGAGGCAGCCGCAGCGGCGAGAACTGCACCGCCAGCCATCATTGCCGGCAGAGATGTCGAAGCCGAGGAAGAAGGCGCCTGCGCGGTCTGGGCGGTGTGCTGATGGCGAAGGTTCGCGGTCGCCGGCGCGGCCGCGAAAGTCTGGCTGCCCGAGCTCAGGTACGCCAACCCGGCCAAGCCGCCCAGGGCCACCGCTGCGGATGTGCGCTGCGACATGGAAAATGCAGGGGACCTTTTGCTACAATGGAGCAAACTCTTAAGCCTTGTGAAGCTTACGCACAGTCGGCTGCGGCAACATACAGCTGGCACGAGTAACTAGTCTCTGCCAGAATTCAGGGAACAACTTTTGCATGCTGTGCCACGCAGGACACAAGCTTAAAGTCATCTGTGTGCCCTGCAAGGGCATTGACCGAAATGCTGCCAAGCCACTCAATCAATCTGAAGGTCGAAGCACGTCGCCATCATCAAACAGTAATTTGGGACGTGTGCCCTTCCCATACTTGAAGTTGCATGCTCGCCGAAGCAGGTTTGTTTCAATTGCCTTCGCTCAGCCAACAACCGAGCACTCTTCCGCTGCCACATGACCATGGCATGGAAAGACACTGGGCCGGAAATACTTTTTTGCAGCCGCATGCTTTCCCGATGTGTGCAGCGGGCAGGTCAACAAAGCACTGCGAAGCGCAACTGCAAATGGATGTCTCTCCGATATAACCGGCGGCCCTCTGCCCGCCCGGCCTTGCAAAGGGACGCTGGCCCGCTGCGGTGACACGTCAGCAGATTCGGAGCTGCATTAGCAGCGCTGCTGTGAAGATCGGGCTCTGGTCGAAAGCCGCCAGGAAGCTTCGGTGCTGCATTGAGATGCAGGCACCGGCAAAGCGCCGAAGAGTAAGAGGGTGACGGGGGGCTGCTTCTGCTAGACAGGAAATACAGCACGGCGGGATGGCCTGGCATGCTGAAACCTTCACGTGGCTGACTTTCCCTCCACACCAAGCGCTCCGGAGTTAGAAATTCACCACGTCGGACTGGCGAGAACTCACCCGGTGCTGTGACACCGTCGCTTCACTGGGCATACTCAGCGGCTGAGCCCTGCACTGCATCAGGAAGCTTGAATCCCTCCGTGTTGTGGATCATGTTTCTGGGAGAAGGCTGTGGTCTCTGTTGTGTGGCGGGGAGGGCCATGATCCAAGCATGTCCCGTCTATGTTATCCTGTCGCAACCGTCACAGTCATAGCAAGTCACAAGAGGACGGCAAACTCCCGCTCCAAAATGTCGTAAGGTCCGCGGTTCCCAAACCATCAAATCACAAGCAATCGCAATGGCAAGCTCCCTTGACGTCCTCCAGAGGAGCCCCCACCCAAAGAGCCGTCCTCAAGGCTTGGTACAGGATCTCCCGAGCATCCTGGGAAAGAGCTCTGCCACAGCAGCTTCGAACAGAAAAAGCGGAGCTCAACACCCCACCGCCCCACCTGCTGGTGAAGCTCGTAGACTCCGAGCTGTGGAGGAGGCGGCGCCCTCAGACTAGCCATGAGCGTCTAAGTCTAGGCCTCCTGGGCCCTCTCTTCTGGGCCCCGGCGGCTGCACGTCGGCCTGTTCGCCCTCGGCCTCCCGCAAACACCGCAAGAAAAACGCCACAAGCCCAGCAGGGCGGAGCCTCCGTGGCGATGAGCAGGGAGCTACTGCAGCGCTGCTCGAAGACCACCTGCGCGAACACAACTCGCATGTCGACTCGCAGAAAAAGACCCCAGCAACTTACACTGCTTGACTGCTTGCACCATCTGCTTTGTGCCGACTGCAGGCGCAACATGGCTGCCCGCTGACTTTTATGCACTTTCGGTCTTGACCGACTTCTCGTCTTTATGATGCGCTGCGACTGGCGTGGTCGGCGCATTGGCGGAGCCGGGGAGGTTGGAGGGTGTCCGTGGTGGAGCACCTGGGGTTAGCGGCGGTGCACCTGCGGGGGTGAAGGGCTGCGCTTGCCCCGGGGTGAAAGGTGCTGCGAATGCTCCGAAGGGGGTCGATGGTGCTCCGGCTCCGGCTGCACCTGCACCTCCTGGCCCTTGGGCTGGGGTGAAGGGGTTGATGTTCGGAGTGGAAGCTGCGGGCCCGGCGGGCCTCAGCGAGCACGGCCAAAGCCCCATCCACCGGCTATAGCATGTCATCCATTGCATGGTCCATTACTGACACCCAGCACGTGCCGACCAACCGCAAAATTTATTCGCAACATGCGGCCGAGCCCTACATCCTCCTCTAACTTGCCGAGAGCTGGGCCCCGGAGGCGTCATGGATCCCTTGACGCCCTGGCACAGAAGGCTGGGCTCAAGATACTTCGAGGTCAAGCCTCGAAGACTCTTCTAGTATCTCAGATTATCCTATATCATCGCGTACTGCCCTCTATTAGCTTGTATTTCCATTTCGTAACTCATACATGAAAAAATGTGTGTGTGTGTGTGTGTGTATATATATATATTACACTAAACATTATTTTCGCATCATGTCGCATACGATGTTGTACGGACGATGCTTAGACATGCAGATTTCAAACATCTAAACAGATATGTTATACTACCTCCGTGGCCGTCGGGCTCGGGCCGCTAAGTCCAGTGACAATGGTGAACCTGTGGTTCTCGAACATGCGGGAAAGCTTGAACAAACCTTCTTTATTGCCTCCATGGTCTTGGCGGTCCGGCCGCCCCCTACTTGCTCAATAAACTTCACCGTAATCTTATATATGATATCGTACAGATATTCACTATTATATAACATACGGTGATACAGTATAACATAATAACATTATAGTATATCCGCCGAGGCCACAGGCCCAGGCGTCTTGGGGGGTTACCTCAAATGCGATAGTAGTTTTGCTTTGTATATATATATATATACACATACATACATACATACATACATACATACATACGTGTGTATATGTGTAAACATGTAGATGCACAGAAATGTACATATACAGTTGGAAGATAGATATATAGATTTAGATGTAGGTATAGGTATAGAAACAGATATAGATGTGTGTGTATATATATATAAATGCGGATATAGCTATAGATGCAAATGTAAAAACAAATAAAGATACATATATGGATATAGATATATGATATACACATACATACACACCATCAGTCCATCATCCATCCATCCCTCCATCCATCCATCAATCCATCCTTCCTTCCTTCCTTCCATCCTTCCATACTTCCATCCCTCCGTCCTTCCATCCATCCATCCATCCTTCCATCCTTCCATCCCTCCGTCCGTCCGTCCATCCATCCACCCATCCATCCGTCCAAATACTACACCCTAAACCGCCGCAAATCGCTAGCCTGGAACAAGGAAATCCGACATACACTGCTTCGCGAGCCTGTGCCGGGGTGGGAGGAGGAGGCCCAGCCGGGGTTCCGGATGCCCGCGCCTCTACTCGGATGCTCACTTTTCTGTCACTCCGGCCTATTCATATACCTGTTCGGCCCTTTCGTGGGAGATGTCTCAGCTATCCGGCCACGGACCATCTGGGTTTCCGGGCCTGGAACTGAGGTGTGCCAGAACCTTTGCGTGTGCTTCCCTTCTGTCTGCTGAGCACTTAACACGGATTCTACGTAAGAAGTTGGGCACAAGGAGTCTTTGACAAAACTCATCCTGCACCTCTACCAAACTCTGCTTAGAAGGGCATCGAACTGAGCTGCCAGCTGGGTCCAGGCCTGGATAGAAACGATGGGAGGGGTCGTGGGCTGGGAGGTCAGCTGGAAACTGAATTGACGGATACCAGAGGACGGGCACCCTCACTGGTGCATCTGAGGCCGCTGCGTTTTAGCGTTATGCAAAACCCACTATTACATAATACTCCCCCACCCATACCTGAGCAGCACACCCCATTGGCGTCTCCGGAGGCTTCCTGGCTTCTCGCTAGCAATCGACGATCATTTTTCTATTCAGGCTTCTGCCACAAGACTGCCACATGCACAGTGCAAAACTTGACACCTTGTGACAGGCTCCTTTCCTCCTTCTTCTCCTCATCCTCATCCTCCTGATCCTCCTCCTGCTCCTCCACCTTAGGCCTCTCTCTCTCTCTCTCTCTTCCGGGTAGGAGAGAAGGGCAGCGTCCTGGCCCTTCTCCCGTGCGGTCCGCACACCCGCAACGCTTGGCGGGGCGATGTCCCCCCAAGGGTTTCACGACCCCAGAGGGCTCGGCTGTACGAAAACAAGTTCCCCCAGTCAGTGTTTGTCCAGGGGTGCAGTGTTGGTGACTATTCGTCGCCCATTGCAACCACGGCGGAGTTGTATTCGCCCCCAAAGCAAACCGAAGTACCCACTACAACACAACACAACAAGCGAAAACAATCTCCCCCAATTTGCTCAGTACAAGGAAGAGCGGTTACAGGTGAAAGCTGAGGTCCCGGCCAGGCGCAGTGTGCAAAGGAAACACACGACAGACTGAATACGACATGTGGCACTCTACTGCGGCACTCTACTGCACCGGCAGGGCCTCCCCCGGTTCGGCTCATTTGAGCGCTCAGTTCCCTCTCAGACGCCACCGTACTGCTCGCTGGAGCGCTCACTCCCCCTCTTGCCACCATACTTTTTGCGCTTGAGACGTGGTTTCTCAGGAGCGGCGCCAGCTGGGTGTTCTCGTCGACTCTCCCCCGCCGCCGTGCTCCTTTCTTGTGTGTCCGCTTCCATTGCAACTCGTAGGAAGGGGTTGGCGATGCCAGACGTCCCCCGAGCTGAGCTAGAGGTTGGTCTCCCCGAACTCTTCGGTTTGGTAACACGTAGACTGCGTGCTTGGTGCGAGTGGCTCTTTCCTCGCACGACGAACTGCCTGGTCTTCTTGCCTTCCTTGAGCTTTTTCGCAAAGTTCTCCCCCGCTTTGGCAGTGCTACTGTCGGCGTTGGTTTGTACACTCTCCTCCACGACCACGATTGCCACCCCGGCCTCGTCGTCGATGTCTTGTAAGACTCTGGAGTAGAGTTGCTCTGCTGCGGCTTCTTCGGTGATGCCGTGCTCCCTGGTTCCCTTAGACTCAGGGTGCGCACTGGAACCATCAGCGGCGCTGCTCGTGTGTCCCCCTGCACTGACTCCACAGATCTTCTTGAGATCGGTTTTGGAGACGTTGCCGAAGACAGTCTCGATGGCCGCTCGGGTTGGCCACACTGTCTCCCCCGCCTCCTCAGCAGATTCATCTTCGAGGAATCCATGTAAGTCCCCCGCTGGGCTTGTAGGGCTGTTCACCACGGGAACAGGTAGGTCAGGTGTAGAAGGTGCCGCTTCCCCTGCCGGGTCACTCCAGTCTGGATCCGGCGTTCTTGGAGCAACATCCAGCGCTGGGTCTGTCCATTCAGGTGCAGGTTGTTCCCCTCCGCTGACGGGTCGTTGTGAAGACGCTTGGTTTGGAGGAGCTTCTTCCCCCCCTTTGACACACTGCACCGACGGCTGAGAGGGTTGCAGTGCAGGCGGCGATGGTGTGCCGCTGCCTCTCCCCCGGCCGGTGCTCTGAAGGACATGGTTCACTTCGGCGAAAGGCACCCCCAACTCTCTCTGGAACCTAATCTTGCATGCCGTATGGAGGTCCTTGGCGAGGAGCGGGTTGTCCGTGAGCTGGTTCATGATCTGTTCTCTCATGTCCTCCCCGTCGAACACTTTGAGCATCATCATGGTTTCGTAGGCGAACTCGGCTAGCTTGTTGACCAACTCCGAGCTTTGTTCCTCCCCCAACTTCGCATAGTGCTGCGGTTGACGGTCTCCCCCGGGACATGCAGCAGCCCTGCAGCTTTGTCCCACCAGAGTTGTTGACCGAGGAGTGGCTGGTAACGGTTAGTGACCCAGGTGCGCGCTGAGCGCCTCTGTTGGTGCGTCCCCCGAAGGGGGTCAGCACCAGGCTCTCCACTTTCACTAGTGGAGCTCGTGCACTCCTCCACGGTATCATCCTCTGTGTCAGGCTCCGGTGGTCCCCCAGCAGCTGGTGGATGAGGGACTGCCGTGCTAGCGCTTGGTGAAGACTCCCCCACTGTTGGGGGTTTGCGGCGCCCTTGCGGCACCCCGTAGTACTTGCATCCAGGTGCGAGGCGGTTATGGGCTACGTGGCGGCCCATATTCCCACTGTTACAAATGTAACATTGCTCCACCTCCGAGGTCGCCATGGCTGCTTGTTTGGCTGAGTCTCGAGGTGCTGGCTGCAGGTACGTAGGCGAACTGCACATGGCACTGGCATAGAACTGCACTGTTCTCAGCAAGACGAACTGACAGTTGCTCTTCTCTTGGTTGCGCTCTCTGGTGCTGTAGGGTGTGGGCTTGTGGTGTTGTTGGTGCATGCTGTGTTGCCGTAAAGAGAAGGTTGCATGAAGGTGTTTCACGGTGTTGTGGTTGTTGCTCCTCCCTGTCTGTTGCAGCCCCCGCTCCCCCTTCAGTGTCGGAGATCACAGTTTCTCCGACAAGGTCATCATTCAACTGTGAGTCGCCGGGTGGGCGGGCCACGTCTCCCATTGGGCAGGAGGTTGTCTTGTATTGTTTGTTGCTTCCCAGTGGCCCATGGTACATCATAGCGGTTCACGAAGGCTTGGGTGAGGTCGTGCCACTTTAGTCGGTCATGTGCTATCTCCCCCCAGTGTGTGTGCCTGCAATGGCCTCGATTGCTCTCTCCACGTCTGCTTCTGGGTTGAAGTGGCCCACATGGGTGACTCTCTTCTTTCGCGGTTTGCTCTGCTGTTCCCGCCAGAAAGCAAGGTTTTTCCAGGTGACCATTGCATTGACTTCTTCCCCTCCGCGGGCCATGTGCCCCCATAGTGTCCAAATGCGTCGCAGGATGTAGGTTGACCATCTTTCTCCCCCCATGCGGTGCAAATGCACTCTGGCTGCCCGTAGGCTTCGAGTGTGCCAGCTGGCCCACGCCTCTGTGGGTTGCCGGTGCAGGAAAAGCATTCCCCGCAAGTGCTGCATTTGGAGAGAATTTGCTGCTTTGAGAAGCCGGTGGTGGACTGGCCATGTCTCGGCGGCGTAAAGGGCTGAGTTGCGGACTAAAGTGCTGTATGCAGTCCACCTGGTGTTGATGTGTGTGCGGGCCATGAGGATCTTCTTGTGCTTGGCGAAGGCTTGTCTTCCGCGGCGGCTCATCTCTGCAACCAGTGCCGCTGTTTGTTCCCCGAAGGTGATTTGGGAACCCAGCGTTGCGATGATGGTCTTGTGTGGAGCGCAGTCCACGGTCTCGCCTCCAATGTTGAAACTCCCCCCTCCGGTTGGTTGGCTGTAGAGTATGGCTGTTTTTGTGGGGTGAATTTCAAGGCCATCGGTTGCGAGCTCCTCTTCGAGGGAGGATAGCGTCCTCTGGAGGTGGTCTCGGTCTTGCGACCAGAGATAAGTATCATCCAGGAACGATCCCCCGGTTCTTGGAGGTGGTGGTCCGCCTTTGGCGTCTGGTGGTTGTTCCCCCCCTGCTGCGATTGCTGTTTGGAGGTCTCGTGCCACAATGGCTCCAAAAAGGTCCGGAGAGTCGGGGGGAACCTTGTCGGATGCCGTTGGTTTGTGGGACAGGTGTGATGCTGTCCCCCACTGCAATGTTGAGTGAGCGTGTGTGTAAGATGCTCAGCCAGAGCAACGCCTCCCATGGCATCCCCCCACCGTCGGTAGGTACAGGGCATCTTGAGGACGGCACGCCCCCCACTCTGGCGGCAACGAGCTCACTGAGACTATGTTGCCAGACACTATCGAATGCCTTGCGGATGTCCAGCTTAATGAGCCACATCCCCACCCCCCAGTCGCGCGCCATTCGTGTTACGCGACGAATTGTTGCGATGAGTTCCACCCCTTGCCTGCCTTTGCGCGCCCACTGCAGAAAAGCGCGCAGCGCCTGATCTCAGCAGGTCCCCCCTGGCAAGTAGCAATTGCGCCAGCCATTTGAGCAAGGTTGAGCTTAACATGATGGGTCTAGTTTCCCCCCAGTGGAGTGGCTGTGGAATCTTGGGCAGGAGGACTGTTATCCCCCTATCCACACTTTCCGGCACCTTCGCGACGTAGAAGATGTCATTTAGGACGTAGAGGATTTTGTCCCCCCAGTAAAGGTCAGCTTGGAGCGCACGGGCTGCTTCGTGGGAGATGCCGTCGGGCCCTGTGCTCTTGTTCTTTGCCCAGGTAGCTGATGTGTGTTCAAGCTCGTGGCGTTGAAAGGGCTGCCAAGGTGTGATCTTGCACTTCCCCCGAAGCTGGTGTTGTAGGGCAAGGATGCGTGCCGTACTATGTACTGGTTGCGGCTTTGCAAAGATGCCTCGCATGTGCTTGCTGAGTTCCTGCTGCCACTGCCCATCGTCCTGCAGGTGTAGATGCCATCCTTTTTTGGTGCTTGCATGGTGTAGAGACCTCATGGCTTTCCAGTCGAGGGTTGCTGCGAGGGTGGCTTGTTTGGCTTCCCATGCTCGTCGCTCTTGTTTGCGTTGCTTGTGTACTTGTTTCCAGAGCGTTCGGGAGGCTCCCCCGGGCTGCGAGTGTTGTGCTTGCCGCCTGAGTTGTTTGAGCGCCACGCTCTCCGTGAAGCGGTTGCAGCCCCCCCCCGGTGTTGTAATAGCTTTGGCAATGGTTGCGAGTGTGTGGCAAGGGTCGTCACCAGTCGGAGCGGGTACCCTCAGGAGTTGATGCACTTGGCTGTCGGGCCGTAGCTTGCGCGGCCCCCAGGTAGACTGGACTGCCCCCCCTCCCTTATGTGCCACGACCGGGACTTTCACCGCATCATGATCCGAGGCTGCCCTGTCCTTGCAGGGGCACACGGAGCCACCCCCTACTCCCCCCCCGGCACAATGATGTAATCCAGCCGTCGAGGTTGCATCAAGTGGTTGTAAGGGTGGTAGGTGGGGACGTCAAGTTGCTGTGGCGGGAGTGTGAAGCTTTGCTGTGCCATCCACTGCTGTAAAAGGTCCCCTCTGCCAGTGTGTGCGACTCCCCCGGGTAGGTTGGGGTGGTGTGTAGAAAAGGTCTCGTTGGCGTCAAGGCCAATGTAAGCTTTCCCTGCTCCGTTCAGCTGCTCTCCCCAGTCTGCTAGAATTTGTTCGGTGTGTGCAATTGTCGCGTGGTGTGGGATGTGGCCTGCGAGGACCCGGCAGGTTTTGGTGGTGTGCTTGTTCTTGAGTGTGGTGGCCACCCCTGCTGCTACGATGACACTGTGGTGATGGGTGAAAACTTGGGATCGGTGTGCGACTGCCTCTCCTCTGAACTCTCCCTCTTGCTTGCCAAAGACGATCTGCCAATGCTCGGATTCTTCATGAAACAAACCAGGCTGCGTTATGATTTCTTGCGCCAGGACCACGTCGGCGCATGCCAGTTCTGAGTTCCCCCGGAAGCTTTCGAGGATGTCCAGCATCTTTTGGGCCGAGACACCGCCGACGTTCCAAGAGAAGATCCAAAGGTTGTTGCCGGTTGTATTCCCCCCGGCACGGAGGTGAGACGAAGGCTCGCCGGCTGTATGTCTGCCAGCGTTCGTTTGGTCGAGCGTGGTGCCCCCCCCGACCTGGGGATGAAACTGGTCCTCCCCGAAGTCGTCTCAGTTGAGCTCCGCCTTGAGCGGGCCCCACACTTTGTCGACTTCTTCACGTGTGTGACGCGTGGCCTTGGCGATGGCGTCCAGATTGATCCACCCCGGGCCGGCTTCTTCAGTCCCCCGTGGCTGCGGGGCGGAGGCTGAGCTCACTTTGACTGCGTCGACCCAGGAGCTTCCCGTGCTGAACTCCGTTTGTAGGAGGGCTTTGTCTCCCCCAAGCGTGAGGTAAAGTCGCTTGGTTTTCGCAGCAAGGCGGGCACGTCTGCGACGATCTGGCGGCTGCGACATAGCGATCCAGACCCGCCTGATTGATCCATCTGAGCGTGCTCCTAAGCACACGTTAGCTCCCCGAACTTTGCTGATGACATCCTGTACTCGTTGACGTCGCTGTTCAAAATGCTCCCCCGGTCTTTCATCGATGGGAAGAATGGCGTATCCCCTTCGGACGCCAAGGACGAACATTGCTTGGAGATCGATGGGTGCATCCACCGAGTTGAGCAGGTCGGAGACGGCTTCTTTGGTAGTGGCTGCGTCTTGATCGGCTTCCCAACCGCCAATCACCAGAGCTGGTCGCCGTCCAGGCTCAGAAGGGAGGACTGTACTCTCTGCAGTGGAGCTCCCCCCTCCGTGCTTCTCCAACTGCTCCAGACGGTAGGTGACCTCTCGGTTCGCATCCTGCAACTGCTGTAGAACTTCTCCGTGTGCTGTGTGTTTCCCGGGCACTTCGTCCAAGAGGTTACTATCAATTTCAGCCATGCCTTGAACCACTGCCTAGGCATTTACTGCTTGCCCAATGGCCGCTGGGTACATGGCAAGACTATAAGATTTGGAGTTTGGCTCGCGCCACGGGGCGCTTTGCTTGGGCACCCCTTGGTATCCACTCTGCACCCAGGGTGCTCCCGCACTGTCCTTTGTGCCATTGTCGCGATGTGACGCTGTTACATCTGCTCAAATATTGTTCTCAAACACGATCGCTCAGGCGATCTTTCAGGATTGAGACTGTGGTCACTGACAGCATTTTTTTGCACAATATTTTCGCCACGAGACCTTCCACCGACAGTCGCCAGCTGGATGGGCCAATCAAATTTGCAGCAGAGTGTATTCGTCTGGTGGCTGCAAGGCTAGATGCACAGGCTTTTCCTTAGCCGCCTTCTGAAAGATGCTGCGCGGTTCAGGTTCAGCTTGGAGCTGTGTGCATCTCTGCCTTGTCTGTGTTGGAACCCTTCGCCCGTGATGGCGTAGCTTCCTGTGCAGCCTGCCCTCGCTTAAGCAACCTAGCTCCCCAGGCCCTCTCCGTCGTCTTGCCCCTAGATGCTTAGGCTCGCCCGGAGTTCGCTAGCAATGTTCTAGCTCCGCCTGACCGAGTCCCACAAAGTCACAAAGTCACAAAGTCACAAAGGTTGATTGTCTGCTGCATTTGGGTGGTGACTTGGTGCTCCACCTTGTCGATTCGGCGCCCAAATCCCCAGAGCTCTTGCTTGAAGTCAGACATAGCGTCTTGGAGCTCCCCCCGAACGGCTTCACGAATAATATCGATGGTGAGTGCTGGGTTCTCTGCGTCCGGTACTTTACGCTTTGGGGCTCCAGCAGATCCCCCAAGGCGGTCGACAGCCATGTCTTGTGCTGCACTGCTTTGTGCGGCCATGGTTCCCCCCAGAAGATCACTAGGTTCGCGAGCTGCAAATAGATATCACGTTCTCTCCCGCAATGGGTTTGATCTCCCAGCCTCGTTGGACCGGGCCTAGTTGACCTGCAGGTAATGCACCTGTAGTGCCGCCAAGCCGGTCAGGTAGTTGTAGTCAAGGTCCCCCGCACGCCTCCAAGAGGGATCACGTTGGGCTGCACTCTTGACGTACTCGCCCGGCTCAACCCCTGCGATGTACAGCGCACACTTGCCGTTCCCCGTGTACAGCAATCGCGGCAGAAGAGAGGAAGGAAGCAAGCCCTCGGTTGGAGTGCGAGGTGGCGAGAGCAAGTGAGAGGAGGAAAGAGGAAAGAGAAAGGGGGGCGGAAGCCACCTCGTCACCCTTGAACCGCTCACGGCTTGAGCCAAAATGGCTACTCTCTCTCTCTCTCTCTCTCTCTCTCTCTCTCTCTCTCTCTCTCTCTCTCTCTGTACATGTACACACACTTGTATGGCTTTTGGAGGTCCCTGTAAGAAAATAACACAAAAAAGTAACAAGCCGAAAAAGTCTCCAAGAGCGGCACAGCCATCATCACGATGCCACGGCGAACGGCGCGGATAGCAATCGAATATGAGACTTCATCTCGTGCAGAGTCATACTTCGTGTGGTCGCGAGCACGGCTTCTTGAAGCTCGAGGCTGGAACAAGCCGCGTTCGTGTTCGGAAGCAAGAATGCAAGTCGGTCGGCAGTCAATTCGGCACTCTTGCGACAGATGTGTTGTGCCGTGCTTTGCTTAAACAGCTAGTGCTACAGGTTCAGAGGGCTTCACCAAACAAGCCGCAGGCACCATTGAGGAGTGTTGCCCTCAGACTTCTCATAGCCAGAGGCAAACCTTCGCCGAGGCGACGAAGAAAACACCCGGCCCGTCGTTCTACTCCGGCTTTCGTGGATAGAAACTGAGGGCGCAAACGGCTCTGGCATCTGGAAGGGCGTGCGATTTCCACCGGGCGTCAGGTTCCTGCACAGGGCTCCAGAACATCCTGAAGGGCCCCCAAGTCTCAAGGCACCCTGAGCGCCACACCCGGCCAAACCCGGTGTGCCAGGATTCAATCCTGCCGAGGTCTTCCGCTGCTCGTAGGAGTTTGGGCTTTCCGGCTTGCTAAGGCCCTAGGGTGCTAGGGGTTTGAGTCTAAAATACAAACAGTCAACAGAACGATGCAATGCGGCGTCTTTCATGAATCGTACCCTTGCAAATTCCTGTTCAAGGGACTTCCAGCAAGATCTGCCGCTGCAACCATCAAATGACCTGCAAAAGCCAGCCCTGCTCATGCCTGGCGTCATGCCGCCTGCAACTCCAGGTGTCATGGCCTGTGGTTGGAACTCACGACGGTGTGGAATATCCGCACATGGCAGCCAGGTAAAAGAAGAGGCATTATCAATGTCCCTGCTCGTCTTCTTCTTTAGAACGGCTATTGCTTGCTTGCTACTGGCTTGCAGCAACCTTCCTCGGGCGCGAGGGCACACCCGCGGTTCTTGCGCGGGATTGTCCCTCCCTTGGGAGGGATCGGCTGTACATGAGGTGGCCTTCTCAGAAGCTGGCCCTCTCTCTCTCTCGCTGCAAGGTTGACGGACGGGATCTCGCTGGGGATTGTTCATTCAAGGATTTCAGTATATTTTAGGGTAAAGTTTGGGTTTCTTCAGGCTCGCGGCTTCGCTGCCGCCAAGAGTCCGCACCAAGGCCAGCCGGAGTGGAGGGCCTGGAGCTGAGAAAGGCAAAAAAAAACACAAACTCCCGGATACGAATGAAATACCTTAATGGGTGTAGTGTGCACCTGCGCGAACTATCTCCCTTTGATCTGGATGAGTCGACCTACTTGTGTCTGTAATCATCCAGGTGTGTCCGGCTTGGGCAGCTCGTGCCAACAAACACACTGCAATATCAGAGAATAGCACTCTGCCTCTCCAACTGCACACATGCTTGGCACATCTTTGTGCATGTAAATGCAGATGGACATTTGTCTGCATCCAGGCACGCATGCCTACCGACCTTCCCTCTGACCCGCCCAGCCAACGGAACGGATGATCACAGAGACACGGCCAAACAAGAAACACAAGACGGAAAGGTTCGCAGAAGAACAGCGACAAACGGGACAGAGAGAGACAGACAGCCAGCCAGACAGACAAACAGACAGGGTCTGTGTCTGTCACGCACAAAGCAGAGAAATCAACAACATGGGCAAACAAACTAGAGGCTGCTGCAGACTGTTAAGCCTACAAAGCCACCTAGCAAACTAGCTGCCTGGATTCAAACTGGATACGGTAAGTCTTTGTCTTGCTGACGAACACGTTCAGATATAGCTCTCAGCAAACTAGGAAAGAAAAGTCGGGCACTTTGTGCTTTGCGCTTGAAAGAGCAGGGCCCAGATGCCGCTGTCACCGAGTCCCTGACTGGAATTGCGGCTGCTGGTTGACAAACACACCGTAATCCTCATTGCAGTCTTGAGGCTCGGACTTACCAACGGCTCAAACCCTGTCATCGTTCAGAACCCGGAGGCTGTTGCTTTCATCAACTGACTGAACTTTGGCTGTCTCCTGCCGCAAAGAGAATAATTCTAATCCTTTTGCCCTTCCTCGTACTTCTTGCGAATCTTGGCCACGACGTCGGGGGGAGCCTTGCTGCTTGGGTTCGAGGGCAGCTTGAGGACTGGCACACGAGGACGCGACGACTTTGACGCCCTTGATCGCCATGCCATCGCCTGAGCCGAGGCTGAGGTGCTTTGATGAGCTCTGCCCCAGCTGTGCCCCAGCTGCGCGGCCTCGTTCCAGCTTGTACCATTGCCGGTACTGGTCGAAGACTTCCTTCCCTAGCTTCCTGAGCACAGTGGGACATGCCCCCAGGGCGACGGCATTTTTAGGGCCCTGCCTCTTTTCGTCTTCCCTCAGTAGCTGCCGCAGCTCCTGATCCGCGAAGAGGCAGGACCTGAGCGCACCCCAAGCAACATCGCACCTCCCACCGACGGCAAATGGTTCAAAATGCCGGGAGCGGATTGCCACGGCTGGGCTCACGGAAACATTTGTGTAGATGGCTTAGCATGGGAGGCCCATACCGACTTCACCAGGTCCAGGGCTTGTAGAGCAACAACCGACAACCACAACAACTGCGACTGCGACACGTTTCTTTGGCTTGAGAGCCTCTTTGCCAAGCTCAGAGAGGGCCGAGCGTTTTCATCGCCAGGCGGATCATCGCAGAGAGGCGAGCAACCTGATCAGGTCAACGGGGATGGGTACTGGGAAGGAAGCGGAAACAGCAATGTAAGAAAACTGCTCGGGAGATCAATCATGTTTGTAGGAACAGCAGTGATGCGAGCGGTGGCGCTGACGGTGGCGGCGGCGGCGGCGGCGGCGGCGGTGGTGGCGGCAGTGGTGGAATTGGCGGTAGCAGTTTGTCCGCAGCCGTATCCGTAGCAGTAGCAGCACTGGTAGCAGTAGCAAAAGCAGTAGCGGTAAGCAGTAGCAGTAGAAGCAACACTAGTAGTAGTAGTAGTAGTAGTAGCAGTAGTAGTAGTACTACTACTACTACTACTACTACTACTACTACTCCTGCTGCTGCTGCTACTACTACTACTACTACTACTACTACTACTACTATTACTACCACGACTACTACTACTACTACTACTACTACTACTACTACTACTACTACTACTACTACTACTACTACTACTACTACTACTACTACTACTACTACTACTACTACTACTACTAGCAGAAGCTAGTCGTCGTCGTAGTCGCTGTCGTAGTGGTGGCAGCAGCAGTAGCAGAAAGCGGCAGCAGTAGTAGCCGTAGCCGTAGCTGCAGCGGTAGCAGTAGCAGTGGCAGGAGTAGGAGTAGGACCAGGAGCAGTAGCGGGAGGAGCAGGAGCTGGAGCAGGAGCAGGAGCAGCAGCAGGAGCAGCAGCAGGAGTAGATGTGGGAGTAAGAGCAGTAGAGTAGTCGTCACATGTAGTACTCACTATATCTCACTATGTAGTAAGTAGCATGTATCATGTACTAAGCAGTGATTACTATTATGTACTATGTACTATGCAGTATGTACTTGTACTATGTATGATGTACTATGTAGTAACTAGCGCGTAGCATGCAGCACGTAGCATGAACTATGTAGTATGCAGCACGTAGTACGTAGTATGTACTATCTAATATTCACGCTGTGCAGGTGAAGGTGGTGGCGCTGGGAAAGTTGTAGCAACACATACCGGCTTCGGCTCCTCGAAGCCAGCTTCGAGGGCCGGTTCATGAAAAGTTACGTAGATTTGAAGTTTGGGTCGCACTACTTTGGCCAGCTTGCCAAGGTTCGGCTGTTGCTTTGCAAACATCGTGGGAGTTTGAGATCTTCTTCGCGGAACTGAATCTGCAGCCATCTGCTTATGTCACGAGCCTAGACCCTGAAGCTGCCGTTAGCAAAGCCTGCTCACTTAGTCCGAGTCCTGCACAAACTCACTCAGCCCATACGCGCCTTTTACACGTGCGAGTCGTCTATACTTCGGACTTCGGAAAAAGATAAGATCCTTAATATGACGTACCATTCGCGATATGTTGCACGAACGTCCTAGCGAAATGTGATAACCTATTACACGCCGAGAAAGGACTGGCTGGGAGTCGTTTTGGTGCCGTCGGTATGCGGTTTTAACATAGTAGTTCCATGAGATGCCACGTGTACAGTCCCGGGAAGCAGGCCCAGTTCACACGGGAGATCTCGACGCCTGGAGTGAGCATCCACGGAATGTCGGGTCATCTGTGTAGGGCCTTTGGGGCAATTCTCATGCATGCTTGCGTAGATGAGTGCTCTGCGGATTCGATTCCCTAATCTTTTGCCGCACCCCCTCCTGAGACCTCCTCCCTGCATGGCAGTCGCTGCTGCACACCGGGGTCGAGGCGGGAGGTCATGTTCGGCTTCCACTGGTACCTGACCGATCCGGGGATCCCCAGTATGATACGCAATAGTTGCTAGGGCTCGGAAGGACGATCGCTTTAGCAGAGGCCTCCTTGCAAGGAGAGCTGGGAATCGGCTTAGAGTTCACTTGCGGAGAAGGCCGGCCTTTGCTTCAGCTTCTTCAAAATCTCCGTCACGCCTCAGGCACGGGCATAAAATTGCGTAGAACAAGAAGGAAACTTGCTCTGACTGACGACTTCTGGGCAAGAAGCCCATCATCGATCATCATCGTCACCATCATCATCGCCATCATCATTCCGAACCGCATCGTTATCTTCACGGTCGTCGTCGCCGTCACGATTCAACTAAGGCCCTGGCCCTGGCGGACGCCGGCGAGGTCTTTGGTCTCCAAGCTGCGGTCCGGGGCTTGGAATGGCTTTGAGATGCGGGGAGTCTTTTGAGAGGCTTTGTGGCTTCGGGATTTAAGCCTCCGAGTCCTCCTCGCCTCGCTGTGGGACGGACTCTCAGGTTTTTGGCCCGCGCTTCCGAGGGGCCTCATCCCGCTCTCCGTCTGCAAGTCCCTGGCTTGCTTGCCTGGCACACGACAAAAAGGCACAAGTACTGAGAAGGATGAAAAAAAGACGATCTCTGCGCCTCCCACGAGATCTTCCTCCAGGAGGTAGGGCCTCGAAGGGAAGCGACTGAGCGACTTTCAGCGCCTTTTTGCAAAGACTCGGCTCCGGCCTGAGCCGGTCTCTGAAGTTGAGATAGGCGCGGATCTGCTTGCCTGGAGATCGGAGCAGAAGCAGATGCCTTCCTTCACTGCTGCACTTGGACAATCTGAAACAAGCGGCATGCGTCAGGCAATCTTGTGACGCCATGTGAGACCTGACTTTGGCCATCGACTCTGAGGTTGCTGCTGCACTCCTCCGGAGCCTTCACCTGAAGGCGTCAAGGCTACGGAAAGGCTTGCGCCGTCTGTCAAAGCACCGACGACCTTCATCGACAGCGTGCTCCACTTGATCTCGATGTCCCGCTCGATGCTGAGCATGATCTGGCAAGTGGCAGCCGGGAGTCGGGACCCACGAGAAGCCTAAGGGCAGAGGAGTTGAGGAACTGTACTGTACTGTGCTGCCTGGAGCTGCCGCTGTATGGTCAGCGTGTGCAACTGCATCAGATGTTCCTTTCCGGAGCTCTGCACGGGCCAAGCCAGCAACTGCCAAAACCGCCCCGTGCTTGGCCCCTCAGGCGCTCCTGCGACGGGGCAATCCGCCACTCCTGCGCGCAGGCAGGCGGAATTGGGGACCATCTTGGGTCATGGAGGCACTCACGGCCTGCCTACCTGAAGTTACTGTCTACAGATCAAAGCTCAGTGCGAGGGCCCACATCAAGTTCACATGCTCAACTATGCTTGCCCCAACCGCTACCCGGACTGAGGCATCAGCGGTGCCCAAGCGGTTCAAGGAATCCTGAGCACCGCCACAAATCGATGCGGTGGGCCGACTTACGACGAGTGCAGTGGTGGTGAGTGCTGCGCAGCACATGCGTCGGACTGCGATGTCGATGCTTTTTCCCCAGCCGTTGCCCTGGACATAGAGGCCCTTAGGGCCACTTCGGGGCTCGGGACCGCGGAAAATGGAACGGCCGATGCTGGCAAACCTCGGTGTGGCTCACACAGGGAATGTCAAAGGAAGCGACCGGTGTGATGCCCAGACTCAAAGGAATCGCCCATGCAGCAACCAAGTCACGTTCGTGAACGCTGCAAGGTTCGATCAGTTCCGGCCACACCTGAGGAGCTTTGCCAGTCCCACTTTCAGGAAATCTGGTAGCGTGCGCGAGTATGCGCCGACGATGCCTGCGGAAGAGCCTGGCGTGGCCACCCGCGAGTCCACGGAAAAGCTTTTCGGAGTGCCCTGTCGGCTGCTCGCAGCCACTTGCGCAAGGACAGGGCTGCCTGACAAAGCTTGCATCTCATGGGATTCCATGCAGCGCTGGTAGAAGTCAAGCCCACACTTTGAGCCTGCGAGGCTGGCAAGCGTCTTCTGCATTAGCACGCCGTCCAGTGCATCCCTGGGCACTGGCGCTTGTGGCGCTTGCTCAGGATCGCCGACGTGCCTCGTGGGGCATAGAGGCGACAAATCAAGGTCCCTCCCAGTCAGAATTCCTTGATTTTTGCTCCTCGTGTTCCGGCTTCCTGCATGATTCCACTCCGCGCGCCATCGCTTCATCAACAGGTAGCACTTCAAACTTCAAACATAACAACAACACCCAATCGGACCTGAGCATGCTCAACTGAACTGGTCAGCCAAAGAAAGATTGAGAGCAAGCAGAACTTACCTCGCAACCCGTGCGGAGCATAGGCTGACAACGACTATCCTCACAAGACGCAATATGGGGGGCCTCATTGTATCCAACCTAGAACAGGGTGTTAGGTCAATGTTACGCCTTGAATACGACTATGAGGGAGTCTTCTCGAACCCGGAATACAAACTTTCGGTCGGGTTTCCTGGCTGCCCGGCTGTCAGTGCACGGAGCCCTGCTCGCACCTCGGGTGTCAGCATCTATCTTCATATAATATAGTCACTGCTCCTGTTGAGGTCCTGCTGTTAATTGCTCGTGCTGCTGCATACTGCGTTCCCACCGCCACCGCCACTACCTCACCAGTGCTCACCACCACTGCCACCAGCACCACCACGACTTCGACTACAGCGATGACTACTACTACTACTACTACTACTACTGCTACTACTACTACTACTACTACCACTACTACTACTACTACTACTACTACTACTACTACTACTACTACTACTACTACTACTACTACTACTACTACTACTAGTGCTACGACGACGACTACTACTACGACGAGTACAAGTGCTGCTACTATCGCTTCTGTGAGCTTTGAAGTGCCTTTTGCAAGTCTTTTCTTGTGATCATCTGTCTTGCTAGTCGAGACTTAGCATTAGCGTCGTCAACTTCACAAGTCTCCAGATGTCAAGCATGACATCGCTGCTGTCCCTGACGCTCTTTGGGACCTTTAGGATTAGTGCGGCGACATGAATAATGAACAGGCCGATATGGAACATGAAGAAAACAAGCAAAGGATGTCACGCGACAGCTTTTGCAGCATTGCTGCCCCACAAGCCCTCCGCACAAACCTTGCCTGTTCGGTCTTCAACCCAAGCCACCCGAGAGACAGCCGTTCGGTTGCTCGGTCGATGCAGCAGCAGCCTGAGAAAATATCAAGTTCAGAGTGGTTCAATGTTATTTTGGAGCTTGAAGCTCTTTACAAGCTGTTTTATATTAGGGCTTCGTTAGGCTGCTGGGTTTGATCTGTTGGCGGCGGTCTCGTGAAGTCATGGTTTGGGTCAAGGAATTGGAGCGGAGAGCTTGTTTTGTCTGGGATTCTTTCGCCCGGGGTGCGACATGCAGTGGAACTACGGCTGAAAGCCGTGCTTTAGCAAATGAAAAACCATCTTCAATACAGCACTCGAAAATACTCGAAACGCATCGATCGGGCCACGACCCCCAGACTTCAGTGTACAGTGGATCTGAACATTACAATTACAACCGGCAAAATAGGAGGCGAGACCCAAGCTTGATGTCGACGACGACATAATGTCGTTGATTAGGGATGCATGTTTGCAAATGCCCCCATGCTGTGTACATGGGACTGTCAACATCCTTACGAGCGAGCACTGAACAAGACACAAGGACAAGCCGATGCGCTCGTCACTGCCGGAGAACCTGCTTTTGTCGCAAAGCAAAAGTTGAAGATTTTACGCAGAACAGGGTCGCGTCCGCTGCCGGTATTCCTGCGTCCAAAATCCATCCAACTATTCCGCTAGCTTCGTTGGCATCACGGTTTATTGGCTGCCAGCACTCTGCCCATGTGAACGAGTACGCCGCGACGACGAGAGCGATATTGCGGACACGAAAATCGGCAGGCGAATCAGATCAACAAAAACTGGCATGACAACATGACCGATGCAAAGTTTCTCGCATGTGCAGCAGAATAACTCAAATCGTGCAGAAGTTCTGCGCCTCCGTTCGCTTCGCTGTGATCTAACATGGTCAAGCTATAAGGCTATAACAATATACCAGCCGGGATTTAACATCCTTTTCTGCACAGGTCATGTGCCCTGGCCCCAAATTCTGAGAGCTGGTGTTCGAGCTGGTCATGAAGATAGGACGCATCAAACCCCAGGTAGATGCCACCTACATCGAAGAAGTGGATCCACGACCATTGTGCACGTCGTTGATTCGTCGACATGGTCGAGTGGCACATCTCGTCAAAAAACGAAGCAAGAGGAAACTCGGAGTTTGAAACCCACCCGTTTAAACGAAGTCGCGCTCTGTAACAAAAGGAACGACGGAAGCCATCGCCTTCCTACAAGATTTCGTAAGAAATGTCATCTGGAGAGCACCCTCTCGCCACGCGACTTCATGCAAGCATGATGTGCGACTTGACTGAAGAAGCATTGAACGATTTTAACCTGAGAGGAAACAATCTGTCGGAGATCAACATCCTCAACTCAACTATTCAAGTTCACGCAGGAAGACTCTCCTGACAGTACAGCAGATAAACTCCTGAACACCAACGCAGATTTTCATGATCAGCGTTCAGGAGTCATGTGCATTTGCTGGCACACCTGAAGCTGCAAGAAGCAGAGCCATTCGAATGCAATGTCTGAGACAAGGAACGATGCCAAAATCAAGATGCAACCAAAACATGGCACAAGTGATCCCCAGTCTGCAGTCCAGGTGAAGGAGAATCCATATCAATGCACGCAGAAACTGCTGTGTCGGACCGCGCTGCAAATTGGAGGATCAAACTGACGAACGAAGACACATGAACACCCAAACGGGCATGAACCGATACCTGGCCGCAGTTCGAAGAGTTGGACAGACAGGACAAGCGAAACACGCAAGCGATGGCAAGCGTCCACCAGCTGCCCAACACTGCTACGCCACAGGCAAAGCACGGAAAAGCGACTAATCTACTGCTTGAGCTGGCACGTCTAGGCGAGGCAACGGGGAGATTTCTTGGCAGAGATTAACAACTGCGACTCACCGAACCAGCTGGAATCTCTCAGAACGAGGTCAGGATCCCAGCCTGTTCTTTTCCGAAGCAGAAGCTTCCCCTGGCAGCGGTCTCTGGGGCTCTTTAAGCGCTTTAATGGAGACGCACGGCCTTGTGCTATATTGTGCCATGCAATGCTGCACGAGTCTTGTAAATGTTGCAATTACTAGCACATTCACCCGAAAGTGCTTGTGTTTGTTTGACGTTTACAAGGCCACATCAAGAATGGCAACGTGTGTGTGCACAACTGTACGACTCCTTGTACCGATATACCCCATTCCACATTGCTTGCAGGCATTCAAGAGGCGTGCTGTGCTGGCCTCATGTCTAACAGTTGCAGCAGCGCATCGTCGGTACCGGCTTCGTCGCTGGCGACCTGGCGCCTGCGTCGTGCGTCGTCACTGAGCTTCCGCACTGGAGGGCAAGATATGACTAGATCGTACTGGGCGAAGGACGAGCTTTCGATAGCTTTGGTGTTGTCGTGCTGAGTGCTGTCTGTTTCGCCTGTACAAGCCTTCAGAACTTCGACAGGCCTGGCGATGGCCGGCCCTTCGAAGTGAGCACCTGGGGAGGCCTCGGGCGCACGTGTGACTTCTGCGGCTGTGCCGCCCGAACTTCGACAAGATAAGATGGGCCTGAGCCCTTTAAGATCACTAGACGAAACGATACCGATGGGACCATACGCGATTCTAGTTCCACTTCAAACGCAGCACAGAAGACCACCGCTACACTAGCAAAATAGCTCTGACCCTGAGGTCGGCCCAGTCTGAAGGGACGAATGCACCGACTGCAACAGAATGTTCTGCGTGTTCTCCAGCTCCGTAGCAAAGAGCAAAGATGGGAGTCGCCGTAAGACACTCTGACATCAGATCCCTTGGACCAGAACTCGCCTCGGCGCTCTCTGCCAGCTCCCGCTGCTCCCGGTCTTCCAGGGACAGGCACATGGAAGAGGCTGTGCCTGGCTCTGGCTCAGCCCGAGCGACAGAAGGGCAGCGACCATCGTAGCAGCAGGCGAGAGCTAGAGGAGCAGTGGAGGAAACAACTAGGACTTGCTGACATGCTAGGACTGGACGAGTTCGATGACGATGACGATGCGGGCGAGGATGAGGATCAGGATGAGGATGATCATGTTGTGCAACACACTACATTCCACGGGCTTCAGGCACAAAGAAGTGAGGGCTCGGGAGCCCAGGCCTGCAAGGCGAAAGCGAAGTCGGAAGCATCCAAAGTCCCTTCTGACGGATACCATCCGCGACACCGCAACCCACCCATATCCTGCTTATGCAGCAGGCCGGGGCCTGCGAGACTCGAGTCATTGCACGTCGTTGCGGAGGACCTCGGATGAGCCAAACCCGCAAAGAGCCCCTGCCCTTCGGCTTGGAGATAACGGCATCGTGCGTTCTCGCGTGGGCGCTTCTCAGATGCCACGGTGCACCGGTGCCATCCGAGCGGCTGCTCGAAACCCTCCTGAGTCAGAGGTTTAGCAGTTCACTTCAAGGGCACTAGGATCACTTTGTCAATCCGCGCAGGCCTTGTTCATTCCCTCTGAACCACATTCCCAGTTTTCCTTCGCTGCCCCTCGGTCCAATGCCCGAACCCCATCCCAGGCCTTCCCTGTGGGCAGGCTCGTGGGCTGCCGAAGGTGCGTGATGCTCGGAGTCCTGAGTCGCTCAAGAATAGAACCGACTAGACTGAAATAACCTAAAATAGAACTAACAGAATAGAATAGAAGCGAATAGAAGTGAGTAGAAGCGAACAGAACTGAAGAGAATAGAACAGACTACAACAGGATAGAATACAACAGAGTAGAACAGACTAGAGCAGAATAGAAACGATAGAATAGAATAGAGCAGAACAGAATAAACTCTTAAGTCCCAAGGAACCGAAAGGTAGCATTGCAGCGTTTCATGTAGTCTTAGCACGATACTGCGGAATGCTTCATGCCTTCTCATTGCCGCTGTTCTCGGGGCTCCGGCCAGGATTTGCTCTCGGCGCTGCTCTCGAAAGCACTGAGGTGGGAAATCTCGGTGAGTGCCTTCCGGAAGAGAGAGGACAGCTATGAAGAAGCACACCCATTCACGTTCCAAGAAGTGCAAGTGGCGAAACGAGTAAGCTACAGAGAAAAGGCAAAGCTCAAACTGAAACTGATCAAGCAACGAGCTCTTGCAAGTCTCGGTGCTCGCCCTCAACCCCAACCACACCAAGCCACGGCTCTAACTCTAAGTGGAACAAACCTAGGTAGGATCAGGTAGGCGTCAACCTCTCGTCCTCGTAGAAACACGAGCAGTAACATGAGAAACATCAGTCGCAGTGACAACATCACTAACATTAGTAGCAGTAGTAGCCAAAAGAGCAGTAGCAGCAGGAGCAACAGCAGCAGCAGCAGCAGCAGCAGCAGCGCCGCCGCAGTGTATGCTTCTTTCATGAAAACATGAAGCACCTCCGTCAGCGTGAACTGCAGGTCCATGTCGGTCAGCATTGTCGCAGCCGGGCTAAGAGTTAAAAGTCGTAGGGGCAAAGCTTCTGAGGACTGAGGGGTCGAAGGCTCTGCGGGCGCAGTGCCCTGAGATGCCCTGGCTTGGGATGCTTTTGTGCAGCAATGTCGTGGACGGGTCTATTCGGGTCTTGAGCCCAAGAACGCGGCGCAAACCTCGCACGGTTGGGCCGGGACTCCACAGCGAGAAGCTCATTCCGGGACCCCGGCCACCTTGCAGACCCGCAAGTCTTTGAAGTCCTTGTTCAGGGCCTGATTGCCCTGCAGGCTGGGCAGTTGTTTCGTCTTGTCTCCGACCCGCGGAAGGCCTCAAGAGCGGCTCATCAGGGCTCCCGGCCAGCTCGATCGCGTGCGTGAGGGTCAGCCGGCAGGTCACCTGCCAAGCGAACACCGGCAGTTTGGTTGCAGGATTTAGGACCTTCTAGTCTTCTAGTATTCTAGTACCTTTTAGGGCGTAGGGGGTGTAACAAGGACCATCGGTCAAAAGGCGTCTCCAAGAGAAGCTTGGCAGACGTCACCTCACAGGCCCGGTCGAAGGAGGCGAGCTTCCTCAGGGCTTTGAGTTTTGTGGCTTTGTGCTTTTCGTCGCAGGCCGTTTTCAAGTGCAAGCACAGTTGGAATCCCGAAGTTCGGGGGAGCCCGTGCACAGAACCACCTCACCGGCTGCCTAAAAACCGAGACCCCAAAACCGGAACCGGGTTTGGGCTAGGAGAACTATACGAGTAGGATGTTGCAGTTCTGTGCTCGATTTTTGTGCTATCTTGCCACATCGTGCCACCACCTTCTGCTATCTTCCGTCGTTTCGTCCAGTGCCCTTACACTCCAAAGCCTTCTGCCCCAGTCTGTTGCGTCCCGTTCGTTGCACTGCATCACTCGCACTCTGCACAAAATCTGCATATTCTGCACAGTAACGAAGTCCGTTATGATGCCGTGAGGCGCCAAATAGATCAAAAAACTGGGACTGCCCCCAAAGACGAATGGTGATGGCCTGCAACACTCTCCGAGCTGTGAAACCCAACCCTTGAAGCACAAGTCCTGTCTAGCCTGAGCAACATCTAAAGAGCTGTGTGCAGTCTCAGGCTAAAAGGCTTCATCGCTCGAGGTCTGTGGGAATGCAAATGCATCCAGAAACTTGATATGCTGTGGCTGGATGATGGAAGCCTGCACCCTGATGCCTCAATCCGACGCCATGAACCTGCGTCTGGACATCCTCCATCCTAAACATTTCGAACGTTCACTTTCCCACACCACCTTCACTTGCGACTTATGGTCTGTTAGGAGCCAGAGTTTCATGTAATCTCATCATGTAACATGTTTGAAATGAGGGGAAGCAACACCTCTCACCGCGATACACTCGAGTTGGTGCGCAGTGCTGTCCCCCGATCCATTGCTTGTGCTGAAACCTCAAATCCAATGTCCCAACGATAAACCACGTTCGCAGAAGCATTGCTCTGCCAACAAGGGCAGTCGTAACCTGACGGGCTCCAATGCCTTAACATCGTGAAACCTGCCGTGACAGCCACATCTCTGGCCCCGGCTTCATCATCTCAATGAACTCATCCTTGGTCTCCCACCTGAACACTCCCCGATTGCACACATTGGAACCTCTACGAAAACTCAAGCCGCAGGATCCTCAACACTCGGCTACCTCTGAATCCTTTGTGTAGCCAAGCTGCAGCGTCTTCAGCAGCTCAGCCATCTCGTTGAGGTGGGCCTGTGGTGGCCAGCATGACGGGCAGAAACGTTAGCATCTTCAGTACGTGATCAACACCGCTTCCACTCCCTGCCGCTACCGCTACCCCAGCCACTGCTGCCACTGTTGCTACCACTAGGCCCACTGCCGCCACCACCACCACCACCACCACCGACACTTGTGCCGACGACGTCGACCGTCACCACAACCCCCACCCCCCGGGGCAAGCCCAATCCCAATGACCGAAACCAAAACCGTTCCAGGAACCTCCACAGCAATCAAGTCTGCTGAGCTCGCGGCTAGGGAAGCCACTCGCAAGGACAGCGGAAGCTGGCGCAAAACCAGACGGCATGGTTGCTAGGGCTTCGGCTCAATCCTTTCTTTTTGGCTTATGAAGGCTTTGACTCAGCCAAGCTGAAGTGCAGGGGACCATTTCCAGCTGGGGGATGGACATCTGCAAAGATCTCCTCGAACTTGGATGTAAGATCGTCCTTCATGACTCGAGGATGGCTTGACGTGAAGCCAAACCGAGGCTGCATGCCTGACTCCCGCTCTGAGGTCCTCCTCCATTGTGAAGTCTGCATGCCCCATCATGCCGCTCAGCGATGAGATCAAGCGCTTCTGCACCTCGTGAATACGACAAGTGGGGAGCGAATGAAAGACCACGGCTCCTCCACCCGCTCCCCGCTCCACCCCTCGGCCCTCTGGCCCTTCTGGCCTTGGGAGCCTCGTCGTTGCGCAGCTGCGCATCGGGGATCGGAGCGCCGGCCTCCGTCTTTACTCAGCGGCGTTCGACGAGCCGCATCGAGCGCCGGACCCCGGCCTTCACCAAGAGCACATCGTGGGAGACCTCCGGCGCCCGAGTCAGAGGCAGACACCCCCTCGCACACCCCCCACTTTCAGGCGGCCGCGTGATCACAGGCGGACCGCAGGGCAACCTGAAACTCCTGCTTGGACGGATCCAACTTGGAGGATTCGAAGGCAGCACTGCCCGAAAAACCGTGTGCTTTTCCCCTACACGCGGTCCTACCTTTCGCAGCACGGGGCTCCTCTTTGGAAAGGAGTTGCATCGCGTACTGGTTCAGGTCCGGCCTGAAGCGAAGATGAATCCCGAACCTTTATACTACATAAATATGTCTAGCTTGGGGTTATCACCATTATATTCATTATTACTATTCTTATTCTTATTGCTATGGGCTATGATTATTACTACTATTATTACTTCTTTTATTATATTACTATGATCATTATTACTATTATTATTATATTCATGATCATCTCGGCTCCGGGCCGGACGATTGGGACCTCCACGGTGATCGCCTGCGCCAGAAACCGTCAAAACTTCTGCAAAAAATTCTGCACTCCCCGTGCCCTTTCATAGGGTTTAGGGTTTAGGGTTTGGGTTTAGGGTTTAGGGTTTAGGGTTTTTCAGGGTTTCTAGGGGTTGGGGGTTCAGGGCTTCTGCAAAAGTCTGGGCACTCTCCGTTCCTCTTAGAGGTTTCTAGGGTTTCTAGGGGTTCTAGGGTTTCTAGGGTTCTAGGGTTTCTAGGGTTCAGGGTTTAGGGTTGACCGTCCTTCCCCTATGCCCGAAGCTTCCAAGAGCCTCGATCCAGAGCAGCATCGCCAGCAGCATGCGCTGCTCGGGAAGCTCCCTCGGAGGAAAAGAACTGCCATCCCGAAAGGCCCCTGCCCTCCCCCACCACGATACAGTACGAGTACCTCCCGACGAGACTCAACACCCCATCGGACCCCTTCCCTGGGGTCCCTGCCGGCCAATCCAGAGCTGCAAGACCTGGAAAAAAAGATGCGCTTCCGGGGTTCCAAAGGCGGGACGAAGGCAACGAATCAGGACGTATCCGTGAGACCGATGGGGGCTTGGGAGAGCAAAGCTTTGGGTCAATATGAAGGCTGCTGAGGAAACCTCAGAGGCTTTACACGAACAAAACATGTCCGTTCAACCCAGGCACCACCTGAGCAAACGAACGCAACGCGTGGCCACCTCAAGCAAGACCTCGTTGGGGAAGTCTTCCTGCTCGCTGTTCCTCACGCATTTTTTAGGCCCAAGAGCACCACTACGTCCCTGCGGCTGAGAACTCGGAAATGGAAGGAGAACCAGATAACTACAACAAGAACTGGGAGATACTGGGACACATCACGATCCAGTAAGTCGTACTCGTCACGATGCACAACAACCACAGAGAAACGAATTGTCACAGAAACGCGACCTTGCCTTTGGAAAGCTACATAGGTGGGTTGTAAAAAGCCATGCTACATGGATGATCATCATCCTCGTCGCTGCTATCCTCATACCCGAACAAAATGACACTCTGCAACGCAGGACCGGCAGAAGCTCGCAACAAATCGGCTGACCCCTAAGCTTTACCGGGGTCCCGGCTGTTCCTGCTTTGTATCTTTCTTGGCGGCGCGGCTGCGAATCTTCTGCCTAAGCACCAATGTCCGAGGCCTTCCCAATTCATCCAAAACTCGTGCTGCCGTTGAAACATTAACGGGCGGGGGACTGTGAGAGCGACTGCGACCGGGCTGCAACCAAAGCGAAGATTGGCATTGTGATGCTAAGAGGGATGATGATGACAGTGATGATGACGCATGAAGATCCGAGCTGACAGAGCCCATCGTGTTTCAGTGGCCACGTCTTTTCTCCTTTCCACCGGGTTAGCGACACTGCGGCTCAAGGGCTTTTGGCAATTCCGGCACCGCGGTTGAGGAACTCCTAACAGCCCGCAAGAAGCCTTCGCCAAGGCACACGAGGCGCTGAGCAGCCACGGCCTCCTTGGAGTTGCACTCCCAGGCACCTTAGGACTAAGCGCTTCTGCGCCTTCCTCCGGCTTAGCGGACTTTGGAGTTTGGTTCTGAGCCACCTGTAGCATTGGTTTTGGGGCTTGGCGCATCCCGCTACTGGCACTCCGGCATACTGGACCTGCACTCCAACGCGCTTCGCGCCCAACCATGGCCCGATTACCGGACATTACCGGACCACGTCGTCCGGCAAAACCGGGAACAGTCATCTACGAATCTACAAGTACTGCCATGCAAGCTTCAAGACCATTGAAAGCCCTCCATTCTCAGGTGACCAGCCGTCGCCATCTTGTCCAGAGCTCGGGATCCGGCTCCACGACTCGTCGGGCACCCAGAAATCTTTGGAGATTTCCTTCTCCTCCCGGAACTGCGAAATAACTGAGGTTACTGGCGCGGCAAGGCGCGAGGCCCTCAAAGTCTCAGCCTGTCCAACGACTCCACCCGAACCCCTGCCTAACCTACGGGCCTGGGCCCAAAGGAGCCTCAAGACTGCAAGCTGCTGGGAATCCTGATCCTAGAATCCCACGACTCCCACGCGACCGTGTCTCTTCCCTTGCTGCGCCTTCTCCGTCTCGTACAGCGCCGCGCCCCATTCTTCATCCTCCTGTGCCTCCTGTGCGGGGCATCGCGGCGAGCCGTGCAAGGGCTGGGACAGGCTCCAGCGCCTCCTCTTCGGGCTGCTCCTTCTTCTGCCACTTCCTTGGTCGGGGCCGAGGGAAACCAGTCTTCCCCGCGATATTCGCAGACGGGTTCCCAAAGCACTGCTGTTTGCCGTAGGCGCGAAGTCTCAGCCGCCGACTCCTTGTGAAAGTCAGCGGCCGCTTTCTGCACGGGGTTCACGCTCTTCGGAGAGGGGGAGGGGCTCTCTCGGGCTTGCGTGGGTCCAGTCTGGACTCGAAAGAATTCAACAAGCAGGCCTGCCCTCACCAGACTCATGACTTCAAGTGCCCGTGATCCAGATCCCTGGGGCTGCGACCACATTCTTCTCGATCTCTTCCAAGATGTTCGACGTCTGTTTGGCGTCTACACCTGCCCCACTGCCATGGAGACCTTCTAGCAGCCTAGCAGCCTGCCATCAGAGCAACCCGAGCTCCTGTCTCTACGGGCGGAGGCCTGATTGCTTCCACAGGTAGCCCCAGTCGTCGTCGGAGTCCTCCTACACTCGGATGGGACGGACGCCGACCTCTGCTTCACCTTCCACTCCAAAGTCGCGTGCGAGCCACGAGCCTTGTCGTCCACAGTGTGCACAACTGGCTCCTGCAACCGCGCCGAGACCAACTTTCAGAGCACACTAAATTCAGCGACAATCTGCACTGTGTCCTAGCCCTAGCCTTTGCGAACCAGACCTTGACCATCTGACCATCAATCACAAGTACGAAAGGAGCACTCAATCTTCATTTGGGATGTCCGTCGGCTTGGAGCCGTCGTCAGCCGCTGGCCAGGCCAAGGGCAGGTTCAACGGTGCCTCCATCAAAAGATTGCGCTGTCTCTGCTTGCCACTGATTTCCTAACGTCGTTGCCTCCTCATCCTATCCTCCGGATCCTCATTATCAGAATCATCATCCTCAGTCTCATCACCATGACAGATCATCAAGAATCAAGATCATCCTGACCTCCACCACTGCCGCCACCACCATCACCCCCGTGTTCAGTCCGAAATCAGAATGGCTGCTGTCACAATGCTGCGGTCTTGTTCAGTGCTGTACCCCGTTACCGTTGCAGGGCTGCTCGTATTGGGCCGTCAGTATAACGTACCTGCACATTAGGTCCACATACGGCTTCATGACTGTCATTGCTGCCTTTGACCAATGCATTTGCAAGCATCACCATTGTCATCGCCACAGGTCCTACTACACATTTCACAGACAGACTACGAAGCCACTGCTTATTCGACAACTTCAGCCGTTGTGACTGAAACTAGTAGCCAGTCTGAGATTCGTACTTTCTTGTTTGTCCAGTGTTCAAACTTTTCGCAGTGTTCCCTTTGCTGTCAATAAACAGCGTCACCTGCTTCTTAGGACGCACAATATTGCCATTGTTCTCATCTTGCTCGTTGTCTCTAGAATCAAATTCATTGCCGTTCCTATTACTTGCAATATCTCCATTCTCAATCATGCCACTAATTACTGCAACCGCTCCTGATATTGTTACTATGGCTCAATGGTTACAATCGAAACCTCACGGCCTCACAACTCCACATGCTTAAAGTGTTCCCCTTCTGGCTGCTACGAGTTCTCGATCTGATAAATTCAAGAACGCTGCATGCGAAGGGCAATCTGCACAGATTTTTTGGATGCCTGAAGCTCGTTTTCTAATTGCTGCCACACGTCACCTCGCGGGAGCACAATGCCGTGATCGCAACAACGAACACACTGGCTTGACAACCAAATCGCCTCTCAAGTGCAAAAGCAAGTAATCCACGAGCCCCCGAAGCTGGGTCTTCAACCCTCTCCATCGCCGTCTTCCGTTAAGTCGACGCCAGCCTCCGCGAATGCTCGCAAAAGAGTTGACCAGAAAAGCTCATTAGCAGAATGCATACCGGAGTCAGTGTCAGCCATGGAAGCACTTGCATCTGCCCAACGGTATAGGGCATAGACAAAGGTAGAGAACCGTGAAAGCGCCAGATTTGGGATTCGCGCTGACCGTGCGATGCACGGTGGTTTCATGCAGGGCTTTAGGGATTCAGGGCTTCAAGCTCTTACGGGCCTTACGGACAGGAACGAACCAACGAACCAACGAACGAACCAGGACAAGCACGAGCCCCCGACGAGGCGGCCGAAGGGGGGGACATCTAAGTCCTCGAAGGAGAAGGTCGAAGGGGATGGCTACTACGGACGACCACATTAGATGATGGGGCACCGTCTTTCTTGGGGTTTCGGCATGAGAGAACTGCTGGGCCTCTTCTCTGGAGCGCTTCAGAGAAGCTGTGGGCTCTGCCTGCAGTCGTGCGGTCTGTGCAATAAGGATTCTTACTAGTAGAAGTAGAAGTAGAAGTAGTAGTAGTAGTAGTAGTAGTAGTAGTAGTAGCAGCAAAAGGCCTACTTTCAATGTCCTGTGCAGCAAGCAGGACGTGCAGCCTTGGACTTCACCAGGTTCACGACTGGCATGTCGTCCTCATCCTGCAAGCAGCCCATTGCGGCGACAAATCGCGGATGATCTACGGAAAAAGAATACGCCCAACTTGGAATGCTTAAGAGCTAGCTGAGGGCACAGCCCTCGCGCCTCAAACCTTGGCAGCTCCTCGTCGATATCGCCCTGCAAGGGACACATGAGGACAGCCTTCCCAAGCGCACATGCGCAAGCGGTGCTCAAGCGGAGCCCGGTGCCTGGCCCTCTGCAGCCTCGCTGGCTGCTTGGGGCGGGCCATCCTCTGTCGGAGCCACCTCTGAGACCCTGGTATCCACAAGCCGAAGTCTCTTCCCCCCTGCGCCTCGTCTGGAGCCTCTGCATCCGCATCCGGCGCGAGGTCCTGCCGAGAAACTGTGTTTTCGCAGCTACGGTGATAGCATGCGATGGCCTCCTCGCCGAGAGGGTCGACCACCGGCTTCTGGGGGCTCCCCTCACAAAGCCGGTGGCTTCCGGCTTTTGCACCAGAAAGAACATTTCAGACAGCAACGACACCATCCCAGCTTTTCTTGCTTTCCTTGCTTTGCTCGTCGGCAGCTTCTAGGCCTCACTGCCAAAGGTGTTTCGGCTTCGCCGATGCTGACCGACATCATTGGAAAAGCACATGCCGCATTCCATCAGACATGATAGATTTCCTGTGGATGTGAAACCTGACCAGGCCAAGGGGGTTGCCAGCACTCCCACACCCAGCATGGAAGAAACCGGCGATGCTCAATGGTGAGCATCTTTGGAACAAGTATCAACAGGACCAGCCTGCGATAGAAACACTCTCGTCCCTGTGTCTATCCTTTGGCATCACATGCCCTGTCGGAGACACATTGACTTCAGTCCATCTGCACATGGAACAACTCTCTCAGTTCACACTTCTTGATCCGATGACCGTGCTGAGAAACGAAACGAAGAAGGATGGCAGGGTGCTTCAAGCAGTCGCACATAGACACAACAGCCCAGCCTGCCTCCTCCCCAGGCACCAAAATTCGTGAGTTGCAAGTGATGCACGTTCTTCTACTCGTGACTCTGGCTTTCTGAAAACCTATTAATGGAAGCCCTTGCCCTGGGGGGGGGACAGAAAGTACAGCGCTTCTCAAATGTCACGGCATCCTGGCTTGCAGAGCTCTCAACTCACGCAGTATCACAGCCCTGCTGCGGCCAACGGAGTGGCGCGCGGCAGTTGCGAGAATTTGGGCGAAGTTCATGGACCGCATCACCTGGCGCTCTTCGGGGCGTGGCATCACTTCCAACTGGCACTTTTGTCCCAAGCTGCAGACTTGACAAATGATGGAAAACGAAAGACAGCCTACTCCCTTACGTGGCACCTGCCGCAAGTTTTGAAGCTTTCGGGGCTTCGTCTGAAGACGGTGCGCAGGAAGTCCTGCTTACTTGGACAGCACCCACCTCGAGCGACGGAGACTTTCTCACAAGCACGCCTGGGATGGCACCCGCTCAGCCAAGGCACCGCCACGACGAAGCGGGCTTCTTCGAGTCCGTCTTGCTCCACATGCTCCTGTAGCAGCTCTGCGAGGAGGCCGAGCAGCTCTGCGGTGGGCATCGTGCGCATCAGGACGCGCTGCAACTTGTCAGGCTTCGGACTACAGGGGTGCTGGTGATGGCAAAAGCCACAGGATGAACCTTTGTGGCATTCCCCCCGCTTTGCTACGAGGATACATGGGCGGTTGCACAAAGTTGGGTGTCCCGAACTGCCCCTGGTCGGGGCGGGAACATCGACGACTGTTGCATTCTGCCCTTGCCGGAGAGTATGAAGATGGCGACGTGCCCATGCGTCCTGAGCTACCTCCGTGTTTGTGACGGAGGGCTCAGGGGGAAGGCTCCGGGCCCTGGACAGGCGGACTCCATGCATCCTCTCGTTCTCTGTCACATCAAGAAAGGTGAAACGATACTCCACTCGATGTGATCCGGCCATGGCTGAGGCTTCGAAGAAACAACCAGCTGCAGGCTACCAAGTACCAGTGCTTGGGCAGCGGTCATCATGGAGGTCTCGGAATTATCAAAACTTAGTGGAGAGGCCACGTGCCACTAGGGCCCTCTGGCGACCCATGACCACAATGAAAAAAAAAACAACTCCCTTGACTACTCCATCCCAAACTCTCAGAAAAGACCGAGCCGAGGCCCCTCCCTGAAGCACCCAGAAATCAGAAATCCAGCGCAGGGGCAAAAAAGCCCTGCCTTGGCCTTGCCCTTGGCCATGACTTTCGCCTTGGCCTTGGCCTTCGCCCGCCTTGCTGAGAACATGGGCTTTACCACACCCCGACCCCATACTAATCATATCAATATTAATCATAACAGAAACAATATAATAATAATGATAATACTAATAATAATAACAATAGACTGTGGTTTGGATATGTGTTAGTATGCTGATACAAAAAGCAAAGGTTTCGTCGCTGGGTATATCGGCACAGTGTCAAGCCTGATTTGTCCCACAGGAGAAGCCACGATGCAACGTTTGCGAAGCGTGCAGTATCAAGTTTGGAAAATGTTACGAGGCTGTCATTATGCAGAATGATACCCACATGCCCGCATATACCTGATATACCAGCGTTTTAAAGCACGGGCGTTATTGAGAGCTGCACAGAACTTCGCACCAATGCTCAAGAGGCTTAGAAAAACAAACACATTGAACGCTCTAAATTCTCACATCTAGATCGCCGTAGGGAATGACTGAACCAGACTAATGACTCAAGGACTAAAGACGCATTTGGCAGTAAATTGGATCTACGGGGGTTTAGAGTTTAGGGAGCCGTCACACAGGCATGAAATACGAAATTGTATCGACGGCTGCAGGGCAAGGACTTTACAGGGTTTCGACGAGGTTGTTGCAGAATCCATGACGTCGTAGCTGGTCATAATTCTGAAAGTATGAGTTAATTGAAAGATAAGTGCAAAGAATCACATCAGGACTCGCAACTTCCTGGGTTACTCTCCCAACTAGGTTTGCAGAGATGGTGAGGACACAACGAAATCGTGGTTTCTGTAGAGATATGATATGTACTGGAATCAAGAAGTGTGAGAAATGCACAAATTCAGCCATAGAGACTTAGATGCGGCGTATTTCATGTTGGCTTGGACTTCCGGCATGGGTACCACACTAGCTTCTGTTACATTAAGTAGTCTTCGATTCTCCGCTATCCTGCACTTTTGCTTCATGGTATCCCGTATTACGCCCTATTAGAACATACCTTTTTTTGACCCACCACAATAGCATCGATTCTACGAACTTCTGTGCCCCCGGAAGCCAGGGAGCCGACTTCTTTGGCGCCATGCGAGCTGAGAGGGTTGGAGCTACACGGGTGGGCTCATGCCGACTTCTAAGTCGTCTTTTTGGGGGTTTTCGGGCATGGGTCGTCTGGCTTGAAGGTGCGGTGTTGGGGTTCAGGGCTCCGGAGCTCCGGGTCAGGTGCACTGAAGCATTCGTGGATAGGGCTTTGAGGCAGGTGCCCTACATCTGCACTAGATCTATCGATGGGTCAGAGTCTGGAAGCTTGCTTGTAGCTGCAGTGCATGACCATATCAACATCTGCGATAGCGCACGCATACGGGTTGCGGCTGCCGGTGTTCAAAGCCAAGCCGGCTGCAGGAGGCAGACAAGCATTGGCCTTGGCCCGTTCTATCAACGCACTGCAGTGCAGTCCAGGAGTCTCAAAGCTCGAAGGCTTGGACATGAGACTGGGGGATGACCGGATCCAGCAAACGCAGGGACGGCGGGTTCGCCGGCTTCTGGACCTGGCGAGTTCAAGGCCACAGCCTCAGCTTCAAAAAGACGTGCCGATGCTCGGCTTCGACCCAGCGCCGTCTTCGATCTTCTTCCTCCGCCGTCAGGTTGATCATGCTGCACCACTAGCATCTTGCTTCCACCCTGTCTAAGATCCACGCGCGCTTAGACTTCTGCAGCACCTGCACGACAGAGGCAAGCTGGTCATGCATGCTGACACATTACGGGGGGGTGACAGCTCCATCTTGGGCCTTGGTAGACACACTTACCTGAGCAGGAAGTCCCAAGCGCGGTTCGTCCTTAACAGGACCAATGCGTTGTCGGCTCAAGCCAGAGGGCACCACGATTCGAAAAGGGCAGAAGAACCTCAACATGCTCAGACCGCAGCGGGCTGCTTCACCCGCACTTCGGCCTGCTCAAGATGTAAAGCAAAGACTTGCTGATGTCCAATGTGTACCTCCCGCCAGAAAGCCTGGAGCTTCCCGGAGAAGCCAAGGAAGATGAGGGTGGCAGGCCCTCGAACACCGCTGAGCACCGCCTGGGAAAGCTGGTAACTGCACAACTGCAGTTAATGCTGATGTTGAACAAGCCCTCCTGGACTGTACTGGGATGCACCGAGTCAGGGAACACATGCAGGAAATCACTGGCCACCACCATTCCATGAGAAGTTCCAGCCTTCGCAGGATAGTACTCCCAGATCTTCTCGCCTGCCCGGAGGAACGTCGACGGCTTAACACTGTTGTCCCACACTTGACCCTTATCTGCAGCATCCACAACCTACAAGCAGCCAAGACCCCCCAAGGCCCACCGTTGATGGAAATCAGCTGGTCTCCGGCGACAACACCAGCACGGGCAGCTGGCCCGTCCTTCTCGAAACGCCCTTAGACACTTTAGCCTTGCAGCTACTGGCAATCGCAGCGAAAGAACGCGAAAACGCGCGAAGAAGCCCATTGGCCCATGAAACCTCTACTACAAGCCCAGTGCTGGTCCCCGCGAACTGCCGTCACCATCAGGCGCCCTTGACCTGAGCAAAGGGGTCGTAATGTGTCTGAATGCTGGGCTGGCATCTACCAGACTACCACCTTTGCGGCTTCACGCGTTGATGCTTCCAGGGGCTGGGCACGTCCGATGCAAGCCCAGAACATCCTGACACCGAAAACAGTTCTCGAGGTGTCGGCGAGGCACAAAGTCTGACGGGCCTTGGAGGGAATCTCCCCCATCTGGTACTGCACCTGAGTAAGAGATGCTGGGCTGCTCCGGCAGAGGGGCAGGAAAACCACCGGACCACCGGTCAGGGCGAGGCCAGTCGGCCAATGACTCCAGTGACCCTGTCCGAGCAGACTCCGTGGCCCTTTGAAAGCAAAAAAGTGGAACGAGAACAGGGCCTCTTCCGTTCCATCCACTCCTCCTCCTCATGTTGCGCCTGGCAAGTTGGAAGCTCAATCCACTCGGCAGATCAGCCATGCACCGTCTATCCAGCGTCTATCGACAGTGAAGCACCAACACCCTCTATATATATATATATATATATATATATATGGTACCCCCCCCCCAGTTACCAATACATTCCTGTGTTTTCCTTCTGCAGGCAGCACCATGAGACAAAAACAGAGCATTCGAGCACCCTCTTGGCTGAGACTTGTGACAAGACTCTCGCGCCCGCGCAAAACGCACTGCAGATTTTCTTCTCGCGCTCTGTTAGCTTTGACTTACAGCAGATTTTTGTTTTGCCGTCAACTTGAGATCTGGTTTCATTGTAAATTATTCTACAGTGAACTCCAGAAAGTTGAAACATCAGTATCCTAATGCCCTTATACTAAAGGCAAAGTAAATCAAACACTAATCACCCTAAATCAATGTTCCAACTTTCTGGGGTTCACTATGATTAGTTAATGTACCCTTATTTTTGTAAGTGTTTGTTGGAGATGGTAGAAGGGTGTGTTTTGTTTCTGGTTGCCAGTCTCACTGACGTCTTATGTTTAGGGTTTTGGGTGTGATATTTGATTACTTCAGTGAGCACTGTTTACGTGTGTTAGGTAAATGAGATAGACTGATGTAAGTGAATGATATGTTAATACTGTGTCCTTAATTACATCTAAACCCATAAATATGGGTAGCTTTTTGATTTATGATAGGATGGAAAAGCTTGCTTAAGGCATTGTGGCAGGAATATGATGAATAGCATAAGGGTATGGCGGTAGTAGTATAACAGGATATAGGTACAGTGTAATCGTGTTTAATACTATGGATTGACTAGTAGTGGTAGTAGTAGTAGTAGTAGCAGTTGTAGTAGTAGTGATAGTAGTGATAGTAGTAGTAGTAGTAGCAGCAGTAATAGTAGTAGTAGTAGTATCAGTAGTAGATTGTAGTCGTAGTACGGTTCTTGTGATGGTTTGTTATGACCATCTTGATAATAGTTGGATATGTGACAAGATTTAACTTAATATCATGATACGAAATTTAGGAGCAATATGGCGAGAAGACATGGTCTAGGAAAAGGTCGCCTGGATACATTTGGGGCAAGATGTGGAATGACGCTGAAACACATAGACCTTACTAAACATGTAGTAATGGGGTGTAGCAGTAATAGCAGCAGCAGCACGAGGAGGAGTGGTAGTGGTAGTTGTTGGTGTTAGGGTTGTACTGTTATTAGCGTGTGATAAGGAAGGATGGGTGATAGATTAGAGGCACGTCTAAGTAATACAGAGGGTTCCATTAAACCGTTACTACCTATCATGTGCTGAAGCATCCTGTATGTGTATGGCATCAATGTAGTCAGGCTTGCCTGGCCCTGTATTAAGCGCCTCCTGGATGCATGCGTCTTGAATTGCGGGATCTAGGGGATGAACAAAATCACCTTCTGGTCGTGCACTAGAAGTATCTGAGACCTTCGAGTGTCTTGGTGTCATGAATTGCAGGGTTTAGAGCACAAAACACACAATTCTATTGGTATCTGGGGGGGGGTAGCATATATATATATATATATATATATATATATATGTCTGTCTGTCTGTCTGTCTGTCTGTCTTGCTTGCTTGCTTGCAAGGCGTATGAGAAGCAGAGCACGGAACCCTGCCCCCCTGCGCGCGAGCGCTACGCCAGTGTCCAAGTTTGGTGTGAGACGCGAGGTGCAGGGCCAGGTCGGGAGTGATTCGAACGTCCCCGATACAACAAGCATGCGACCTTTTAGTTCCCGAAATCACCCCCTGCCTGGCTGAGCACTTTGTGTTGGTGCAAGAGGCATGTAGGTATTCTACATGGTGGCCGCATATCCCCGAGCTGTTTGCGTTCCGCGGAAGCAGTACACCACTTCGTGCAACAGGGTATGCGTAGGCTCGATTACTGTGGCTCGGGGCGGCTCCTGTTCAGTCTTTCCTAATTTGGCTACTGGTTTGGTGGACTTACGTTGCTTGTGTCAGTGCGGGTCCCCGAGAGGAAGCAGAGAGGGCCAAGGCACTGCAAACCTAGGGGAACATCACAAAACTGGGGTTGCTGCACTGTTGGTGGTGGTGGTGCTGCGGTGGGGCTCCGGTGTTGTCGGGGCAGGAAGCAAAAGGGGGGGCAGGTTTAAAGCCGGTAAGGGAACATCACACACTACACCGGAGGCCCCTGAAGTGGTCGCTGGTGGTGGTGCTGTCGGCCGTTCTTAAATCAAAACCCCGATGCTGCGGCCCCTTTGAGCTGCAGGAGTCCGGCTAGGCTCATCATAGTAGCTAACCAGCGAGCGGTTATCAAACACTTGGGGGAAAGTGCGCTGGGGCCCCGGCAGCATAGTGGAACTTGGTTTGGTGTCCCCTCACTGGTTGGCACTCAGCTAGCCCCCTAGCTAACTAAGCGGAGAAAGCTAGTGTTCACCTTCTCGGTCACTTCTTGCGTTTCGCACCACTCGGGTAGAAGTAGCCAGGTTCCAGTCCCATGCGTCGACGCGGCGTCTTTCTCTCCAGTCCGCTCTGTCACGGCGGTTGCGTTCTTTGCGGGCTTCTTCCGTCAGTGGGGCTGACTTCCACGCTGGGTTCGCCAAGGTCCTGTTTGGCGGTGGTCCCTCCGGCTCAGCTGGCCGTTCGGATCCCCTTGAGCTGCTCGGCGGTTCCGTCTTCACGCCTTGCTGGGTCGAGTCGTCATAGTCCTCCCCTTCGTCCTGACTATAGTCTTCAGCTTCGTCCTGGCTGTCGTGGTCCCCGTTGGGCTCCTCCTTGACTTCAGCTTCGTCCTGACTGTCGCGGTTCCAATCCGGCTCCTCAGCTTCGTCCCCTGGGGTCCCCGGTCTTCCACTGTCGCACTGGGGCCCCGTTCTTTCGCTGGAGGCATCCTCGAAGACGTCCATGTATGGATACAGTCCCCGGTGTTGAGGTTCTTCCCCGCGCGGTGGGACTAGTTGGGAGGTCTGTGGCTGAGCGTCAAGTGTCGTTCCCGAAGCCTGCGTGTAGTAGGTGTCGTTGCTGTGGATCTCCTGGATCGTCACGTGGGGCTCCTGGTGGATGTGAGTCTCCTGGGCGTTCCCCGGGTCTTGTGGCGCTGCCTTCTGGTAGTAGGGGTCGTCGCTGTGCTTGGCCGGCGTGCTTGTCACCTGTGGGATGGCTCGGGCTGCGCCTCCGGCGAGAGGGGACAATCCCCGCAAGGCTCCTCTAGTGGCTGTTGCGCTGGTTGTGTAGTGCAGGGGGTCTGGTCTGCTGCTTGTGCTGCCTTGGTCCTCGCGCGACACTTCCGAGGTCGTGGGTAGTGGTGGCTGAGTGGCTGGCCGTTGCTTGCTGGCGGACTCCGAGCTGGTTGCCGCTTTAGGGAAGGCTTCAC